TCTCCCGACCTATCGACAGGGCACAATTTACCTGGCGTGGGGGGTGAAAAAAGCAGGGGTGGCTGGCGGCTCTTACCAACGAAACCGCACAGAATGGCGAAAGTTACGTACTGGCTAGCGTTCTTGGCCCAACGATATGACAACGTAGCGAATAACGCCTGCATTGAAGCCCAAGAATCCACCTCTACTGATGGCACCCTAACGTTCAGGCCTATTGACGACAAACAGTATGTCTCATTTTTTCCTTTTTCGGATCTTATTTGTTTTGACGAGCGCTGTCTCTGTGGAGAGTCTTGAGGCTGGACCAATCTGTGAGTGGCAGCGGCCCATGTCGGGGCCCGACCTCAACCACAAACCGTCTCAGGTTGCCGTCCTTGCTGACAAGGGACCTTGCCAGGATGATGAAAAATCTTCGACGAAGCAACCGTCCTATCGTCTCGTTTCTGTCTGTCTGGTCAAAAAGCTGTTGGGCTGACTGAGATTGCAGAGGTTGAAGCGAGGCATCGGGCAGCAACCCGCCTGTGCCGCCGTCGAATGTGATCACGAGTCGTCGTGCCACATTCCATCAACAAGCTCTCAGGTCCTGCGCAAAGAGGCCACGAAACCGTGAGACCTGAAGATCCAAGCATGAGGCTTGCATATCGCACAAGCCCAACAGAAGGGACTTGCACGACCACGTTCCCTGACATCTGGAGTTGGAGGCTCTTTTCGCAGAGTCCCTGTGAGCGTCTCCAACTAACTCCATCATGCATCTCGCCGCCGTCAAAAGTTAAAACCCATCAGCTCCACCCCCAGGAACATCCCCAGAACCGCGCTCAAGCAATGAATCATATGGCATCGGGCATCGAGATCGATGCCCCGGACGGGTTCCCCTCATTGCTGCCCGTTTTCCCCATGGGCAGACTCAAGTGATTCGTCGCCAGCCTTGGAGATACTCTAGCTGTAACGGCCGATGAGGATAGCAAGCAGTGCATTGCTGGCGTTTTCATAGCCAACAGCTCAATTCGGTTCCCCGCATGTTGCGCGACATTGCAGAGAGCAAGCCATCATTGCGAACGGTCCTTTGTAGCATTGGCTCCGTGTTTGCGAGCGCGACAGACGCTACACAATGCTTGCTGCTAGCTGCTTAAGCCGAGCTGCTTGGTCATGCTGTAAGATACGTAATGTTACTGGTACTGACGGGTTCAAACATTTCGTAGGATCGTAACGTTACCAACAAAACCGGTGAGAGTCCGGATTCGGAGGCTCGGTGTGGTGTGGCATGCTGCACCGCGCAGAGTGGCAAGCAAGCCACACAGTCAAAGCACAGATAAGGCCCTGGTAGAAGAGAAGGGAGGAAAAGGGGCTCGTCGTCGCTTAAAAATTTGACGTTAGCTTCAGCTCGCCTCTTCCTGCCTTCACATGGGGGGGGCAACCAGGAGAATGGGGGAATTTTTGTGTTTTTGGGGCAGGTTTTGCGCGATGGCGTTTTGTCCCCCCCGGAACTCGGTGCGTTGAGGACGAGAACGTCGTCGGCACAACCAAGGGGCTGGGAACAAACCTTGGCGCCTGGCATGCAACGTTAGCGGCAGTTGTGGACCCAGAACGCCAGGGAGGGCAGGCGGCAGCCGGAGCGTAGATCACGACAACGAATCAGGAGACTTATCCTGGAAAAATCTGGACAAGCCTTGCGGCTATGTCGCAGCCCTCTTCACCATCACGATAACAGCGATATGTTCCTGGATGCCGAATGCAAACATGCTCAAGCATCACCTCACAAACACGTCTTCAATGATACGGCACGATATTCAAGCTTCCGACTCTTGCCGGCCCGCCGGGCTTCCGAGGCATCTTCGTCGGCTCGACCGGCACGGAGAGCATCATAAATCGTAAGGCGCCCAAGGGATGTTTTCCAGTAAACCCTGAACAGAAGGTCGTGGGAGGACACCCACGTTTTTACCTTCCCCTTCCTTGAGGCTACAGGCACTACGATACACTAGCGGCCTGCTCACATAATCCATCCCACGCCATGGGTTCTGTCAGCTTGGCGCTGAGGAACAGGCGGCGAAGCAGACCTCAACGGGTTGAATAATCGCCCAGTTGACGGTGAGGGGGCGGCGCATTTAATTTTCATTGGCGCTCCACAAGTGTTATCCGCATCGTCATTGGTCAATTGCTTCACGGGCTCTGATCCCCACCAAAAACATATTTGAGGGTGAAAAATCATCAGCGAGCCTCAGCCAAGGAATTGCCTGAGTTGAGCCATTTGCGCTACTGAGGAGTCAAGGAAGAGTGCAGATCATCCAAGGTTTCAAAAAGGCATTTCGTTTGCTGTGCTCAACATAATACGGATAATCTAGGTATACAGAATGTATGTTAATATGTGAAATGTGCCCTTGTGTGGCGGCTTAGCTCACTCACACCAGTAACCTGATCAGTCTCAACTTCTTGCTCCTGGAGGATGTCGCAATTGTGTCAAAGTTGTCAAGCTCTTTGTGGTGCGCGCGTGGACCGGCCTGGAACCAGCACCCGGCCATGACAGGTCCGGGGTCTGCGTTACAGTATTTTACAGTACATGTATCCGGCTCAGGAAGGCAAGAGACTCGCCCGTCCGACTCAATTGGCTGGGCTGGGTGAGTTGCCTCAGAGACTCTACGACAAGGGTGCCGCCGACGTCATGAGGTGCCAAGACAGCCGCCGTGCAGTTACTGTCGCATGCCGATGACTGGTAATGACTGGACTGGAAGGTGGAAATGGCATTTAAACGAAGCTACGGCAGAGTGTGTTACAAGTCTTATCAATCGAATACCGGTATCAACATGACAGCCTAAGACGCGCGCGCGAATCAGTTGCCGTGCCGGCCATCTGATCTTAAATGAACGATCGCCGTTGCGTATCAGTGGCATGTTCCTAGTGCCAAATCTCATTCCTGAATCCACTGGATCTTTCCATCGAGAAAGATGCGCGGTAGTCCACAAGCAAGGCCAGCGAAACGCTGCCGTAACGCTACAACACCAGGCACATAGGTGGGTCCGGTGCCGGACCAAGGACAAACAATGGCGCCACTATCTCGAGCCAGACCGTGACAAGCTTGCGCACTGACTAAAGTGACAGGATACCAGCTTGATGGCTTGACCAGTGGGATCTCCAACATCCCAGCAACGTGGAGTGCCTTTTCCTTAGGTCGGCGCGGATCTTAGCAGCGTGGGATATTCAGTGGGACCAGGAACTCGGTTCACCGAAGGGTCCCGACGGCCGCTTCCGGGACGTCGGCGGGTGGTGTGTGGTCGGGTAGGGGCAGACATGCCCGGGAACAGCAGCTTGGGCCACTGACACGACCGTCCCCGGCGAGCAGAGCGACAGGAAGAACCGATCACCGCGGTAGCAGCAACCGATCGGTTCCGGGACGCCCAGACTGTGAGAGGTCTGGCAAGAGGTCGACCACACAGTGTTGCCACACGTTCCCAGCTACAATACAAAATGTGAATTGTTGGTGTAAAAATGTAATTACGCTGCGTTTACAGTATCGTGACATACGAGGTGGTGTTGGCCACCTAGCTGCGAGCCCTGCAGCTTCGCCATCGAGTCCCCACTTGCAGCACAAGAAACGGAGCCACCGGCGGGGCATCGTCGCCCCACCAACCGTGCGTCTTGCAGCTCCCAGCAGATTCCCGGCGCGAAGCCAAGCAGCCATCCACTCCTTGAGTACACGCCTCCCTAGTCTGATACGGCTCAGGATTTTTAGGGTATCTGGGCCCTCCATTATCGACACCCTTCAACGTCTCCCCCTTCTCCTCGCAATCTCGTCCTCCAGAGCTCTCAACAACAGTGGAGATTGGGCTCTACTGCATCTCATCCCAAGTTCTCGCATACGACTTAGACGAGAAAGATTGGAGCGTCGCGAGCCTTGGCCTGTCGCACCACTATCCAAAGGCATTGCTAGCACAGCGTAAGTACGGGGTACACCGGTTAATCAAAGCTCTCCCTCCTGCGCACGTCCACGATCCACAGCCAAAAGCACACCCCCCTCCCTAACCTGATCTCCACCATTCCAGTCCCACTTCTACATCTACATCGATGATGCCTGACCATTCCTGAGTGCCCACGTCCTTCAAAACTGGCTGTGTCCCGCTTGGCCGGGCCAGCAAACCCATTCCAGTCCTCTCCCCGCAAACATATCTGGCGCCCTTCCCTTCGTCTAGGCCAGCCAGCACAGCAACGGGTGCATTCCTTGTCCAGGACAGGTTCTGACCCCAGACCACACCACAGCACCCGAGACACAGACGCAGTCACTTTGCCCTGTGTTGACATCGACGACGACCGAAAGTCCTTGTCCGGTCCGCCGCCAACCTTCGAATCTTCAGAAACCCGCCATCTCCGTCAATCAATTCGGACCGCATCCAGAAACAGGAGCCCCGACTGCCCCGGTCCACGCATCTATCAATCTGCGCTTCACATTATTGGCCCGTCAACAGGCTGGGGATTTCTGGTATTGACTTGTCCACGCCGCTAGTTTCCCAGCAGGAGCAGCAAGTGCACCACCTGTGTTGCTGGAATATTGCCACAGGCTAGCTCTTGCGCCTTCCTCCCACCTCTTTTGTCGAGTCAGCAGCAATAAGCCAGGTAGGTGTTGGTCGGAGTGAGCAACATCCTTGTACACACAGCACGCAACACGTTCGGCCAGTCCTGTTGGCCACAACCGCTCATTCACCGCCTAGCCTATTCTGCTTCTTTCCCGTCTCTCCTCATGTTGCAGCCTCTTTGACAGCATACATCAAAACTCCTTGTCCTCTCTCCTCTCCCGAATTAGCCAACCGGTGAAGCTGACTTTGTCTGGTTTGCGCAGCGAGCCGATCTTCGATTCCTCCTGGTCCAATTTGTGACGGATTTCGATATCCATGAATCATTGAATCAGCCATACATTCTCGGTCTTCTAAGTCGATTCTTCAAATTCTCGTGACCTCTGCATTTGGTCCCTTTTCCAGCACTTCATCCCTCTACACCAATACAGATCCTCAAAGATGCCCTATACCCCACCGTCGAAGTCACCAGTTTCCTCGGCTCCAGCCTCTCCTGAGAGCAGCCGCAGGCCGTCTTTCCACTCTTCTAGTTCTTCCCGTCCTACTCTCCCCAGATCATCTGCCTACCTCACAAGACAACGACGGACACCACCGCCCCAGCCCCCAGCAATTAACACCAACACCGAACCATCTCCCGTCCCTACTGCCGAAGACCTCAAGAGCCTGGCCACCAGCAGCGTCAGGCAATCACCACCGCCCATTACTGGAGACCGCGGGATGCCGAACGGTGCCATCATCTCGCCCCCTGACACCTCCAGTGATGAGGAGCCCGAAGTCCCAGGGAAGTCTCGTGGGACCCTGATTGCCGATGCCGTCAGCAAGATTCAGCCTAACACTAGCAATGGGGAGGATGCTTCGACACCCTCTCAGAAGCCGGAGGGTCTGCGTTTGAGCCACAGCACGACTTCTCTGGACAGCCTACGGCGAGGACACACCCGGTCTGCCACGGAGCCCAACATTAGCTTCAGCACGAGCACATCCACCAACAGCCCATCGACTGGATCGGAGGAAGATTCCGAGGGTGAGAAGCGTCCTAAGACCCCGATGGTGCGCAAGAAGTCTGGTGAACTCGTCAGGCCAGCTCTTCGTACCCCGGGACGCAGGCGACCTTCCAGCGCCCCTGGCACCCCTACGTTCGCTAAGGCGGTGCACTTCGACTCCCATCTTGAGCATGTGCGTCACTTCTTACAGCTTGATCGGCCACTGGCTGTCAGCGCAGGGTCGTCGCCTGTGGATAGCTACGACAGCGACACCGAGTACCCGTTCGATCGGGAAAAGGAGTCTAGCTCGCGGTCTCAGTCCTACGAGTGGGAGTTGGTCCTCACCAACTTTCCTGCTGATACCTCGGCTCGCCGGTGGCAGCCCGTCCGGCTCGAGCGTGTGTGGCTGTCAAACGACCAGAAATGCCTTGTCGGTTCAGTTGCTGTGGGCAACTTTGCTTTTCAGAAGCAAGTTGCTTGCCGGTTCACGCTTGACTATTGGAAGACCACGTCCGAGGTGGCAGCCGATTATTTGTGCGAGATTCGCCCTGTTGAGACCCCACATAGCCAGGACCGGTTTCAGTTCAGCATCCAGTTGTCCGACCTGGTCAACCTCGAGTCCAAGACGCTGTACTTCTGCATCCGGTATTCCGTCAATGGTCAAGAGTACTGGGACAACAACAACGGCAAGAATTTCCAAGTTGACTTCCGCAAGAAGTCGCTTCATCGGGATTCCAAGAAGAGCATGGGTTCCCGCGGGTTCACTGACCTGCCGAAGAGCAGTCGCCGCGGCACTCTGCCGACTAGCTCGCGTTCCAAGAAGACGGTTGACAGCGACAACGATGACTTCAGCGAGAGCGTCAAGTTGAACTTTAGCCAAACCATTCGTGAGTACCTGGGTGAGGAGCCGGAGCCGAAGGGTCCGAGGTTGAAGGGTGTCCGCAGCTCCAACGAGCTTGTGAGCGACAACCTTTCTATTCGCCTGTCCGGGCCCTCCGGCCAGCTTTCGACCCGGTACGACTTCAGCAGCTCGCTCAGCCGGGCCATCAAGAGCGCTAAGGAGGCGAAGTCAGCTCCTCCTTCGGATGGGTTGTACATGAAGTCCTCGAAGAAGATGGGACCGGCAACCTTTGACGAGGGTGACAAGGACAACAAGCCTCAGCCGTCGACTACGAACGAGGGGTCGAAGAACAGCGCGGCGTCTGTTCTCGGAACCAGCTCGTCTTCGGATACTCCCAAGCCCAGCATCGCCTCTGCCTCGTACGAGGAGATCTTGAGCAAATGGTGCTTTGTAGGTAGCCCTGGAACAACCTTTCCTTCACATCGGCCAGAGATGCAGTCACCATCTGCAGGCAAGCCACACTTCTATCTTCACATAACCCAGACCGCTGACTCCCTATGTAGTACAGCACTAAGTCCAAGATCACCCAGCCGCGGGTGAGCGCCTCCGACAGTTCTGTGCGCAGCCCGACCAGCAGTAGCACTGGCAGCTACGGAGGCAGCCCCGTGCAGACCGGCAACTACTACCACAACTTCGGTGAGATCGGTGCTTCTCCTGCGGAAGCTCCCCTCAGCAGCTTCCCGACGCACCCCACTGGCAGCCCTGTTGGCGGCGCCATGCAGAACAACTTCATTCCCCTAACTGGTATGGTGCTTCATAATTTGTAATCATAATCCAACCAGAGGCTAACAGTCCACAGCTATTTAAGTGATATGTCACGCAACCTCGCTTCTCATATTTCTAACTTCAGAATGGCCATCCTGTCGATACGCATACGGCACATACGACCGACCTTGCTCATCGAACTGCTGATCACATCTCACCTATTTTTCTTCTGTGTGCCGATTTTTCCCTGAAAAATCAAGACGCTTTCATGGGTTGGCAGTACTCTCCTTTGATAACCGGCGTTGGGGTTATATGTTTTTGAAGGAAACAATTGGGATGCTTGGCGTTAAGGTGGAGAGGATGTCTCAACTTTTCCCTACTTTCTGCACGACCGCATGAGTGATGGCGTTCAAAAATGATATCTGGTTCTTGTTGGTCTGTTTTGGCTGGGTTTCTGGCGTAGTTTGGGCTTGCTTTTTGTTTGCTGTTTGTGTTTTCAAACATCTTTCTCCTCTTCACTCATCCTATGGCGTGGCATCATGACAATCAAGGATAAATGTTTGGTTCTGGCATGTTGACATCCCTATGGAGTCAGGTTCTTCATATTGCCTACGTCTGACCAGTCTGGTCTGCATCACCAGAGCATGGATCCGTATCGCTATCAGCAGCATCCTTTAGCATGATTGGGGCGCTTGGTACGAGCATGTGTTGGACGGTTTGGCTAGCTTGGCCCCACTCGGGCCGTATTGGCCAGCTTCGGATGGATGGTGCGTGGCCGAAGAGTGGTCAGAAGGTTTGAGGCTATCGCTCTATTTCTTGGAATGGGAGAGAAGAACCGGGAAGTGGGGCTTGGAGAAAGCAATAGATGGATGATTTGTGGGACAAAGCTCGGGGGTACTTCCGCCGAATGCTGGGCATCCCGCATCACGTCAAGGATGGAAAGTTCATGGATGGAGGTTTAGATGTATGGTTGGGTTGGTCGGGATGGAGTGGAATGGATGACTAGACTATTGCTTCCTAAAGGTGGATCTTGGGGGGTGAATGGGATGGATGAGTTTGTGTATGCTGTTGGTTGGTCGGTTGGTTGGCTGGTTTTGAATGGAGATTGTTGGCGTTGGATGGTTTGATTTGGATGGGATGTCACTCTACTCCTCTGGCTATTGCCGTAATGAGCTTGATTATGAACATTGGTATGAACACCTGGTTGGACAGCATTGATAGGGACAATGTTATGATGAGTATGATAACTAACACCATAATAACGCTCAATACCGTGATATGGCTATATTATGTGATTTTTGCTGGTTGGCAATAGGAGCGGCCCGATCCTGCTGGATGAGCAAGGCATTATCTTTGCCAAGAAAGATAACACCTTGGTGTCATGCTCGATGTAGAAGTATCAACTTATCAACTGGCCGGCCGAGATCTGCAACTCGGCGATACTCTGGCATTGAAATTCCCCATCATGCCCAATACCAGCGGCATTAAGGTCGATGTCGGTGTTAATGCGGATACTGGGTGGGCTCAGACGCAGCTTCAGGGCCGACTGGGCGGGAGAATGCTGGGTTTTACGTTTGAGGGTTCGAGATGGATCAACTCCGAGATCGATCGTGCTGGATCCACGAGACTAACCAGATCAGAGATAGATAACCTGGCCGAGAGACGCTGTTCACTTAGGACTCAAACGGAGGCTCGCCTCTTAACAACCATGGTAGTGGATAACAAGGCATGACAGCTTCGGCGGTTGTCCGGCCGTGAGGTGACAACGAGAAGTGAACGCCAAGACCCGGACCGGCTTGGCATGCAGCCCTATGGAGCCAGATCGGTGGGCTGGACAAGCGAGGCTCGGATGGCACGAGCCAGTAGATGATCCTGTGGCGGGAGGGGAGATGGAACGTAGCATTTTGGTGGAGCAGTCAGTTCTTGGAGACGGGTTGAAGGTCGGGGGTTAGGGTTGGTCTTGCGGCGTGTATGTCCGTTCGTCGGGAGGTTGAGAAGTTTCTGTTCAGTCCCCTCTTCAAAGAGAAGAGAGAAGCAAACGAGGTTTTCTCGATGGTCCAGAGAAGTTCTTGGCACGAACCCCTCTTCCAGAAGCTTTTCTTACCTATCAATCTTGCACAATCGGCCGAATCCACACCGAGATGGATCCCCTTCTACATCTCGCCCACAGTTTGGCCGAGGGGCACCCCGAGGGGCCCCGCCATTATGGTCAATTACCCCGAGGGATTTGGTGTGGCTTTGATTTACCCCAGGGGGCATCGCGCACGATCGAAGAGATTTTTTGTGGGCTTTTATTGGAGTCTCCATGGGGGAACAGACGTTGGAGATGGGGTACGTAACATTCACAGAGGTGCATGCTCTTGATGGAGCTTGGTGGGCAGTTGAAATTAATGTGGAGCAGGTGTAGTAAAGTGGAAAGGTGACGTGAGAGGGGTCACCGAGTGCCGTGCTTGGGTCCTTCGACGACAACGCTACAACAATGACCGAGATCGATGTCAAATGTGGCCCCACTGGTAACTATTGTAAAGAAGCTGTATCAGCTTGTTTGTACTGTACGGAGATGCAACGACGTGGCTGGAAGTGAAGATCGCATTTCCGGTCGCAAGCCCTTCCCTTTAAGAGCTTTGTGCAAAACGTACCTAAGTAATTCCGGAGGAAGTGGTTTAGACCAACAGTGGTTGGTCTCGAACAATTGAGCTACATTGTACCTTTTCATAGCGCTTGAGGAACATAAAGGTGGCCTACTGGCTGGCAGTTCGCGCAGCCAACGCATTTTGGGACAGCGGTGGCGCGCATCTGTTTATAAGTGGCCGGCTGGTCGGCCAAGCGTCACATGAGTTTCTTGACCCAATGACATGATCGCGGTAGTCAGCCGCAGCCTGATAGATGACTGGTTCGTGAAAGTACGCGCCCGAAACCTTACAGCGCATATGGGATGGCTGTGCTCAGTGAGCTGGCTTTGCTTGGGCAAGGTGCTGGGCTGGAATGTTGGGTTTCTAAGTTTGGTGAGGTATGCGTCATCTGGGAGGGAACAAAAGATGATGGGCCCAGGTGAGGGTTGGTGGAAAAGTTTAACTTCGGAAAGGAATTCAATGTTGTAGTATCACAAGGCCTGTTGTATATCATCACGTAGTTCGTATACACTGTTACATGTGGCAGTCAGTCCTCAAAATGACAGCAACAAACTTGAGAACTCCGTTTTACCCTTTGCAAACGCAATATCATCGGCAAACTCATCGTATTCGAGATACTGGACGACAGCGAGACTCAACCGTCGCTTTGACAATAGCACCGTCAGTCTTAGCAACCCTTTCACTTCCACTTCAGTAGTCAGCCAAACTACACAGACGATACAAGACACAAGTCAGACGAGAGAAACATCATCCAGCGCCGATTCCAGTTCCAGCTCCAGCTCAGGGGGATCCACGACGACCACTTCCAAAGAGCCCAAGTGTTCGGTGAGATTTTCAAAACTCCTCCAAATGAACAACTGCTGATCGAACTGCAGAGTTTCGACGCTTTCCAAACTTGCAGCACCAAAGGCGACTACGGCAAGTGTCTCTCTACAGCTTCTCCCAATTCCTGTGGCTGTGAACATGGCATCAAATACCTTGACTGCGTAGAAGATGCACTCGAGAAGTCCAAATGTCACTTTTTTGTCGGTATCACAGATTGGTCAGCGTGGGAACGAACCTGGGTCCAGGAGGCTTGCTCAACCCCTCCCAGTTCGGTCATGACTGAGCTCAAGCAGCCGTATGTTCAATTCCCCCATCTCAGATTTCAAACGAGTTTCTTAACAACATCCAGAACAACCGTCGAAGTCTCCTACGCCACCGTTCCCATGGTCACACTCACCTCAACTCCAACCTCCCTTCTCGACTTGATTACCCTCCCCCCACACATCATCACCGCAACTCCAACTCTCACCTCCCTCGGTGCACCCCTCCTCTTCGACTCAGCAGGCGACGCCAACCCCTGCGCGACACCACGCTACACCCTTCTTCACGCAGGTGACATAGTCTTTTACGCCGCCTTCGTCGGTTGCGGCGCCGACAAGCCTGAGTGTTGTCCCTGGGAGGTGGCTACTACCACTACAGAGCTGCCACTCGGGAGCACAGAAGGAGGAGGGGCTCCGGCAGGGGATAGGTTCAAGGTGATTGTGCAGGGTGGGCCGGGGCAGCTGCCGCTGCCGAAGGATCTGGCGAAGGAGGGGAAACTGGAAAGGTGTCCCGGGGATTACTATACCGTTAGGGGAGAGGGTATTTGTTGTCCTAAGTAAGTCTCATTCTCCTTCCCAAGCGGTCAAGGCTATTGAGAGGCTGACGTTCGTTACAGTGGCTACTTCAAATTCACCCGCACGATCGCCTCCCAAACCGCGTGTTTCTCTTCCCTCAAAGATGCAGCTACCCCCCCTCCCGTAACCTCGGGCCTAGCCGCCAACCCAACCGACACCCTCCTCCCCACCTCTGCAATCCTCAACCTCGCCTGGGCAATGGCCTTCAACACCACCCAAGACAACGATGACCCTCCCGTCTCAACCGGCGCAGCCGTCGGCATCGGCATCGCCGCCGCCCTCGTCCTTTTCTCATTCGTTGGCCTGCTCCTATTCTGGTTTCTCCGTCGCAGACGACATCAACGCCTCGCGAGAGGCGAAATCCCGCCCACTAGGGAGAAAGAGGCAAATCGTCTCACCGGTGCTACGATTCACTCAAATATGCAATTCCGACCGTACTCAGAAGGTCCCCCACGCCTAGAAATTCGTTCTGTCTCCCGGGGCATGCCAACCATAACAGTCTCTCCCTACGACGACCAGATGCAGGCCCACCGCGATCACGACATCTACCCTTACCGTGACCACGTCACAGAAGGGATGACGTACACAAGGGGATACCATGCCCCACCAACGGCTTCGGTATCAACCCCTAGCTCCCCTCCATCACATTATTCTGCTCCATCACCTCCGATCTCACCCCCTCCTCAGGATATAGGGATAGGGACTGTTCCTGGCGCAGAACAAAAGGGGTCGTATTGGACTGAGACGGAAGAGAATATGGGGAGTTATTGGGCTAGGAAGAGGGATTATCAAATTCACGACCAAACACTACCACCACGTCGGACATCCTCGAGATAGTCGTCGACTAAGGAAGGATGAAGGGTGTTGGGTGGGGGCTGGGGGGGTCGAGCGGGATTTTAGGGAAATGTGAGATGATGATATGTGGCGTTGTGTTGAGAAGAAATGATCCACAATTTCAGGTCGGATTTCTACTTTATTTGGAGTCTCAACGGCGGTAATGCTAAGTAAACCTTTGCATCTGTGTCAGTTGGCTTTGTGATATCAGAGCGGTATTTCCAGCAAACTTCTGGGAAATTATTTTTGATGGTTTAGCATGTGTCATGGACATTCTTTAGACTAGGTTTCTTTTAATCAACCGTAAGTTGCTAAATTCTATTCCAAAGACCTATCTCTGTTGTCAAAACTACCCTTAAACCAGACCTCTTTGTCTGTTTTAACACCAGGCTTGACGGACCGTTCTGAAACCCTACCCAGTTGTCAAGACCTCATTTTGAACCTTGGTTATGCTAACCTTGTTTCCTCACAATCCCCCAATCGGCTACCCCGTTCCCAAAAGCCCTCCATGCTTCAATTATGGCAGCCTCCAACCTCTTCTCGACATCAACCCTCCCAGTGTAGCCCACCACAGCTCGAAAGTCGAACTCAATATTCACCGTGCCATATACCCTCGCAGCAGGTGTATTCCAATCCTGATAATCGCTCAACAGAAACAGAGGAGGCAACCTCACTTGCTTCGTGGGCGGTGATGTCTCAGATGAGTACCGTTCCTGGCTATCCCACGTCTCTAGACTATGCAGGGTAAAACAGGCTTTGGACTCGGTCGTTGGTGCCGATATCTGCAGACTCATCGGAGGCGTTGTCATCAAATGATCGAGCATCGCCTCCGAAGAAGAGACGATGGCCTTGAACTCGTGCACCTCCAAAGCCCTCGCTCCAAGATCAACTTGTCCGGCACGTAACATTGCTTGATGCTGGGAAGGTTCAGGCCAGTTGGGGTTGTAGACAAAGCCAAGACGCGTTTGGAGTTCGCGGATTTGTGTTTCTTCCTCTTCGAGTGCTTGGCGTGCTAGAGGTGGGCGAAGGCAGGTTCGCATGGCGCCGTTGGGTTGGATAATGTTTGCGTAGAGGGAGAAGGGACGTTCCAGTGTGGGAGCCTGGATGGGGGTTGCCGTTGGGGTAATTGAGCCTTCTGAACTGGGCGAATTTTGCTGTGTGTGAGTGGCTGATGTCGTTGTTGGAGGTGTTTGGTATCTTAAGGGGGATTCGTCGCCTGATGAAGGGACCCTGTATGCGTTGGTTAGTGAACCTAAGAATTTTCAAGCATGCCCACGTACGACACTTCGACGCCTGGACGCTCAAGATCAATGCCATTTGCGATAGCAGTCTTAATGATGCCCTCCATAATGATGTCGGTCAAACGAAGAGAAGGAGAAGCTGACCGGCAGCGGGTAGATGCGTTGACGGGCGCACCGTCTGCGACCTTAATCGAGATGGCGTTTTCTTGGATATTTTGGCGAATTGCATGCTCTACTCCGGCTCTAATTGCACTTCGCAGAGATCTGTCCGGTAGTTAGAAAGAGGCAGTCCGGAAGTTGGCAAGTCCGCTGAACTTACGGGCGGTTGGGTCGGTCAGGTAGTGGCTGGCGACAAGACTCTTCGTGCATTTTACGTGACAGTATGGGAAAAGGATGATGGTTAATGATTGGAGGAGCCTAACTGTTCGTAAACAGTGAAGAGGACTAAAAAAGAGTTCGCCGTAAAGAGGCTCCTCTCTAATGAAGAGAGCGCTGATAGGTCATCGTGCCTTCCAACTGCGGTTCGAAAATAAACCAGATCACATGGGACGGGAGACCAGAGATGAAAGGACACTTATCATTCGATATTCACATAAGGAAATAGAGTAAAATCCCGCTATATTGGAGCCCATTAGCCCAGACTATCACTGACCATCAGGGTATGTAAGAAGGCACAGACCAGACCAACGCCAGACCCAACCCTAGCCTCTAACCTCCAACCCACACTTACCTGGACCCATAATTCTATGTGATGGTGCCACTGCTAGTAGTATACTAAACAAAAATCCAAAACAGAACACTCAAAGAAGCGAAGAGAAACTTACGTATCATCGCCTAGTCCCCCTCCCCCTCAAACTACCTGTCCTCCCCAACAACCCCATAGGCGGTGTGGGCGTCGGCGTAACAGGCGTCCTCTGGTTCTCATCCGCTATCCCAACGCCCGAACTCACCGGGCCCTCAACAGGAACAAGCTCCCACCTCTTGAGCGGGTCGTTCATACCAACCCACAGATCCGCAGGCAGGACGTCGCCTACTTCTTGTTTGAAAGCTTCCCTCATCTTGCGATCATTCTCGATCAGCTGGTCAACTGTATCCCGTGCGCGGCGAAGCGTGGCTTGTATTTTCTCTTCCACGCTGCGGCGGCGCTCTGCTTCCAGCATGAGGGAGTCATACGCCCTCGCGTAGCTGTCGTAGAATAACTTCAGTTCATCCATCTCCTCCATTTGGGAGACAATCACGTCTCGTTCGATGGCCCAGCGTTGTGTAAACTCCGCCTCGGCTTCGACATAACTTGGCAAGCGGGCACCGACTTCTTCCAGCACGGAAAATGCTGCCAGCACGGCGCGATTAGTACCTCTAATCCGATCCGCCTGTTGTTTTAACTCGCCGAAATCTACCTCCATCTGCTGGAGAATTGCTTGGATTTCTGCCACGACTTCGTCCACTTCCGGGGCGTCTTGCATCACGACTTGGACCAGCTCAGCCCGTTCCTGCGGGTCTAGCGGGTCTAGCATCTCGGCTGGAATGCGGGTATCCTGCTCGGTGATCACGCCCGAAATGGACATGGGCCCTCCGCCGGGGGAGGAGTCTGTTTCTGCTGCGCGACGGCGGGCGAGTGCTGCGCCGCCTTCTGTGGCGCGGACGGCTTTCACACACATGTCGAAGTGTTTGTTTAGGGCGCTGAGATGCTGCGCCATGGTAGAGGAGTGCTGTGTCAGGGCCGAGAGGAGATGTGACATCGGGGTGTAGGCCGAGGAGTTGGAGGGGGATTTGCAGTCGGGGGCAGTGGCGAGGGTCTGGTTTAGCACTCGGAGATCTCGATCGAAGCTGAGGAGGTCATTGTCGAAGGATTTTTCGATATCCTGCGAAAGATTAGGAAGATTGTCTGGCGAAGAGTCTGATATTCACCAACGCACCTGCATCTCATCGAGACTTCTTTTAATCCCCTCCCTCAACCCCTCCACCTTCTGCTCATCAATAAAATCCAGCAAACTCTTCTGCTCTTCCCCCGGAGGCCTAAACATCGGATCGACTTTGGTGAGCCTCAACAACGCCAATGTCTGCTCCAACCTCGCATTCGCATCATCCAAGCCCCGAATTAACCGCTTAAACTGTCTCTTGCTCTCGTCATACGTCTGTCCCAGCTGGCGCCGCACCTTGCGCAGCAGCCGCAGCTGCCCGTCGATGCCGCGCCGTAGGAAGGCGGTCTGCGCGCAGAGAATGACGCACTCCTCATACATCTCGCGGGCGAGGGTCGCCAGGTCGTGCGCGCGCACCACGAGGGCCATCGATGAGAGTGACTGTTTGGCGGCCAGGAGGTGCTTGACAAGCACCTCGACAGGCACCTTGTCCGCGTCGAAGGACGGGGAGTGCGGATCGAGGTAGGATGGTGGGCGCGACATTATGATGCTGATTTGAGAGGGGAAAAGAGCGGGAAGTATAGAGAAAGAAAGAAGATAATAGGTAAGAGAAGAGATGGAGCGCGGTTCAGCCGCGGATGGCACTACGGCATCGCGGTTGATAAAGGATGGGGCAAAAAGGCGGAGAGAGAGATGGACGGTTCCTGGATCGAGTCTCAGGGCGCGTTGGATGCGTGGTCGTCGACCGCCTTACAGCCTGCAGCCTGTAACTTGCTGTTTGTCTGGGAGATCCCGGTAGAAGATTGGCCGAGCTCCTATCCAAGGTACAGTGAGTGATGTCAGCGGGACACTATGGCCACAGTTATCGAAGGCTGGCAACACTGTGTATAAAAGTTGGTTTTCAAACAGTTTTGTCTTGGACATGTCTAGAACAATGGGATTCTCGTCAAGAGCAAAGGCACGAATGATCACTTTAATTCATCAAACTCGGTCTCGTCAATCTTTGGAATATTCAATTCTCCAACGCGTCCATTGTTTGCTTCTCTGTCATCCTATCTTATCAGCCAATGTTGACCCACAGGGGATCGCGAGGCACAGACCACTGGGCTTCTGGGTTTCAACGAAGCGCGCCTCATTCACTTTTTCTTCCCATCTCGGACTGCAGGATTCCGATTTACTTATGACACCGCGTTTGTTGGTGTTGGTTATCCAGTAACAGACTCTGTGGTGACCTGACCCCCGCTCAACGGCAAGATCACCGTGAATGTGATCGAAAATCCGAACTGTAATTGACCCCTTGTCGCGTGCCGACCGAGTTTTGCGTTCTCACTTCAGCTGGCGACAACGATTCCCATGCTGTTTTCTAACCGCAAGCTTACCGAAACAATGTGACAAGCTTTCATCGTCCTTCGCGGAATCAATCATATGCTGGAACTCAGCAAGGCGTTGAGATCAATGCAGTCGACAGCCAGGTATTGTCCCAATCAGGGATCAACAGCTTATGATCTTGGTTGACACACATCCTGATAAAACCACCCAATGCGATGGAATCAAAACAAAGCTGATTGCAGCGCATTCGTCCCATCTCATATCTTCCAGGTGACTTATAGGTGAGTTATTGATACCTTAGACAAAGCGCGTGTCATTGGCAGACACAAAACAACAACACAGGACGTGTCGAGTGATTACAGGTTGCCTAGTGATTCCAGAAATAGATTTAGGGTCATGGTACCTCTGCTCGGTTCCTCCTTTTTTTTCTCTCTTTCATAAAAAAAACTGCACTTCAAATTAACCATTACTCTGCTCTGACATCTCTTAAGGCAGGTGGTTCCTGTTTGCAACTGATGTCTTCGTACCTTTTCCTCTGCCCCGCCTTTTGATAAGATAAGCGACGTACCCTCAGGATTTTCTGGGGTTGTTTTCCAAATCCTTGTGAGGGTTTGCTCATTACCCCGCGCTTCAATCAGCGCCCTTCTCTTCCCAACTACATCTTCCAAACCATACTAACCCTACAATTTACGATCCCTCAGACTTTGCTTCTAACAGTCTACTTCATCCCCGATCGATCGAACCTGTCTTCATCAACGTTAAAATGACTCCGGCTCCAGAGCCCCAAGATCCTCCCACCATCCACGAACCCGTTGCCACTGAACAGACCGACGACATCAGCGACTGGGACGTCGAGAGCGACTATGAAGACGGCTATGGCGCCCCATCCAAGTCTCAGGCCCAAGGCGGCGCTTCTGCTGCCGACCGACCCAAGATCAACGCCCATGCCCGAATCGACGACCAGATGACCGACCTCGCCAGGCACGCCTCCAAGATTCGCCTGGACAATCTCACGATGCAGCAGATCTTCCGCGACAAAGATCGGACTGATAATGCTACCAGCGATCAGGTCCTCGACAACCACACTCGCATGATCATCCTGAACATGCTTAACCGCAACATCATCAGCGAGATCTACGGCACGATCAGCACTGGTAAAGAAGCCAACGTCTACAACGCCGTCGCTTACGACAACAATGGCGAGCGCATTGAGCGTGCCGTCAAGGTGTACAAGACAATCATCCTAGGCTTCAAGGATCGTGAGCGGTATCTTGCGGGAGAGCAGCGTTTCAAGACCATCGTCGACAAAGCGCTTAGTGCACCGCGCAAGATGATCAAGCTCTGGGCCGAGAAGGAGTTCCGCAACCTCAAGCGCCTTCACACTGCCGGCATCCCGTGTCCAGAGCCGATCTATCTTAAGTATAACGTCATGGTCATGGGATTCCTTGGCGACCACACCAACGGCTATGCCTTCCCCCGTCTGCACGATACCAAGATTACCGGTGAGACGCTGGAGGAGACAGAGGCTGAGTGGCGACGCCTCTACATCAACCTACTCAGCATGATGCGCCGCATGTACCAGGTCTGCGGCCTGGTGCACGGCGATCTGAGCGAGTACAACATCCTCTACAACGAAGGCGTCCTCTACATTATAGATGTGTCGCAGTCCGTCGAACACGATCACATCGAAGCGACCAACTTCTTGCGCATGGACATTAGAAATGTCAACGACTTCTTCGCCCGCCGGGGCGTCGACACCCTGTCTGATCGCACAGTCTACCACTTCATCACCGACAGCACTGGAGCGGTCGACGAAAACGGCATGCGTAAGGCCATAGACAACCTATATGCGACGCGCCCTCCCCTCGCCGAGAGCGAGGAGGCCCGCGCCGAGCAGGAGATTGACAACCAGGTCTTCCGCAACCAGTTCATCCCCACCACGCTCGAGGAAGTGTACAACCTCGAGGTCGAGCTCGGTAAGAAGGTCGACACCCGGCTGTACCAGCACATGCTCGCCGACAGCAAGGTGCCTGAGTCGACTGGTGGTGAGCACAAGAGTGGGGAAGGGGGGGAGTCTGGGAGCGAAGACGAGGAAGGAGACGAGGGAGAGAGTGGAGAGGTGGAGAGTGGAGATGAAGAAAGAGAGGAGGGTGAGGGTGACCGTTTTGAGAAGAAGCGGCCCCGCGGGAAGAAGCACTTGGATAAGGCGGAAAAACATGCGCACAAGATGGCGGTCAAAGAGGCCAAGCGGGAGAAGAGGAAGGAAAAGATGCCCAAGCATGTCAAGAAAAAGTTGGTTGCGGCAAACAAGAAGAGGAAGTAAGGGGAGGGGTTTTGTGACATTTCTATTTAATATGGTTTTAGTAAGGTACGAATCAGCGATATCTCTTGGTCCAGGGCTTAGGATTGCAGCGACAAGAGAGCCGGATGATGAAAGCTCAGCACTAGTGCAGGGGTCTGAGCAAGCCCTTTCTTCACACTACTCATGGGCCGTGGCTTGCGATGACGACCAAAGAGAGCACTGACGGCCATGATGACTTGTTAGAAAAAAAAAAAAAAACTCGGACGATATTGTTTTGTGGGTTTTCATGGGTATGGGAACCAAAAGTGCATTTTGGGATGACTACCATAGAGGCTTTGGCATTGGAATATAAAGCGTGTTTTTCATTAAGGTTGGGTCTCTGAATGGCATGACAAATTGCAATCCACGACGTTATCCCTGATGTTTCCACTTGCCAACCCAGCATGGGTGTACCCTAAAAGTTCCCTTCTGACAGTCTTCCAAGATGCAGTGTCACTTCTTGACATCTTCTTTGGCATTGCTGGTCCTACGCCCGCCTTGCAGCACAAGAATTTCTTCGCGTCACATCCGACCCCAGTGCCCCACGTGGCGCTGCGTCTCTCCCGCTGAAACCGCCGAAGCGAATCCACCCACCTTCCTGTCTTGAGCCTGTTCCGGGCGAAGAGTGGCTGGCTAAAGCTGGCCGACGAACAGGGGCCGGAAGGTTGGTGCCGGAGTGGCCGGGGGTGTTGGGCGCTTTGCAGAACTTTTTTTTAAGCCGGTAAAGCGAGAGTGGTCGCTGGTTGCAGAGCTGACGATGATAGGATGGGGCAGAATTACGAATCATGCATTTGGGCTTCTAGAAAAGTCTCTGAGTTCTGTTGCACTAGCAGCATAACAGTGTTGCTCCCTCAAAAGGGAAGAGTCCACTGTACATATTAGCGCAGGCATTGCGCGCCCTGTATCTGACACGCCGGGGCCGGGCTAGGTATGCCCGAGGCTGAGACTTCAAAGGGGGAAAAAAATGAAAATAGTGCAATTTCAGCGGGGCGTGTCGTTTGCGAGCATCGCGCGGCCACAGAATTGCTTCTGCGAGACTGACGGCAGGCGGGCGGGAATGACGCGCTCGCGACTCTCATCGGCCACTCAATCGCTAGCCGCGCTCACCGCTTGTGGGTTGGGGTTGAACTTATCAGTCGGTCTGGTAGCTGATGGGTCCAGTGACAGGGTGAGTTGTTGTGGGTTTACGGTGTTTTTTGTTGACAGGGTGATGTCCAACACACGATATCAGGGGCTGTTTTTGAGATGACGTTTTGAACCCAGCACATGGTCGCCTGCCTAACCACTCCATGTAGCGCCAAGTCATTCGAAAAAAGGGGAGACTTTCACACATAACAGCTCCAATGTAATGGACTTCATTGCCAAGGCTAAGCCGGCGCCGTTCCGAGGTTCCATCGTTAGTTTTTGTACCGCGATGCAAGCATCCACATCCAGGAAGCAACAGCAGCCTCCACCAACAAAGCCAAGCCAAGGAAAAAGGAACGGTGCTCTTCCCCATCTTCCCCGCAGTTGCAGTGGGAACAGTGGTCATGGACTTACCATGCTATCTCCGGCCCGGCAAGTGGGAGAGGCTGTCCTGTCCCTCGGCTCGGCTTCTTTACTTGGGAGTTGGGCGATTTAGCTTTGTTCGAAGTTTTTCTGTTTAAAAGGGCCCCCTCCCCCTTACGAATGCAGTGTGTTGCATTTGACCCCCTTTCCTGTGATCGTGCCAACGACCCTAAACCTAACAGCTGCTAGCTTGTCTGAATTGATGCAGCTACCTGGCCAGGGCGAGTTGGTTTGTTTGTAATAAAAAAAGACTGAACTAGGTCTGGCGGCCAACGACCTTCTGGTCGTTGGGTGTTCCCGGGACCCGAGGTACCAAAAAATAAATAGGCGATTGCTAGTAGAGTGTGCTTCTTAAACTTGTTCTTCTTTCCTCCTCTGTTCTTGTTTTTGCCCTCTTCCTCTCTCACGCTCAACCACCTACCTACCTACTGCTTGCCGCCGGATAGACATGACCACGCCCCCATATACTAAGGTGCCTGCCTACCGCCATTATCCTTATCAAGTTGTCGTCGAGAAGGATCGTAATCATCAACCGGATTGAGTCAACAAGCGAGTTGTGGAACAAGCATCAGCGATTATTAGTGATCAGCAAATCACCACCAACATGGCTGACAACGAGAAGACCTCAATCTCAACTAGTCATCAGGAAGAGGCCGGAAATGTGCAGGAGGCCCATTATGACCATCGCAGCCACAGTGATAAGGAGAAAAACACCGCCCATGGCTCCTCTTCAGATCTCTCCTCGACTGCCGAGGTAGAGTCCATCAACGTCGGACAACGCGGCCGTCGTGCCTCTGTGGCAACTACAGCCCGTTCTCACCGGGAAAGCTTTTACTCTCAGCGGAGTGTTGACCCTGCAGAGGTTCAGGCTGCTGTGCCAGGGCATGATCTCGATGTTGAGCTTGCTCAGGTAAATCTCTCATCCTCACACCGTCTTATATGGACAGCAATTGACCCTATTCCTAGGGCCGACACTCCCCAACTGAATTAGCCCGCATCCAAAGCCACGCTTCGGTCCGCTCGCGCCTATCGCGCATCCTTACCAACACTTCAGCTCGCCAGCGCGAGCGAATTCCCTTTGCCCCCTTACCCCTGACCAACCTCGACGAGGGCATCGTCGGCTGGGATTCACAAAGCGACCCGGCCATGCCGCTCAACTTCCCGGCCCGCAAGAAGTGGACTATGGTCTCCCTGCTGGCAGCTATTACCTTTCTCACGCCGTTTGCGTCGTCCATTCTCGCTCCGGGGATTACCGCGCTGCAGAAGGAGTTCAACAATTATAACTCTGTTGTTGGTACGATGACCGTCAGCGTATATCTGTTGGGGTATGTGGTTGGGCCATTGTTCTTGGCGCCGTTAAGTGAGTTGTATGGGAGAAGGATTGTGTTAAGCGCGGCGAATTGTTTCTTTTGTGTGTGGCAGATTGGGTGTGCGCTGGCGCCGAGCATTGAGGCGTTGATTGTTTTCCGGTTTTTGGCTGGTATTGGAGGTGCTGGGTGTTTGGTAAGTTGCTTATAGTTCGTTCAGAGGATTAGAGGCTAACTTGAGCAGAGTCTTGGTGCTGGTGTCATCGCAGATGTGTTTAAGACTGATGAGAGAGGTTTTGCCATTGGTATCTATACCCTTGGTCCCTTAATCGGTCAGCCTGAACCCCCTTATTCTGGGCTTACCCCATCATGCTGACCCTTATTCCCAGGCCCAACCATTGGACCCGTTATTGGCAGCTTCGTCTCGCAAACCATCGGCTGGCGCTGGTCCTTCTGGATCGTCTTTATCACTTCGGTCGTCGTTGTTGCGACCCACGAGCTTAACAACACTGAAACCAATCCCCGTGTCCTTATCAAGCGCAAGGTCGAGCGCCTGAAAAAGGAACTCGGCCGCGACGACCTTCGCAGCTGCTACGAGATCAATGCCGAGGAGAAAACCCATCTCCAGACCCTCCTCAACGGCCTCATTCGCCCGACCAAGATGCTCTTTTATTCGCCCCTCGTGTTCTTCGTCTCTCTGTACATTGCCTTCACTTATGGCACGCTGTATCTTCTCTTTACCACCATCCCGACCGTCTTTATGCAATCTTACGGTTGGTCACTCGGCCTAACTGGTCTAGTATATATCTGCCTCGGTCTAGGCAACCTCGTTGGTTGGGCAGTTATCACCGCTCGCTCCGACCGCAGCGTTGTTCGCAGGACCAAGGAAAACGGTGGCGTATTCGAGCCTGAGATGCGTCTGCCCATCAGCATTTACTTCAGCGTGTTCCTTCCCATGACATTCTTCTGGTACGGATGGTCAGCACACTACAAGACGCACTGGATCGTGCCCATTATTGGCCTTTTCCCATACTCGTTTGGTGGTATTGGTATCTTCATGCCCTTGACGACGTATTTGGTTGATTGTTACCCGATGTATGCGGCTTCGGCGATCGCAGCGAACACGGTCATTCGGAGTTTGGCTGGCATGTTGTTGCCGTTGGCGGGTCCGAAGATGTATGAGACGCTGGGGCTGGGATGGGGAAATTCGCTGTTGGGGTTCATCTGCATCTTGATGATTCCCGTGCCGTTACTTCTGCATCGGTATGGGAAGAAGTTGAGGATGATGGGCATGCAGTTGTGATTTTGATAGTGCTGAGTGACGGTTTCAAGTTGATGAATGCTTGTGCGATCTCCCGGTGAGGTTGCGACATGACTCTTGGATATGATCCAAAAAGTAATGATAGCGATGTTGCATAGAATTTTTTCCTCGTCCGTCCAAACTCTTCCTTCATATCGCACGTATACTAATATGTTTCTCCGCTCGATCACCCATCCGTCGTAAAACGGGGACAGCGTCAAGAGCGATTGCACCGCATCAGCCTCTTTTTCATCCTCGCTCTCGCAACCCGAATAGATATAGTGTTACCCTGTTTTTCTGAATACAACATCTCAAGTATCATTGAAAATTGGTTTCCTCCCTCTTGGTCAGACAATTGTATTTCATTGTCTCGTTGCTACCCGAAGCGCGATGGTTCAGTTTCCTTTTGTGCTCTGCAAGCTTCGTATTAGAGCTGAGGCTCCCACTTGCTGCTTGCTTGTTGGATGTATAAGGAAATGGTGAATGTGGGTGGGAGTATTTACTTGGGCGTTGCCCTGCAGGACACGCGGCCCTGAGGGAATCTGTCAAGCACAATGGGTGCCGCAGAATAACAATGCTCTACCTCCCAAACTACAGACGCGTGAAGGTGGATGAGCATGGCTCTTATATATGGTCAAGTGTGCACCTGACCTCAGTGGAACCCGGGCTGACTGAGGTAGGTCAGCGGTGACCACACCGTGGTCACTGACAGCTAACATTGCTGGGCACCGTTTTTCTGATTTTGTATGGATCCGTGAGCACTGTTACTTTCCCCCCCCCCCGAATACATACATCTTCCAGGAAATCGGCTTAGCCCAGTAAACATAGGCAGAAACCAACGAATACAAAGCCGTACTTGCATGAGTTGCGCAAGTTTCTAAAGAAGTGATGAAGCAATCCATGATGCGGAGTCACAATGAGCGATGAAGAAGCATTACAAGTAGCAAACAGAGTAGGCCACTACCAATGAAATTAGTGGCAACAATCAAGCAAGATTTGATGACACGATGCTTTGCAGTAGCCTCGTTGACTCCCGGGGACGGCTTCGTTGTCACGATGATTTCACTTCCACAAGATCAAGCAAATTGGCATGAATGGATCGAATGATAACTGAGCTGATGCTGTAGTTTCCTAAACAAGGAGAAGGATGTGGTACTCTTGGGACCCATAGCTAAGCATATACACGGTCTACGGTCCTCAAATCACCCATATCCCGATGCCTGCGAGCCCAGATAAGCGAAGAGGTATAGCTATGATAAGGTTGCAACATCAAGACCAACTTCCGATCTTGGTTCGCTTCATGCTAGCGAATATTGACTGATGGCTATTTCATCTACTGTGATATTCTCTCTGGCGTGTACAAAATCGTTAGAAAAAATTAGATGTGAAGGACCCAATACATAAGCTGTGCTCGGAGTACATTATCTTCCGATATTCTATTTGAACATCTCTGCTAACGAACATATTTCTAGCTTTTTTCCACCAAATTAGAGTTAAAACGAGCATTAAGTGATATCGAATAGTACTTGTCATTACAGTACAGACCGCAAATATAGTATTCTTGACAATCTCCCTCTATGGAGCAACGTTGTTACTATACTTGTAGGGGTTGCTGTTGCGCCGGTTGTCCTCGTCATCATCATCGTCATCGTCTGTTTTCGTTTCGCAACACAAAAAGCTTGGCATCAGCAGTGCGGCAATTTGAAACGCAAACAAGATAATGGCAATCTTGTCTGTTGGTGAATAAATGTCATTGCGTCTCATCACGCTTTCTGTCCAGAGGACCATCGGCCAAATCCCGACTGACAGAAAAGGGACGCTGCATAACCATGCGATGGTTTCCCACCCCTTCTTCTCTAGCTTGTGGGCGAGTGCGTTCCGAAAGCCAGAGTAACGCGGGTCCTTCTTCAAGTGCCTATAGAGATAGAGAAAAATGGGCCAAAACCCTATCGTCATGAAGAAGCTGCCGAGAAAGATAGCCACAATGACAAGTTTGAACTTGTTCCACCCAAGAGCTCTGATGAATTTATTGATATCGGAGTTCTTCTTGACTGCCAGAACCGCCATAGCAATTGTCCAGATAACTGAGACAACACACATGGCCGTGCCTGAGATGGTCCAAATCCGAAAGAAATAGTTATGCCAATCGATGTCGAGTTCGCGACAGCCGAAGAAGCAAAAGTCGTACACTCCATAACCGTCTTTCATATACTCGTATGCCTTCCACGTAGCGATCGTGTTCACGACAATCATAAACGTAGTCCCTCCCCATAGGAGAAAGGCCAGAAACCAATGCCGCGTGCTGATACCTGCAACGTAGGAAATAGCGAAGATCATGTTGAAGTAGGGAAGGAGCAAGTACAGCGCTCCGACATAGTCTGTATTATCGCGGCTGCTGACTACTTTGTACCACATCCATTGCTGGTACATGTTGTAGCTGAGGAAGCCCAGGTTGCTGAGACAGTTGCTGCCCACACCGGCGACATACTGGGCTGGTGCGAGGACTGTGCTGACGTAGAGGAGGACGCGGTTGACGAAGCTGAAGCCTTCTATGGTCTCGATCGTCATATCCAATCTGTTGACGGTCACGTAGTATAACTGTAGCTCGGGATCGCTGACCGCAGCGCTAGGTTGCAGTTGTTGCAGATTAAAGCCAGGGGGTGTCAACGCTTGTCCAAGTGGTCCAATAGACCGCAAATTGTATCGACAACACGACTGAACCTCGGTGGTCGGCTTTTCGAGAGGAAACGAGTGCTTACTGGATTGTCATGTACGCCCATTCAAACTTCTGTAAGGTTTGGTCTGGTCTGGCGCTGGAGAAAGAAGGTATTTAAAAAGAGGGAAAACCCTCAAGGATACATTCCACTCCCGTTATCCGTCCTCATTCCTTGAAGATGCCAGTCTACAGCCTGGCTAGGCTGAACTCAGTGGGAATGGTCGAAGTAAGATGGACATGTGAATAACACCATAACTACTCACCACCACAAGCTCGGCTCTGGCGAGTATCTTCTCATGTTGGACGCTTTCTCTTACCCTCGTCAGAAACCGAGTTAACATGCTGCAGCGGATATGAATCCGAAGCGCAACTATCACCTCAGTGGCTACACCTACGACATAGCCTTGTGGGGTTATGCAAGGGGTAAACTGCTCACCTCTCCAACCCAAGCAGCGGATGGTGCAAGTGTCGCCTCAATAGTGTTCCGCGTCTACGGACTGCTCCGCAGATCCCCCAACCTAATTTCAAATTAGGTTATCAGTCTCTCATACTTTCCTCCCAGACAGCCAGTCACCAGGTGAGTGTTTGGCTTCTGGCCAAGGGTCACACCACCATTCCCAGCCTTGTGGCCCTTGTTGTTCTCCTCCCCGCCGAGCTGCGACTTACCCGAATCCCGACGGACCAATAGTGAACGGACTTGGAAACTTTATGGGAACATTTGCAAATTAACGAGGTTTGGGAATATTGAGAAACTTACTATGTATGTTGGAAGTCATGTTTGTACACAACTCATCCCGAGTCAGCCAGGTGAAGCACTGCTCTATGAAGCTCTCATCCCACGAAACACCGCTATTTGCATAAGACACAAAGGCTTCAGCACTAAGAGCGTCGAATTCTCACAATTGGCTTTCGTAAGGTTCCTCAACCTTCGGGTCGCTCTGGTGGCTTCTTTACGATGTCATTTACCAACGACAGCTGCCAGCATTTATCCTCATCTCGAGGGCCGTAAAGTGACTAGCTAATGCGAGGAGCCGTATTAGGCCCTCAGAATGACTGATATCCCTAAACGCTTATTGTCGGTGACCTCTCTGTCGGGGCGTCGCAACGGTTCTTCCAGAGATATGCAAGATATCAATGGCTTCAGTTAATGTCCTTCCCTGGACCATCTCCGTGAAACATGCCATGCTCACGAGCCCAGCTCGGACTCCTTAGCCACCTTTAAATTGGTTTTGATCACCAAAGCATCAAGATCTTTCCATATTTTGAACTTTTCTTCGTCGAGTTATGTTGTCGTTGACTGTGAGATAGTCGAAACGAGGATGGGCGCCTGTTTGTCCCGGATCATTCAGAGTTAGAGGAGATGGACGAGCTAACTGACCTTGGATAGAGATGTGTACGGACTATAGTGATGCAGAACTTGGCATGTTGAGAACGAAACATACAGAGTAGAGATGAGTCAATACACCGAGTTGCTACGAAGCATCAAGGCTGAGTGTTTTTAATGAAAGAACCTCATCGATTCTCGTCCGGTTCATCACATATTCCCTCCGCCCGCTTTGAGTACCAACCGCAATAACAGACGTCAACGACGGGTGAAGAATGCAACTGACGGGCTTTGACACTTTGACAAGGGGCGCAAGTAACAGGAGGCGGGACAATCAGTCGGTGTTATTAATGGGCAGAGGAGAGAGCACCCAGGCCCTACCAGCGGGCAGGAGTAATGAGTGTGCACAGCTTGAAGCAACCCTCCCGACCACATCCGCGAGGTTTTAAAAAGCAACAGCCGGCTTCACCTATGGGCGCTATACCCCTTGCTAAGCACAATAGTAAGGCACGGGCTGTAGGCTACCGGCCCCACCTGTGGGCGTAAGTAAGGTAGGTATTTGCATGCTTCCAACGTTCTCTCCCCTTTCATCCAATACAATCAATGCCGGAAAAATGGTCGACAAAACCAGTTTTTTATTCTGTGTTCTCGAGTCACAATGAAGTACAAAGCATCATGAGTGTTACTAGCGAACTCCACTCGACAGTTTGGTTGTGCCTGCTTGGGGATATCTCAGAGGAGATTCTCACCCGATAGACCGATCCTTTCTTCTCCCCCGACCATACCTACTGCTGGACTGTATGCCGTCACATCTCTGCGCACAAGAAGCGCACTACTGAGCGCTGTTTTTGGGAGTACTGGATTCCGCAGATGAACTCCCCCATTCACTTCTACAACTACCGCACTCCCGAGGGCGTAGGTACTCTGGATAAATTGCGTGAGCACGAGCTTAACAAGGTTCCTCCTGTCTATTATTATTTCAAAGAATTCGCGGATAGTGACAGCAGCAATGCAATTTTTATGGTTGAGCGCGAGTCATTGCCACAGTCAACCCATCATGGTAAGATATATAGAACGGGAGATTACTGAACAATTGCGCTGAGAAAGCTGCATGAATGACATTTGCTTGCCTCAAATTCTGCCAAAAAGTTTTAGTTCTCTTGTCATTTGAACGCTGAGTTAAGTGCACACCCTTAACAACTGACCAACTTGTCACCTGAGCGCATCTAGGTGGGGAAGCGGACAAGGAGATGGAGGAGAGGGCTATGCACTGTGAAATGGAAGTAAGAGAGGTTTGATCTCATATGGCACCCGTATTTCCCGAATAAGTGAAGAAAAAAGATTCATATTCGACTAGGATGTGTTCCGGTTCCTGCGCACCTTGAAAGGATAAGCCTTGGGTTCTAAGAACAAGAAGAGGAGTTCCAAAAGCGAGCCAAAGAAGAAAAGAAGAAGGTAGAATGACTTAGTTTGTGCAATTCTTTTGGAACTTTTGAGATATTTTCGAACATTAAACTTGTCTGAGAGCTGAACAATGACTAAATATATTTGAGTCAAGTGCAGTCTATCCGTATCACCTGTGTTGCAATCAGTGTTCGATACTCGCTGCCAAATACTCTATAAGAAACATATGCCAAAGTACGCCAAAGATCTAACCATTATGTCGCCTAGAAAACGTGTACTATGTAGCAGACGCTTTAACCGTTGTTGTCATCATTGATGTCGCATGGCGAACTGTGACGCTTGAGTGATCTTGCGTAAAATTGGGTGATGAATAACTATGGCTTGACTTTCATACACCCTTGACGTATGTGCCTCGAGGAGGTAAGTAAATCAACGGGAGCGAGAGAGCCATAAGAAGGGTAGGCATGAAGTGTTGGACTGAGCAGACGGACATAGGACCTGATATTGTTTACTTTGGTCGCGAGTTGCCCAGGAGATGCTCAGGGGACTAAGCGGGGAATAAAACCCGGGAGAGGCGGGGAACCGCACTGTGCACGCTGCGTAACGTATACTGTTTTCTCACTGTTTTACTCATCTCACTTCAGCTCTTCAACCCCAGAGTTTCACTTGTCTCATTTGACTTCACCACCTGGACAACATACTTAACACTTTCCACAACCCACCTGCCACAACTTTCTGCTAAGGACAGAATATCGCTATCGTTATTGACAGTCTCATGAAATTAGTCCCATGCAAAATAAATTCAACAGTCCGTAACCGGTGAGAAAACCATCATGGATCGAGACCAGGGCGCGTCGGACAACCTTCTAGGTAAGCAAACATTTCATTGATCGTTGACTTTTTATCACCACTTTTGGCCTGGCCACCAATTCATGCCCTGTATGAGGAACGCAACACCGATACCTTGAATAACCCATCCGTTTTCATTCAATCACTGTTCCTCAATTCTCATCCCCTTTTGCCCCTCATCCCCTCATAAGCTCACTCGCTAACCCCTCTACTAATACCAGAACGCAAAAACATCCTAATAGCCTCCATCATGACCTCCTACCGCGACCTTATAACCCACGCCACCTCCCCCATCACCTCTGCCACAGCCTCCCCGGGCCACGCAGGTTACTCGAGCATGGCCCTCTCGACCGCAATCCACGCCGCTGTAAAGTACACCGAAGACTTGCTCTCTCTAACCCGCACACTGCGCGAGTTGTGGGTCGTCGGCCCGTTGACGGGCCCAGGGGAGAAAGATGCGCAAGCGGAGGAGGGCATGGCGAAAGATGCAGAGGTTGTGTGGGACGTGTTGAATGAGATGAGGGATCGGGAGAGGGAGAGGATGATGGCGGCTTTGATGGAGGGAGATACGAGGGTCAGGGGGGCGGTGAGGTTTGAGAGAGGGGACGTTGAGGTGGTAGTTGCGGGGCAGGGGCAGCAGATTGAGATGGGGAGGGGGGTAAATGGGGAGGTTAAGAGCGAGGGGGCGTAAGGAGATTGGGGTTGATAGCGGGTAATGGGTTGGATGGACGGATTTAATCACGGTTTACTCTGCTCAATGAGATTTGGAATGGGATTTGGAATGGGAAATGAGATCGGAGATGGATGCATATTTGAGAGCAAAACGCCAGCTATGCACTGATCTACCAGAGGGTGCAGTATTTTTCTTTTCCCAGACGCCAAATCAATCGCCCCTCTCCTCAACGCCATCAGCATCATCGCCCAGTTCAGCCTGCAGGGCTTTGGGTACTCTCTCGGTCCTTTCTGATCGCTCGTGGGATGCCTCCAGGCCGCCAGCAGTAACCCAAAGAAAGTAGTCGGTCCGGTAGTTGTCGACCTGGTTGAAGAAGAGATGGAAACTGGGAAAGTTAGCCAGGGAACTCAGAAGATGACAGAACAAAATGACTTACGAATTCTCCTTCTCCTCCAACTCAAACATCCGGCGATAGATGTGCTCATCCTTGAACGCCTTAATCTTATCCTCATACTTAGCAAAGTCAATCGGCTCACGGCCAATGGTCACAGCCTTCTTGTTGTACTCGGTGAACATCGGTCTCTCCAGCATCAATCCCAGGCCAGGGGCCTTGGGAATACTGATCCTCCTTGGCCCATAGCTTTGGTTAATAATATCCAGAGGGGCACCACACCGTACAACCATCACAGCCATGGCGACCATCTTTCGAATCTGATGCATCATAAAGCTCTGACCATGCACCTTGAGCGAGAGCCACTCGGTATCACGAATCTGGATCGGGTTTGGGTTGACCTGGAACGATTTGATATGGCGCTTGGCGGAAGCGTCCTTGAACGCCTTCATGACGGTGTAGTTGTGGAAGTTACGTGTGCCCAGGTACTGGTTGAGGGCCTCCTGCAGGCGCTGGATGCGCACGGGGGTGACGCGGTACCGCCGCTTGGCTGCGACGTAGGCGGCTTTGATCTCGCGGAGGGCTAGCTCGACAGGCGTGAGTTCCTTGTCCTTGTCAGACTTGGACTTGGAGTCCTTTGACTTCTGCACGGTGAAGGCGGAATCCTGCTTGGACTTGGACTCCGCTTTCGCATCCTCCATCTTGGTATCCTTCAACTTATCGCTGGCACTGGTACCCTCCATCTTAGTGTCCGAGTCAGCTTTGGCAGCTTCCGGCTTGCCATCTTGGGCAGCAGTCGATTGCTCCGAGGCATCCTTCATCTCGACATCCTGCGCCATGCCCTCATTGTCCTGCGTAGGCTCCGTCTCGTCGGTCAACACTTGGTCGACGGAAGCATACAGCTTCCGCAGGACCTCGGGCTTTATCGAGGGATCGAGCCTATCGAGAATCGGCTTAATGTCATTTTTCTCGACCTCCTCCCAGAAATCCTTCACATCGTCCAACCGGGACATGTATTCATCGTAGACGCCCTTTTCCTTGGCCGACTCGATGATTTTCTTGCCCAGGAAGCTCTTTGGGTGAGGCGGCAGCAGCGAGTAGCTGGGCATCAGGTACTCATACCAGCGGGAGTCACAGGCCTGGTAGCAGCTGAAGCCATTGCTCGTGCGCTGGATACCCCAGACGCGAATCTGGTCGGGCAGATGGGAGTTGATTTTCTCGACAATATCAGGGTCCTCCACGATCAGCTTCAGCGAGAGGACATTGCCGGCGGCGTGCACGCCCTTATCGGTACGCGCGCAACGTACAAGACTCGACTTCTTAGGATCATCGGCATTGACCTTCGAGATGGCACCAGCCTTAACAAAGGCCGCAAAAAGATCACCCTCGATCGTGCGCTCCTTGTGGTTGATCTGGATGCCGTGGTAGCCTGTGCCCGCGTAGCCAATGAGAACGGCGACCTTGCGCTTCGGCCGGCGCTGTTCGGCAGCGATCTCCTCAGGGGGGAAAGTGATGCTCATGTAGCTGTGACCGCCATTTTCGCCTTCGATTATGCGGCGACGCTTGGCCTCGCGGTTCTGGGCGACCTGCTCACGCTTGTCGGGGACCTCTCCTCTAGATCCTGTTAGTGTCGGTATCGGTACTGCGTCACAAGCCAATCAAGAAGAAGCAGATTAGGTGAAGTGAACACGGAATTTGGAACATACTTCGCCGCGCCGAAACCTGTGTGCTTGCGCTTGTGGGGTTTGTCGTCTCCGCGGGTGCTTCCGCCGGCAGGCTTGGAGCTGGAAGGAGTGGTGTTGCTTCTGTTGCTGTCGTGATTGTTCTCCTTGGGAGTGTTCTCAGTCGATTGAGCAGCCTCGGCAACGGCTGCCGGCTTTGGCTCTGGAGTAGGCCCGCTTGGGGGAGCGACCTGAGGGATGTTCTCGTTGTCTGCCATCTTGTCAACGGGAGGTGTCGGCAGAAGGTTTTCATTGCGGCGTCGCAAACATGCCCGCGGGGATCTCTTGCAGGGAAAATTAGCTGCGCGCGAAGGACAGTTGCTTATCGTAGTGTCTTATCGTCGCACCATTCCCGATTTGGATTAGCGTGGGCGAGCCTTTTCGCGGGGCCGTCCCTTTCACAGTCAAGCTTCCTGATTTTGAAGATCTTTTCACGCCTTCCGAAATGCAATCGTTGGACTTCTAGTGTTTGCCCGTTCCGGCCAGCTCGAGATCCTGACCGGTGGTTGAGGTCGAATTGGCATACCTTGAAGCTCTTTACGTATCCAAGACTACCGCTCGAGAGGTGATTGTCCTCCACCACACGAACGGAGTCTTCCCAGGCAGCAGCAGACTTTCACCTCAAGTCAGTCCCACGTTTCAGCCCAGCTAAGAAACACCGGATTTGCTGCCAGCACGTTCGCCAGTGCAAGTCTGGATTAAATTTGCCTCTTATCCTTCTCCTAGCTCAATTTTGACCCCTCTGCTGCCCACAGCCTTCAAGGCCTTGGCACTTTACTGAGTATTCGTCACCATGGGCATGATCCCTGAAAATGGAGGCTTGCGGGACTCTTTAGCTTGAGCAGCACGGCTAGAAATTTTAACCTATCAGCATCAGCTCCGTTCCATCGCCAAGCCTTTCAACCGCCGTGGCTATCACTAACGGGAACGTCCGCAACCCCCAGAAGTGTGGCCGTGCGTTAATCTTGGCGTAAGATCCTGCATTTGTGTAACTTTGTAACTCTGTTGTCGCTTAGCACTTATTGGGGGGGGGGGGAGCACCCAGGGGCTGATACTACTTTAAGATGGAACGCGCCCTGGGCTCCGCTGAGTTGGAAAGGTTGGGCCGTTATATTGCGCGGGCCGCTCATGGCAGGTCAGGCGGTTGGCTTTTCCAAATCTCCAGGCAACGTTCTTGCTGAGCTGGTCCCCAACTCTCGAAGGCCCGCAACTTCAATCCCGGAGAGAGCTGTGGTGCAGGCCCATGCCTTTCATTCGCCCACGACCCTTAGTTCCTCGCCATGCGACGTGTAGGGAGTGACCGCTCCTACAATCTGTTGTGGGTAGCAATTCTCACGTCCTTGTTCGCCCTCTATCCTGCTGGCATCAGCGCCCAGGATAGCCTGCTCATCGATTGTTACTACTACGACCAAGATCGCGTCGTCTCCAACCAGACGAAATGCCCGAACTCTAATGCTTGCTGTGGCCCCAGGGCTACCTGTTTGTCTAACCGACTCTGCCACAATGCCGGAGATGACGAGAACACTTTTGTCCGCGGTCCCTGTGCCGTGAAGTCTGAGAATGGGAATTGGGACCCTCAGTGTGCCCAGATTTGTCTTTACAGTATGGACGCAGAATCACATGTCATGTTGTCTGTCTAACGTTGTTCAGAGGAGGGCTTCTGGTTTCCCCGAGTTAAACGCTGTTCCGATGGCAGCTGGTGCTGCGAAGACGACGTTGGATGTTGTGCGGATGGTAGAGGGGTCTGGATGGATGCGGATGGAAACATCGTTGCGTCCAAAACAGTTGCCGCTATCACGAGTTACCCTCCGAAGAACGGCGTGGGCCCTGAGAGAACCACCGTGCTTCCGACCACCTCGTCCAGCAGCAGCATCATGTCTCAGAGCTCAACCCTCTCCAGCTCCACGTCAACGACGAGTTCGGAAGCCGGACAGATGATCTCGTTTTCAAGCTCCTCCTTTCGCTCACAGTCATCTACCGACACAGCTGTAGGTGCTGAAGTCACCTCCACAACCCCTGACACTTCGAGCTCGGACACAGACAGCTCTAAAAACTACAACCTGGACCAAAACAGCTCTGACAAAGACAACACGATTGGATTCAAAGTTGGCTTGGGCGTTGGCATCCCTGTGACAGTGTTGGTCACGGCCGCGGTGTTATATTGCATCATACGAGCCAAATACAGCAGAAAAATGCAGGAAATGAGTCCGCTCCCCTACATGCCCACTGACGGATACTACTTGCCACCAGAGATGTCGCAGATATATCCAACGCCAACACCTTATTCGACAGGCTTTGCAGGGCCGGCCGCCCCCCCTGTGGAGCTGGGAACACAATACTCGATGGAGTTGGACGCTCGAGAGAGCCCTGCACACGAGTTGCCAGCAACTCCGGCACTACCCAGCAACTCCAGCACCAAAGGCTCATAATAAGTAATTGGGATGGTCAGACAAGGTCGGATGTTATTTTACGCTACGTACATAGCAAGTGTTGTATATAAGCCGCCTGCTCTCGTGTCCTTATGACGCATTATCAATAGGCTTAAGACTCAAAAAGATCGATCCATCTCTTGGATCCCACCTCATCTGTCCCAAAACTGTTGATGGACTGATCGACGCGGACATTGGGGTTGTCTCGGACTCCAGTTTGATTGCTTTTCCTCTGAACGTCGCCTCTCTCTTCTCTGGCCCGATCCTCATATGTGCTTCTTTTTGCGGAACAGTGCCGTTCTTCTCTTCAAGCCATGCCTGCGCTTCGGCCTCGGATCTGAAGGATTTGAATTCGGCGTTGGAGAACCCTTCGACCTGTGCCTTCGCTTCGCTGAGGGACATGAACGTTAGTAAATACGAGGGCAGAGACGAAGGCAGGGGGCAACTCACTCCCAAGTATTGAAGATTCCCGTCCTCTTCCCTCGCCTGACAGCGTACACCTTGGGCATCTTGGGGGTCTCCAAAGGAGTAAGTGGTACGGTACCCGCGATGACGTCAGGGGCTGGCTTGAACGACAATGATGGAGACAGAGAGATTTATTATAGGATACCTCCCAGGAGAAAGTCTAGGAGATGTTACGGGATTTTTGGCCTCACGCGCAGTTTTTAACGACAGGAATACCTACAGCAAGAGAGTTTACTCCAAGAAAGGGCGGTCAAACATACATCAGATATATCACAGTCGAGAAGTCTCTCGTCAGCTGGGTCTCGCACCGTTTCTGCCTGGGGAACCTTGTGTAACGAAACGAACGGTTCCATGCAACAACACTGAGGCCTGCCACTACAAGCTTCTCGGCGACAGACTGGCTCATGCCAACTATTCTCGTCTGCTGGATTGAGTCACCATTTGCAGCATCCGTGGTAAGATGCGATTGGGTCGAGGTTGTCACCTTGCATCCGAGTTCGCCCATACACACGCTGCCACTCAGGCGTTATAAGCTCACCGGTTCCGTTGCATAACAGGGCTTGTTTTCCAGCAGGTTGCTTATCCCTGGCTTTCTGATGGCCGCGCGTTTATCCAACTACAAGGACGTGGTCTCATGACGCATATCCAACTATCAGATTTCCCCCCCCCGGCGCGCCCTCCACCCTCTCCTCTACAGTCCTAAACTGCAACGAGGATAACACATTTAGCGACAAAAACGCTGCCATGACATCCACCGAACTTTCAGTAACATTTACGTTGAGCAACCCAGCGTGTTGACAGCCCACTCTTGTACCACTTTCTCAGTGCAGCCGTAGCATGCACACATCTGTCTGCAGTTAGCACGCTGCTCAATCCTGCCCAAGACATCATCCCATCCCGTGCCCTCCAGTATCTACCAGCTCCTTCCCCGAGTCCCCTCTACCAGCCCGTTTCTAATATCCCAATTAAAACAACACTCATACATAAAAACCAAGGGAAACACCGAAGATTAAGATACTCACCAACTTCTCCGCCCGTTCGACATTCTCATGATCCACACACTTCAGCACCTGCTCAGGTCCCGCCCACGTCACGTAGGCTGCAAAACAGGCGCTTCCGTTGATCACATAGCGGCAGTCGTCACTCCAGGCGTCGCAAGGTCCGTCACGACGAGTTAAGGAGTGTGTTTGTGAGGTGGATAATGATGATGAGGTTGGCGCTGCTAGGACGGGGGTGAGGAAGAGGGTTGTGAAGAGGGTTTTGAGGGAGTGGGACATTGTTGAAGTTGGGGATTGAGGTCTTTTCAAGTGTCAGGCGGCAACTGACAGTGCCCAGGAAGCAAGTGAAGGGATGGTCAAGGTAAGGTCGAATGCTGTTCTTAATTGAAGATAGGTATGATGTTGGGCTTTTGGTGATGATGGTATTGTGTTTACGGTGTCCACGATTGGATCAAGGAGATAGGACTTCTCTATACTTACCATGGAGAGTGCAAGTATGCATAGCTTTGGAGCTTGGTTATTGACAAGCGATCTAAATTTCATGAATATGAGTTCTTATAGTATCGCTCCTGCAAGCCATCGAACAAGCATTCCCATATGGATAAAGCACATAGTATGAACGGTCCCTCATTCCGGTCAGCAATGTGCGGAGATAGGTATGGGACAATAATATATCATGAACGGCAAAATTACTGTCTGGTTCTTGGCTTGTCGAACATTCCATTGTTGCGTCCGCTTATGAACTGTCACTTAGACGCTGATTGTCCGGGTAAATCACTTTTGTTATGTCCCTGCATTCCCGCTGTTACACAGCTGGGTGAGCATTATAAGTAAACTCGATGATAAGTAATCCCAGTTGGAGGTGCTCCCATGCTCCTGAGCTCTTTTTGGACATAGTAAACCTTCCTGGTGGGTGTGTTGATATAAGAGTGAATTAAGAACCCACCATATCTAGCTTTAGAGTTAGAGAACTACTACTGGATATTTGTGCACGAAAAAGAAAAAAAAATGTTCGGTAAATTATCACGTGTGCTTCGAGAGTTAAAGAAGTGTTGATTCTTCCTGTTACAAGCAAACCTCCAAGATCATCCTTTACGTCAGCAAATAATATCACTACCAAACATTAAGGATACCAGTAGAATACCGATTATGCTCGACGAGCCAACCATAAAAGTGCAAAAGGACTCAATTTGTCTTCATTACAGCTTCCAAGATACTAAAAACACGTTCATCGACCTAGCTATCCATAGTGAGAGCGAAACTAGCTAGTCTTTCCAGTACTTAATATAGCCTCCACCCCCACCCCCCTCTCCTTCCTCGGTCATGCTTATGCTACGCAGAATGTTAGCTGACGGAGCAGATTGCTGTCGGAATTCATAACATCAACAGTAACGTCTGCAAACCAGAGCCATTGCTTCAGGGACAAGGGTAAACACCTTTGTATCCACCACGACAGTAAGCTTGCCCTCGGAGTCTACGGTGATTGTCGCAGCATAAAAAGTAGGGCATATCTCAACCGGTTATTCGTAGCTGATATCAACTGACATTTTAACCATAGGTGGCTGATAAAGGTCAAATGACGGGGATATAGGCTGATTTGCTGTGTTTCTTTAAACGCCGGATCACCATATACTACCCTACCTCCGTTATTATCAATTCCTTCGGAATGTTGAATCTTCCATCGACGTGTAGTATTGGGCCGGATCCAGTTCATTTTCTTACTTTCGTAGCACTCGAAAGTTTGGTGGATATGAGGAATCCCTTTATCGTAATCGCAAGGGGGATTAAATCTTGTGAATAAACTCCTCACCAAAGACTTCGTGGATCGTATTAAAGAGCCACCTCATATATAGCAACAAACCTGGCATTTTTTCCGGGTTACCGCTTAATGTTGTGCCAAAGTCACGCCTTGGAATTTAGGAGCAAGTGCTTGGACTTGTCCAACATGATGAAAACGCTGGAAACTAAGAAGTTTGAAGATGGTGCCATGTTTAACCATATGGAAGTCAGAAACTATGTGTCTGGATGATGTCATGACCGAAAGATAGACGTGAGAGCTGCGATCTACCAGCGGATAAAGGTGAACTTTACAGCTTTTCCGACTGCGTTTTCAAAGAAAACTATTCCGAGCATTTCCCTTAAAGCCTGACAATTAGAGGATTATAGAATTTCATAATGAGAGATGTCGGTAATGGCTTGGTTGGATGTTAAGTGATCAATTTACCTGGAGAGCTCCATGACCCAACCCACGGAAGGTGGAACGGCTCTTGGTCTAAAGGATAAAGAATGAGGTCAACATGAACCTAGCTGGTCAAGGCGTATCAGGACCAGTAACTATTCTGCCTAGTTTCAAAACTGTCAATGCCGGTTGTTGTATCCTAAATCCCCAGCAGGTCAGATGAAGCCATAAAAGAAAAGCCATGTAACAAAAGCTCAAATCTTTGTGATAAAATATGTGACCATACAGGATATCGCTATGCATCTCGTTCTTGATCCTAGTCCATGAATCTGGTCATCTACATTTTGTTTAAATATACAAAGGTTCTTTATCTATCCTCGGGTAACATTCTAAACCGACGACAGCATCATAGGCGTGCCTTCACTGGCCTGTTGGTTTTGTTGGCAAACAGCGATTATGAAACAAAGGATGAATACCATGTTGGTACGGCTGATGATTAGGGTCGGTATTGGACTTAGAATGGAAGGGTATGGTGTGTAAAAGGCGAAGTTAGCCAACTGGCTGACGACACCAGGTGTCGTGGCCAGCATATCAGGCAACTGAAACCGACCTCAGGCATCTCACGATCGTACTAATTGCATCATCATCCCGAAGCAAAGAAGGATACCGACATAAATACAATGTTCAAAGCCTCCAACCAGGATGTACATACAGAGAAGACATGGGAAATTGAGAAGTCTCGTTGATGTCCTCTCTTTTAGAACTATCATATCCCCCCCCCCCAACCCCCCAAATAGTCTCTCTTCTTTCAGCTGCCAATGTTGAGCTGAGCACAACTTTCTTCCCTGCTTAATCATCATCTAGGGAAAACGCGGGCTTTCTCAGCTCCCGGATACACACACAAAGTGGCAAACTCCGGCCTCGAAATGAGACTTTTTACGGAGATTGTTTCGAAACATCGGATGTGGATCTGTGGGGCTGGTCCGGGGAAGACCGATCGGCCCCGGGCAGGGTATCGGGCGGGCCCAGGCGACCTGAGTTCTGGGGAATGCTGTTGTGTGGGGCCAGGGCGACGACCGAGTTTCTTGTGGGCTTTGCTCCGTGAAAAGGATCCGCTTTTTTCGCACGGTACGTCGACAAAGGGCTCCCTATTGGCAAGCCCGCAGCCGTCGATAAGCGGAACTTGCCAAGTCGCAGAAGACGATTGGTGCGTAAAGCGAATGTGTCTGTTTTGGTTCGGATTGACTATGTAGAAAGGGCGTCTGTTTCAAACTGTGATATTGAGTATGGCGTCGATGTTGGGGGCCGTTTATCTGCAAACGCATGCAGTACCGGGCACAGAGTAAAGCTGACACGGTAGAGCTGAGACGCTTGACGCCTGTTTCGCCAGAGGGCGCTCTGGTGTCTAATCCTTCAAGCCACGTCTAGGTACAGTTCAAAGCCGTTGAACGCAGCTTGCTGCTGTGGCACTGGATGGTTGTATGGGCATAAAATGTAGATTAACCGGTAGAGGGATTTCCTGCCTGCCGAGATTTGGGAGCATATTGAAAATTCGGGCTGTACGAGATAGGTCAGAGTACTGCGGAAGGAACTGTAAAACTGCCAGCTCTCCTGGGCACACGAAAACACGGTTTTTGTGCTTCCCTAAGGTTCGTGAGCAAGGCTAGAAAATGTTGGGCTGTAACGAGACTGCTGGCCAACCATAATCCGGGGAAGATGCAGGATGAGCCAGACTCGTAGCTCACTCGCTGGTGGAATTAGTCGGGTGACTGACTGCTGACCCGTGTTGTTCAGCCTTTTGCTGTCATCTAAAGGCAGGTTGAACAATACGCTTGCCAGTTGTTCAGGTGCCTCGTGAAGTTACGGATATAGCATTCTCTTTTTTTTTTTTTCCTGTGCTGAGTCGTTGTTGAGCTCGCGGGACGTGATGCCGTGCTAGCCGGGCCTATCGGCACCGAGTTCCCCAGAGGATGTGCAACCTGAACTTCAGTGAAACATAATGTATGTGTAACCTTGGTATGGGCACCGCTTACCATAAGAGACCATGTGCAGTCCTGCACATGGACTTGCGCAGGTAAGCTGCGGGAGTTGGTTGCTTTTTGCGTCACATCTTAGGACATACTTGCGGGCATTTGGTGTCTCACCGTAGAGTTCTTGAGTTAGCATGATGCGTGGGTTCTTTTGGTGGACATGGCAGCGCAAGGGAAAACGGGGTTTCGTGTTGAGGCTGCAACGGTGGCATAGTTAGCATGCCAAGCTAATTTTTAGGATGAAAAGCGGGTCTGCCTGCCGGGGGTTCCGCTGGGATCGAGGCACCCGTTAGGGCTTGATGACGAGATGCTGAACAAGGCCCGCCAGGTCTGGTACATCCTCATTTGAGCCCCACAGGGTAATAAAATATTCCCTTAGATCAAGTTTTTTTTTTGATAGCAATAAAGCTTACATTCCGTCAAGAAGAAAAGCTCAAGTTTCATCAAAGATACCTTGTCTATTGGGGTGAGGCTCTCGTGGTTCACGCGCCGCGAGGGACCTTGGGAGGTGGATGGCGGAGCCTGGTAGTGGTACACGCCGCTGGGCCCACTGCAGGTCGGTTGGCAGTCATTTTGGGTGGACCAGCGCGGGGTACGGCTCAACGGTTGACAGGTGGACCACAGAGGTTTCAATCTTGACGACCACACTTTGTGCAGGATTACCAAAGTCTTACAGTCTTGCACTTGCACAGCTTCGAAGAGCATCTCTGAGTTCTCACAGCACAGCCCAGCGTAGTCGAGGATACGTGCACGTTTACTGCAGACTGTGCAAGGGATTGCACAGTTCAATATCCGTATCTCGGAAAACAATGCAAATCGCGCACCAACTCCAAGCCCTTCCGCCATTCAGCTCAGTTTCGAAATCTCACAAGTTGGATGCTGCTAACTGAACCGAGGGCACGCAGCCTATCGAATGATGAGTAGTTGCCTAGTAGGCAAGCCTCATTCCTGGGAGTTCTGCTTGCCATATGGCCTTTGGGAGATCACGAAAATCATAATCACTGCAGCAGCCTAAATGCCTAATGGTTGCCCAGCTGTTAAGGGCATTTTCGTCTCTCATGCGATAGGGAAGATCATCGTTTAGCAAGATCGGACTTGTCCTCCTGACGGCTGATAGCTGTCTGCTATGCTGCCTGGATTCTAGGAGTTCTCATGGTTAGTTGTCTAGCCTTTGTGTGGCAGTTTGCTTTAGAGATTCGTAAGTTATGTTTCGCATAAACTCACCTAGTGAAGTACAGTGCTGTGTGGTTGAGTCCAGAAGAGCAAGTTCTGGCCGGTCAGATGCAGCGCCGACCACAGCAGCATATTACATTCCATGCCGGACGGTGACCGACTAGGCACCTACTCGCCACCGGTGTCTCTTTGTCATGTCCTTGCCGCAGTGGGGGCAGGGTTTGCGAGCCTGTGATGTGTGTGGCCAGCTTTGGCCAACAAGGCTGCCTGGTTTTTGGGCGCCTTTCAACCACAGCTAAGCAAGGTTGTCCTATATACCTAAGTCAGGTTCAGCGCCGCAACGCCCTTGAGGGGCCACACCAACATCCACTACAATCCTCCCTGTTCAAACATCTGTCCTAATGACAAACATTGTTCTCCAAACCGTCATTGACTCCCATCACTGTTTTTCTGTATTGAGAGTTTCACTGACCACATCCTTTGCTCTGTTGCTCCCAGGCACAGGGACCATCCTTCTTCCCAGAACATTTTCCTCCCCGCCACCGCCTCAGTCCCTCCAGTTTTTTTTTTTGAGATGGCTGGCCTCCACCATTCTGCGAAATTCGCCTGCTCACCTTGCTGAAAGAGATCCTTGAGAAAAAGAGAGTGTGTCCACTCACATCATCGTCCCAATCCAGATACTATAGATACAAGCTGTTACGCGCCGTTCACCTTTCCGATATTTCTGCTTCCATCCTTCTTTTGACACGCAGACACAGTCGCTTGGTCTGCCGGCCTGAACTTAAGGTTCTCTTCCCCGCCGACATTCGTTGCGCAACCATGCGCCTTTCCCCCTCGGGGTCCGCGCCATTCTTTTCTTTCGTCGCATTTCAACTATAAACTCGGATAAACGCCTTTGTCTCCCTCTCCCAAGCAGCCCATCATGTATGGCTACTCATCATCATCCGACTCGGAGGACGACTACTACAACTGGCGCAAGTGGATTAAGAACCCGCCACCGCCCAACAACTCCAACGATGCAAACAAAAGAAAAAAGAAGCTTAAGCTACCGCCACAACAGAGCATCAACCGCATATGGAAGCGCTTCAGCAAGAAGCGCTTTACCAAAGCCCTCGCCGTCCTTCCCTTCGATCCCGTCCCGCCACCGGCCATCGGCGAGCGGTCCAACGAGCTGCTAACCGCAGGCTACGAGCGCGCCGTCGAAGAATGCAGACGCAAAGTCCGGAAGATAATCCAAGAATGTAGGAGGGTCAACACTCGCTACCGGGATCCCGGTTGGGATATCGTACGTACGCCCGTTCATTCTCCCAAGGCCTCTCGTTACGCGCATACATCACTTCCCCCCACATGTTTATTGCAAGTACCTGCGCCTCTGGCCGCATGGACCGGTCGCAGCTCGCATCGCAGTTCCCTAGCGCTACCAAGCTTTGTCTTTATATATATATATATATATATATATATATATGTATATAATAATTTTTTTTTTCTGAAGATGAATATGGCTAACATACTTTCGATGTCATGTAGGACTGGGATCTCAAGATGGAGAAGGGCAACTGTCTCAACAGCTTGGGCCGCGTTAAGTTCGATCTTAGTATGACGAACATGATGAATCCGAGCTCGATCGTGCCCAAGTCTGTCAAGCGTGTTCATGAGATCTTCAAGGAACCCACCTTCCTCAAGAACGTTAGCAGTTCCGACGTGAAGCAAGGAAATCTCGGCGACTGCTGGCTCATTGCCAGCTTGTCTGGCCTTGCTAACGTCAAGGACGGTATCCAGCGTATCTGCGTTGAGTATGACACCAAGATCGGCATTTACGGTTTCGTCTTCTACAGAGGTGTGTAGTCTGTTCCGGTCTCCCAATGCTCTCCGTTTCGTCTCGATTCATGCTGACCCTCGCTTGCAGATGGTGAGTGGATCTACTCTATCATTGACGACAAGCTCTACCTCAAGTCCCCCGACTGGGACTCCCCCAGCATGCAGCGCGACCTGCTGCAGCAGATCGATCGCGAAGATGTCGAGCAGGTCTACCGCGACACCTACCAAACCGGTTCAAAGGCCCTGTTCTTTGCGCAGTGCAAGGACCAGAACGAGACCTGGGTGCCTCTGATCGAGAAGGCCTATGCCAAGGCCCACGGCGACTATGCTTCCTTATCTGGCGGCTGGATCGGCGAGGGTTTGGAGGACCTCTCGGGCGGTGTCACCACCGAGCTTCTCGCTTCTGACATCCTTGATACTGATGCCTTCTGGGAGAACGAGCTCAGCAAGGTCAACCAGGAGTTTTTGTTCGGCTGCAGCACAGGTCTCCTAGACGGTGGCTATGGCGACCGCGACGGTATCGAGGAGGGCCACGCCTACATTGTCATGGAGGCGCGCACGCTCAAGGACGGTACGCGTCTCGTGAAGCTGCGCAACCCGTGGGGCAAGACAAAGAAGGGCATCTGGGAAGGCCCGTGGTCCGACGGTTCCAAAGAGTGGACGACCGAAGTGCAGGAGGAACTCAACCACCAGTTCGGTGCGGACAGCGTCTTCTGGATCCGATACGAAGACTTGCTCCGTAAGTACCAGCACTTCGACCGCACTCGTCTCTTTCGTGACCCCGATTGGCGATGCTGCCAGCGCTGGATCGGCGTCGACGTGCCCTGGAAGCCGCAGTACCATGAAAAGTTCCACATCAAGGTCACCTGCGAGACGCCCCTGGTCATCGTCCTCAGCCAGCTTGACAACCGCTACTTCAAGGGCCTGCAAGGCCAGTACAGCTTCCGCCTGCAGTTCCGCGTGCACGAAATCGACCGCCCCGATCCCGAAGATTACATTGTACGCAGCCACGGGAACTACCTGATGGACCGGTCGGTCGCCGTCGAGCTGCCGTCCATGCTGCCTGGCACGTACAGCGTGTACATCATGGTGACAGGAGAGCGCAACCCGGATGCGCCGAGCGTCGAGGATGTCGTGAAGCGCGAGTGCAAGCGTCGCGTCGAGAACGAGAAGCTTGCTCAGGTCGGGTATGCCTACGATCTTGCGCACAGCAAGGCCGCGGCACACCTCGAGCTGGTCAAGCAGCTCCGCAAGCGTGCCGATCAGAAGAAGGCTAGCGAGGCGCGCAAGAAGGAGAGGCATCGCATATGGGAGAAAAGGCATCTGAACCGGGAGATCACCAAGAAGCAAGGACGCAAGAATAATGCTAAGCTCGAGGCCAAGCAGGCTGCTCGTGAGGAGAAGCGTCGTCAGGCCGAGGGCTTGCGGCCTAAGGATGCTGCGGTCCAGACTGATGAGTTTCTTCTCGAGGAGCTAAAGAAGCAGAAGGATGCTGCTACTGAGGCAAAGTCGGAGGCTAAGCCTGAGGAGAAGAAAGTCGAGTCGGAAAAGAAGGCTGAGTCGGAAGAGAAGGTAGACAAAGAGCCGAAAGAGGGCGAAAAGTCGGATGACGAGACCCCGGTCCCTACTCCCGCTGGCACCCCAGACAACGAGAAGGCCGAACCGGTGTCAGAGCAGAAGCCTAGAGGTGCCTCTGACGAGGATAAAAAAGACGGTTCTGCCGTCGGTGACGACTCCAAGACCAAGTCCGACGACAAGTCCTTCGAGCAAAAGGCCGCAGCCTCCTCTTCAGGCAGCTCCGATACTTCCAGCAGCAGCGGCGCCCTCACCCCCGCTTCATCCTCTTCGACCCCCAGCACGGACGGCAAATCCCAAGACAAAGTCCTTGTCCCGCCTGCCACAATAACAGCAACAGCAACAAAAACAACAACAACAACAACAACAACTACCGATCCCTCGAAAGTCTCCGGCGGCCCGCCACCACCTGCCCCATCCCAATCCCAACCGCAATGCAAATGCAACACCGCCTCCTCCAAGCAAAAGCCCGCCAATATGTACGTCACCTCCGATAGCGAATCCAGCGCCTCCCCTATCTCCGACTGGGAAGAACTCTACTCTTCCGACGACATGTCCAAGAAGCCGCGCTTGGCTCCGCAATCCGGATCCAACGTCAAGTCGTCGCGGTACTACTGGTACGGTGACAGTTCCGACGAGAATGATCCTGACCCGTGGAACGCGATCTGCGTGGTTGGCTTGCGCGTGTATAGTAAGGACGAGGGATTGGAGTTACGTGTGGTGATGGAAGGCGGCGAGCTGGAGGAAGGCGGCATGGGCGAGAAGGGAGGCGTGGATTTGGATAATGCGCAGGCGAATGCGGGCGGTCTTAGGAAGGGTAGTATTTGCATTCCTGGGCCTGCGCCTGCGCCGGCTCCGGCTCCGGAGGATGAGTATGAGGGGGATAGTGAAATTGATAGGAAGAAAGGGAAGGAGAAGAAGGGAGGTAAGAAAGGGGATAAGAGCAGCGGTGGGTCGGAACAGCAGAGGGGGAAGAAGGAGGATGATGAAGGGCTTGCTCCTTACCCGGTCATGGTGCAGAAGGGGAAGGGAGAGGAAGAGTATGAGACGGCTGTGGAGACGATGGGTGACTAAATATGGATGGTGATCTTGGTGTTTGTTCTCTTTCCCAAAGCGTTGGTTTCGTTTCCTTGGTGGATATTGTTTGAAGGAAAGGGGGGAGGGGGCCTTGTTACTGCTGCAACGTCGACCCTGCTCTGTCTCTATGAGATATATACGGTCTCCTTCTTTTTTTTTTTTTTTTTTTTTTTTTTTTTTTGCAGATAGATCTGCTTCTTCAGTCAGTTCGGGTAATTTGCTCGGTTGGCTTTGGGACGGCATTGACATCTGAAGGGGATGCTCTGATACCTAAGCATGTATCAAAAAAGCTTTTGCTTCAACTTGGAAGTCCCTATCCGTGACATTCGAAACATCCTTCGCTCTTCCCAAGGCTTTAGTAGTAATGACCAAGCATAGGGATCCTGGAGCCTCATCATAAGGCTCGGAAGGCTAGTCCTCGTGCAGAATGGTTCGACTAATCGAGGTTTGGCAATGAGAACGCAATGGCAGAGACGAGCTGAGGGCAGGCGCTTAAGAGTAGACTGGAGCACCTGTGACACAACATTTTACGTGTGCAACAAAGAGAATGGGGGGGGGTATTAAACTAGAACTATATCCGAGTTAACACTGAAATGTAGCATGACCCAAAATTATCATGATACCTTCAAGATCTAGATCTCTTGCTCCTCCTCCTAACTCTCCCTCCCAACTACAGCTGATGGACTTGTTGCAATATCAGCGGCCTTGTTACCTGTTTTCGCAGCAGCGAAAGACTCACATGGTCCGCGTCCAACCTTCCACTTTTCTGTTTCCTGTCCCTTCTTGGTCTTGCGCCGGTGCCACCAGATACCGGCGGCAAATCCTGCAAGTACAAGCACCCCCCCAACAACTCCAGCGGCAATACCGACTTTATGCCCAGTATTCGAAAAATTATACCCGTCATATTCGCATAGCGGCTTGCTTATCTCGCAGTATAGCGCTGACGAGGGGATCTTAGAACCATACTTCTTGAAGTAGACGATATTGGGCTTAGGTGGCTTCGAATCCGTCGGGAACTTGACAGGCGCCATGGCGACTTCTTCGTTGACATTGTCGAATACAAGGTATGTGCGGCGAAGGAGGGAGCTGCCAATACTCTGGAAGGACTGGTATGAGTTTGGCTTTTGAACGCCTAAAAGGCAGATGTTGTTCCCGGCGAGCTCCTCGGTAAAGACGACCCAACCATGTCCTATGTCCGTGTACAATGTGCGGACATCTGAAGCAGCAACAATAAGGTCCAGGACTTCAGCATGGATCCATGGGCCTTCTGGGCCCTCGAGCTGAAAAGAGAAACGGGCTTTATTGTCTTTGCCGGAGTCACAAGGAATCGTGAACAATTCGATGGTGTCGTTGTACTGGGCGCCAGCAACTTGGGCTACCCAGTCTGCCATGAAATCCGGAAGATATGACAGACGGTCAGAGAAACTGAGGAAAATGGAATCAGTGTAGTATCTTGCTGAGGGTGGAACTGCCGGTTCTCCTAAGGCATCGGTGCTCTTGAATCCTGTTATGCGGGTCGAGGGACTTCAATCCCAGGACCAACCGCTTCAATTTGCCTTGATATCGGGACTTGTCGATTGCACCTAAAAGAACAGTTCTGGACGTTCCGTCTGGATTGTCGAGCCAAATGCTGTAAGCATTTGTGGCAATCTTCCCGTCATTAACAAGGCGCTCGATAAAGTCGGGATAATCATATTTCTTGCTTGAAGGTTTACCACCAAGTCCCAACGTCGCAATCCATCGGCCACCTGCCTTAGTCAAAGCCATCTCTAAGTCGTTTAGGACGATGTCTTGGACTTGAAAAGTGTCGGTAAAGTTTACACCGCCATAGTCATGACCGTCAACTATATAGTCTCTTCTAGCAGTCCCCTTGGCGTAGGCATCACCCTCTCGGCAGGTGTTAGATAGCGAAGTATTGAAACTTCCCCAACGGCAGACATTTGGCCAGAGCTCGATGTCGTCGGACGTAAGGTCAGAGGCCCTAGATGCGTTGAACCCAATCGGATCGCACTCTGGCGAACCTGCGTCTGGAACCCAGGTATGATAACAGTTCGAGACTATCATGGGCAGGGTTTGACCTGGAGTGCCAATGGTAACGTTGACGACATGAGTCCATTCTGGTATTCGATGAAGTCTCAACTGTACCGGGGCAAAATCATTGGAGCGCTTGATGTTTGGGATGGCTGAAGCAGCTCCAAGCAGATAGAGGGCGAAAGCCCGCAGGTGAAGGTGGCGTGTCATACGGTGATGGATAGAGGTCGACAACCCTCAGAACAATTATCGCTTCATGGTTGAGAAAGACTAACATGAGGGTCAAAACGAGGGCGGAAGGTGGGCTGTTTTAACAACGTTGGGGTCAGGGGCAAAGAACGTTGACAAGGAGCACTGCATCTTTGAGGATAGTCAAGCGAGGTGACAACTCCGACAAGAACGGAAGAACAGAACCCACGTCCTCCTTCGGGGCAGATAGAAACGGAGCAAAGAGACTGGAACCCACAAGAGACGCAGCAGGGTCGCATAGTAAGGCATGTAGTAAGGCATGTTACAGGGAATGTCCACATCATGCGAGATAAAATGGTACGCAAGACTACCCAATGGTGCCTTGAGTGTTGGGGGCCAAATCGACCCTGGTAACTGGTGGGCCTTCGTTGTCCTCGCAGGGCTGTAGGCTGGGGTGAAGATCTAAGTGAACCTTGGTGACAGCCGGTTGTATCAATGCAATACCTTGCGAGGTATCATGCGAGTGGTTTGTGTACACTTTCCAACGGATGTTAGCTGGATCTTCCTCGCAAAGCTTTCTGGAAGCCTACCTAACGGGACAACAACTTCAGGCGCCATAGAAAACGGCAGAGGTGGAGCAGGGTGAAATCATGGAAACCGGGACATTTCGTGCAAAGAAAATATAATATGTGGTTTATCTGGGAAGTTCTCACCTATCTCCCAAAATTTTTCCTTGATACGTCTGGCCTGCTAGGTGGCCATCACAGAGTTTGCAGCCGACACTTTCCGCAGACAGGAAGGAGCGGCGTTAGAGCGAAGGTTGAGTGAAAGAAAGGAATCACTTACTTGACAGCAATAACTGAAGATTTCCATCGTAAAGGCCAATGATTGACCTTCGTGTACGTACATACTACATCTTGACGTCAGAAAGATACGCAAGCAGAAACATAGGCTCGAGTTCTATGACAAATCCCTGAGACTATCAGCAAGATCATTCTCCAAGAATTCCCCAAACTCAGTGGTCAGCTAATACCTAGCTTCTCCCAGCCGCATTTCCCGGGCCAGCTGCCTGTGGCGAACTCTGTAGCTGCGGGAGCTTGAGGCTCCTGGCCGCTCTGTACCCTCCTGATCGAGACAGTATACCCGTCGTCCGTAGCTTTCTCCTCGGCCCCCGCCACAGAAGGCAGAGAAGTTGTCTTCTAGTTCATGTGCGACTCCCAAGTATATCAAGCCAGGACCACAAACAGTTCGTCGCTTACGGCTCCCAAAGCGGAGCCAACGTTACGGCGGCTCTGGCCGAACTTGTAGCCAGCCTCAACGTACCGGTATTTGCTCACTCCACAGTCAACCTCGGTGGGATTTTTGCACTGTATTTCTTGAAAGGGACGATCTGCGCGGTTAGGGGCTCTGAATCTGGAGACGAAAATATGATAGGAACGAAGCTAGCGTGAAGTTGTCGAAGACCATGTATGTTCGACAAAGAAGCGCGCTCCCGATGCTGCAGAATGCATTACCATAATCCTTCTGCCCGCCGAAACGGCATGTGTTGTTGCTTCTAAGTTCTGAGATCTAGTATGTGGGCGGGGAGTCGACAGGTGGAGAGAGGTGCGGAAATATGCCTGTAACGGAAATGACCAATTCGGTAACCTCAACATTCAGCACAAGGCCTTTTTACTCTCTGGTTGGAAAGCAAATTTGCCTTGTTTGAATGGTCGAGGTCGCAAGGAAGCGTAAAGCGAGCAAACAGCCACTTTTGGAAAAATTCCTGAGTTTGAGCAAGAAAGCTGTGCTTTAGAATGTAGGGCTGACTGAAACTCTTTTCCAAAGGTTAGCACTCAGCAAGTCTTCCATTGATCCAAGTCACAATTGCAGGACAAGACAGGTGAATTGGTGCCAAGTACGATGCTTTTTGCACATGCGTCATTAGAACGAGATTAACTCTCAGATAACGCCTCAGGAAGATCGGAAAACCAGAGCACCTGCCCAGGTGGGCCCTTGGAGTTCGGTTCTCGACAACAATCGGCAGCAACTCAGTGATAAAATGATCATCTTGTTAGGGAATATCTGCAGCGGACTCTAGGATATCAACATGGGAGCTGTCAACAGGTTGATGTTGAACGATGAGATACAGAGCGGGAACAAATCCAACAGCAAAGACCAGACGAGAGGGAGCAAATCAGAAAATTCTGCAATTCTCTTTCTCAACTGGGCCATGATTCATTCTCGCTGAAATTGGGATAGCCCAGAGGCCATTAAGATGCGTGATCATGAGGATGTTTGCTCTGGGTGAAGTTGATGCTCTCCGACCCCGCGGGCAGGCCAACATAAGCGGAACGGGTGCCAAGCTTCTGACGGGGCTGACGGCCCGCTCTGATGGACCCTGCTGGGTTGCGCAGTTGGGGCTTGGCAAAAAAACAGCCCCTGTTGGGCGCGAACTCTGTCTCCACCCAATCTTCACATGCCCCACGTTTCCGTGTCAACCTTTCAGGAGGTGTGTCAACGACCGCAACTTCAATAAAAACAACGGCATTCAGGAGCTCGGCAGACAAAACATCTCACCTCCGTTTGCCTGGCCATCACAAAACAATGCAGTCTGGAATTTCTGGTAACTACCCCATGTTCCACATGGTTCTACCCATTTTTGTCCATCTTCATTTCTATCCTGACCTCGCTGACGCTGTCTAGCCTCGCAGGAGCTGGTCTCCCAGTTCAACAAGCTTCTCTCTTCCGACGAGCACTTTGGATTGCTGGTCACAATTAAGTCCGAGCAGCTGCAGCCCCTGACTCTCCTTACTCCCCCTTCGCGCGACGCATCTTTCGCAACCAACCTCAACACGCTTCTGGCCCCTCATATCAAGCATAATGAGGCTCTCTACATCATCCTCCGCCGCCACACCTCTACTCCGGCCCTGGTGGCCATCACATATGTTCCTGACCCGGCCCCTGTGCGCCAGAAGATGCTCTTCGCCTCCACTCGTCTGACTTTGGTGCGCGAGCTGGGCAGTGAACACTTCCGGGAGTCCATCTTTGCGACGACCGCTGAGGAGCTAACCCCGGCTGGTTTCGAAAAGCACGATGCTCATACGGCTTTGGAGGCTCCGTTGACAGAGGAGGAAAGGACACTGGGTGCAGTCCGCCGGGCCGAACAGGAGGCTGGCATGGGCACAGCCTCTCGGCCGTTGCATCTTAGCTCTAACATGACCACGACCATTGCTGATCCTGCGCTTGATGCGCTCAAGGAGTTGGCGGCTGAGAAAAGATCTCTCGTCATGCTGGTACGTTGACAATTCCTCGTTAATCATTAGTTGCGGGACTAATGGCAAACTAGAAAATCAACCCTGACACCGAAGTTGTCGAGCTCGAGCCCGGTGTGACAGTCCCCTCTTCTATCACTGAACTTGTTCAGGCCATCTCACCAATGGATCCTCGCTTCGTCTTCTACCGGTATACACACACATACAACGGGGTTGAGTCGAGTCCGTTGCTGTTCATCTACACATGCCCGTCTAATGCCAGCAGGAAGGCCATCAGGTTTCGGATGATGTATCCCCTGATGAAGCGCTCAGTTCTAGAGATCGCTGAGAAAGAAGGGTTAAAGTCAGAGAAGAAGTTCGAGGTGGAAGATCCTAGCGAAATTACTGAACAGTCCGTCCTTGACGAGCTGCATCCGAAAGTTGAGGTGAAGAAGGGTTTTAGCAGGCCCAAGCGTCCTGGTCGGTGAAGGTTCTCGTGTTGACTTGGATAAAGCTCCTGGGTGTTACATGCCAAGGCGACGGAAGTCCTGGACATGGATTATAAGATTGTGGACATAGACCCTGGAATGATATGGCGCATGTGCTATGTGAAGGCTTTACAACAAGTTCAATGTTGGCCTCAGGCCAACCTCGTGACCCTCTGACTCTTTGTTCTCTGATGATTATGTCAACAAACACAACATTTTGTTGTGAAGAGACACCTTCGGTAGCGACAGCTCGAAACATGGCAAGAAAATTCAAGAACTTACTTCATTTGCGCCGATCTTTAGTCTCGGATCCATCTTTCTAAGGCCAGTGGCGCCATCAGTTGCATTCCATCAAAAGTTTAGCTTCAGCACAATCTACAGCCCGATGGGTCGTGGCATGCAGCGTGGGTTGATGTGGAGATGTTAAGTGCGCTCACAAAGGCGGGCAGGTTCCTCCAGATGCTGTCAACGAGGTAACTGAGGATGAGGTTGGCTTCCAAACATATGACTACTTATATGCGCTCAATAGCAAGTGTGATAGAAAATGAATACAGCACAACTGCGTTCTTAAGCTACCTTATCCTGCAGATGCCCCGATTGATATCCAAGGAAGAAACTACCTACCTATCCCACTTAACAGGGACACCCTGATCAAAGGCCCAAGGCTTCAAAGTAAGAATTCTCGAACCCTCTTATCAGCCATTGTGTGAACAATTCCCGCCTGAACCTTCTACCTTGTCAAACTACTCAGTAACGGTGAACTCTTTGATCTTGCGGCCGTTCAGTTTCAGTTTCTCCAGACGGCCCGGCTCAGCCTTAAACTGCTTGCAGTCTGCCATAAAGGCGAAGCGCTCGGTGGCCCCAAAGTGGTCAATGAAGTTCCACTTGAGATACCCCAAGAAACACTCAAGCATAGACGAAATGTCCCACCACTGAGCAAGCAGCAGCTGCCATGTTGGCTGTCGCTCCGAGTGAAGAGAGAGAAAACTGCAGGCCTCTGGTGGGTGACTGGGAATAGTATTATAGTGTGGACAGCAAGACTGTACGGCCGACAAACTCCAAGGTAGTATCCACCGAAGACTCTAACCTTTACAGATATCAACCGAACGAGTTGACTTGTAGACGGATGCGGAAACAAACGAGTTCAAGACGATAAAGGAAGAGTGTAGCTGGGTATCGCAGCGTGTTGAACAAATTTAACTCGAAACCATCAGGGCAATATGCTTCAGCTCACTGGATAACAAGTTAGCCATTCAGTTGCTCACGAAAGGTGCTCATGGGATCCCAGATATAGCATGTGGAACTTACTTCTGAACCTGCTCGCCCACCTTGATAGGCGGGTAGCTCACCTCCTCACCCTCATCCCACCCAAGTTCAATCATCTTCTGTCTAACCTCCTTTGCCTTCGCTGCTAGGGACGGAATCGGCGCCAGGTCAAAGTCCGACGACAAGTGCCAAAAGAACGTGGACGAGATACGGATCAGCGGCCGATCAGGGAACTTCTCCTTGCGCATCGCAATTGTCTCCAGTGTCCTCTCGTTAACAACTACCTCATGGTAGCCTGCCTTGACGAGACCACCAGAAAGGTACTCGAGCTGCTTGCCTGCTTGAACCAGCAGGTAGTTACGGCCCGCAGGGATCTTGACGGCAATACGTTTGCCAGTATTGCGAGCCCAAATGTGCAGGCCCGGGTAGCGAGAACGGCCGTGGATGGTGAGGAAGTTGAGATCGGTATGGAAGCCGGCTAAGATCGTGTCCTTGGCGCCGTATTTGACCAGGTCAGAGGCAGTTGGAGCCAGAAGATGAGGTCCATATCTACCAGCATCCACAAACGTATTGGCATCCAGGCCCATGCCCACTGCGGCCATTCTAGCAAGGCCCTCAACGCTGTATCGAGACTAAGTCACTAACCCCACATAGTCAGAAGAAACTTTGGATATCAACTTACGCATTCTTCATCGACGTTCCCCACTTATTCATGGCTGGCGTCCAGCGCTCCTTAATGTGAGGGGCCTGGGGCACGATATTGTCGGCATTGAGAGATGGGAACTGAGTGTTCGGAGCAGTCTCACCCATCCTCCAGAAGAAGCGGCACTTAGGGTCTGGCTGGTGACCCGAGATGTCGAGCGGCCTCTCAGAGGGGGCCAAGCGACGGATAACATTGAGGCATGGCTCGTCCACAGCACACTTGGGCTTCTCGGTGTTTTCGAGCGTCACACCGACCTGATAGCTCAATTCCGGACGCTCATCTTTTTTGAGAACCTCCTCGGGCTGGGCGAAGTAGTCCTCGAGAAGATCAAGAAAAGTCTCGTTATCTTGCTCTGACACGCGCGAGTCGTGGAGCACCAGGGCACCGTAGGTGATCAGAGCGTCGGCAGCCTTCTTGCATTCAGCCTGGACTTCGGGGGAGTCGATTGGGTTGTTGAGAAAAACATCCAGATCAATAACTGGTAAATCCATCGAAAGCTCCGGGGGCGACATGGCTGATGATGTGTAATTGTAGGTAGGGAAAAGAAGGGTAGTATGACAACTGTCCTGTGACTTGAGTTTGCGAGAAAAGAGTTGGAGAGTTCTCGAGCTGTAGATATAAACGCAGAAACTATCTCTAGGCGACTTTCACTCCTCAAGTAGACATCAAGATGATTCGATTGCAGGCAGCAGCCGGTCGATATGCCACCGAGATAACCGGTTCACCAGAGCCGACGATATCTGGAGGTGGAGGCTTGGCAGCGGCATCACGCGGCAAAACCACACAAGACGGACAGCCTTCCTGATTTGGAAGGTCGCGGCAGGTGACCGCCAACTGCCGAGCTCCAACGCGCCAGCCGTCAGGGTTCCAGAAGCCCGAACTTACCAACATATTCCCAGATCCAGTTCTGAGATCTCAATCGCCGGAGAAATTTCTTCGGTTTCTTCTCTCAAGCGGAAAGTCTGTTTTAAATGAAGAAGCTCTTGGCTCACTCATTCCCCGAACCTTTTTTCCTCGCTTGATGCCTCCTTGGCGGATCCGTCCGATCCACAAGTAGGCCCTCATCACATGCAGGATCCACTCTCCACCTCAACGGTTTGGTGGGTGAGGAAGGAGGTATTGTTATTGGAAAAAAGGTTTGGGACCTATTCCCCTAGAAGTGAGGAAGAGGTTTGTTTGGTCTCTGGGTTACTGGCCCCTAAAGTTAAAGCATGTACTGTTAGCCAGTCAGTTTTCACAGGGCAGAAAACCTAAACTCCTGTAGTTTCGAAGTCCATTGATGATTTCAGTTCATTAACGTAACGTTAATAGCAATTGCACCAGCCTTGGGAGTATATTCAACTTCTAGCGCCATATCTTTCAACTATTTCCGACAAGCTGAGATCGGGACGTTAGGACACCTCAGAACCTCTGTTCGAGGTTCCCCAGCCTCTCAAGATTTAGGAAGGAACCTTCCGAGAAAGGAGTTGTGGTTCAATCTTTCCCAAGGATGCGCATTTAGATGTATAAAATCGTCAGAGTCCTTTCAACTATCAACAAATTTTTCTGTCTTTCGTTCAAGTGTTCTTTGCTCAGTTCCGCCTTACATCGTCCCCCGTTACGTAATATGGTTCAAACACCGACTTCAATGCTCGAGATTGGATAAAGATAGCTAATATATGGTCGCTGTTATATTCCTACTATTCCATACCTTTTATGATCATACCGGTTTCTTTCCTAGTTGTCCTAATCTAGCAGTCCTAGGCAAAACGGGCTCTTGGCCTTGACAATGAAAAGAATTTGGTTGCATGCCTTGAGTGTTTTATCATCATGGTATTCATCATCAGTTTGCCTTGGTGTTGAGTTGTCATCGCAATATCCTAGTCGGCGACCAGATTCTCTAGGAGGAAAAGAGAATATTATCAACGGATCCAGCCAACTAGTTCTACATCGTCGAAAGTGTAAGTCTGTCTCACCATTTTTGAAGTTTACTATTAACACGCATATAGTCAGAGATGCCTACAGGAACTGGTTCACCAGATATCATCACTATACAAGTCACCAAAAGTTTCTCTTGGACCTTTCCACTGCCAATCAGAATCATTCTTCCCTCTTCACGGTCGGCCAGTCCTTCGAAAAGCGCAACATCCAAGGCATTCATATATGGGGCTCCCTCGGCCCAGGCAAGAAACCGGCAGTCATCTTTCACGGGACTGCCCACGGCAGGGAATGGATTAGCACCATGGTAACCGAGCATCTAGCCTACCAGCTATTAGCGAGCTATGGAAAGGACAAAGAGATCACAACCGCTCTAGAAAACTTTGACTTCTACATTCTTCCTATAGTCAACCCCGATGGTAGCCCCTCGTCTCTCCCTAAACCGTGATATTGGCCTCTGACAACATCCATCCCACAGGATTTGTCTACTCACAGACGACAAATCGCCTCTGGCGCAAAAACCGACAACGTCGTCCTGGCCACACTTGCATCGGCACGGACCTTAACCGCAACTAGGACGCCCACTGGTCCAACTCTCGCAAGGGCAGACGCCATCGGAATAAGCATCGCAAACAAAAAGCACACCATTCACATCATCCCAAGGGTGCCCAAAAACCCGAGTACAAACCAAGCGGCTCTTCTCGATCTTGCAGCGACGCGTACCGCGGACAAAAACCCTTAGACGCCCCCGAGACAGCAGCACTAGCACGGCACATGCGCAGGGTGAAGGAGCGCCAAGGGCTGAAGCTCTTCGTAGATTGGCATGCTTTCGGGCAGCTGGTGATGTACCGTACGTCCCCTCTCACCCTCTCACCCACTAGTCAAACAACACTAACCCCCCACAGCACCAGGACACACCTGCAAAAGTTCCTCCCGCCTACCCTCCAAGCACCCTCTGCCAAGGTTAGCTCGCCGCATTGCAGCCGCAATGAATTCCGTTTATAACAACCCCTACAAAACTGGCACTGCGTGCGAGGTGCTGTACCCTACTACCGGGTCAGCCGAGGACTATGCATGGGATGTGGTGGGCGCAACGTACAGTTTCACGATTGAGCTGCCTCCACGAACACATCAGGAGGGGAAGAAAGGGAAGACAGGGTTTCATTTGCCTAAGGTGCAGATTGCTCGGGCCGGGGAGGAGGCGTTTGAGGGGGTTAGGGAAATGATGAGGTTTATTGTGAATGAGGATAATTGCAAGGAAGAGTAACTTGTTACGGGAGAGCAAAGGAGAGCGAAGCCAAACTTCAAGTGGAGGACAACCATGGAGATAGGCCGTATTTGAAGGGTGTAGTGAGTTTAATATACATACTATTTAAGACTTGACGGCCTCATGGCTTTTTTTCCCACTGTTCTTTGAGTCGATGAAGGGCTTACATGACCCTTAATAATAACACACCTTTAACACACCTTTAAATTCCCAGAATAAGAGTACCTAATGAATCAAAACAGCTCATGATCATATATATATATATATATATATATATATATATACGTTAGTAGTATTATACATTTACTGAGATTGGTTCGTCAGAAGTAGAACTGCTGCTGCGACGGTTGACCAGGCGGGGGGTGAGGAAGAAATTCGAAGTTCATCGAGTCAAAACCGGTATTCCATGGATTAGGAACTTCTGAGATCGAGTTAGTGTACCTGTCGAACAAGACCACTCCCGAAGATTCAGACTTACCCCAGAAGATAGACTCATACATCTCCATCGGGGACATATACGTTCCAGGGCCATCAAACCCCGGAATCTCCGGGATCTGCTCCTGCTGCGTAGGCACAGAAGAAAATGGAATACTATTAATGGATCTGTCAGCACCCATGGTGGAGGGGCGCCCGGGGGCAGAAGCAACAGCAGTGGCAGCTGTAGCAGCAGACCAAACATACCCGGCAGAAAAGTCCGCAGAACCAGCATTGTTGCTGCCACCTCCGTTCTGCATCTGCAGCTCGGTCATTGCCAAAGCCGCGTTTTGGTGTGCATCCAACTGCGTCTCGATCGTCGTCTGAGCTGCAACTGCCGACCGTGACTCTGAACCATCTACTCCGGCAATGCCGGAGTAGCCGGGGGTTTGCGCGGGCTGGAGGGGTGTGCGTGAGCCAGATCCGGCGGGCACGACGCTCCCTTCCCGCTTGACTTGTGGCACGAAGACGGACCCATGGTCGTAAATGTTCTTGAGCGCAGTCAGCGCCCGGGAGAGAGGGCCAGAGAGCTCGATGTCGAGCTCAGATCGGCGGATGTGGGGTTGAGGGGAGGTTTGCTCTTTTGCTGCTGTTGCTGATAGTGCAGAGATGAGATCACCCTGCAGTTGGCGCACTTCAGGGTCCGTCTTTGTCTCGCCTAGGATGCCGAGAAGAACGGCTGACGACAGGCCGTGGTATGTGAAAGCCCAGGACCGAGTCGGGATGACGGAGAGTTGATGCATAGCTAGAAACATGCGCACTGTTTCTGCAAGGTTGGCCTTACATCTCTCTGCCAGGAATTTCCTCTGGGTTTCGGTAAGGCGGTTATTACCTCTCCTCATCAGTGCAGGTCGGCAGCAGACAGAAACAACGAAAGAAGTATGCAAACGGATCGCATAATGTTGCAGCCGGTCTAGGACAGTTTTGCAAGCTTCCTTCTTGCGCAACTGAAGGAGCATCTTCTCTCGGATGTTCGCAACGGCTTGACAGTTATCCAGGATTTGCCTGTAGTCGGCGTTTGCGGCGGCATCAGGGTTCAGTCTCTCCGAGATAAGCTTACAGAGATGGTACATGGCTTCGAGATATGCGAGGCCTTCCGTATGGGCCGTTGGTGAAAGGGGCATGGGGCAACAGGGAATGTTGGTCATAGGGGGGCTGGGCTCGTTGTAAGCAAGTGACTCGGATAGTGTCCGCTGGATTGGGGCGCTTACCGATCAAAAGACAATGATGTGAGGGTATCATGCCAGAGACACGTCCACCTGCAAACGTTAACACGTTGTCTCTACATTTTAGTGAGGGTAACATACCATAGCTTTCTCCTTGCCATTTCCTTCTTTTCAGCATCTGGAGTTTGCCGATCATCAAGGGGTTGCGGACGATGTAAGCCAAGTGACTGGGCTAATCGACAGGTGAGGCCGAGAAGTGCCCAGGATGCCTCTGCCTTCATATCATTGAGCAGAACAAAGCTAGTCATTAGTAAAGCCTGGATAGAATCCAGGTTTGGTCTGGCACTATTAGTAAACGGCTAAATTGTCGAGAATGTCGATACTAACCTGAGCAGAAAATTACCAACTCTTAGAAAATGGAACGAAGTTTGAATGTACTTCTGGGCATCCCTGGTCCGAACATGGTAGGGGGAGTCGTGATACTGGGAACCGACAGCAAGGACAGCAAAGAGAATGGCCAGCCACGAGGCCGAGACAGGCTTCGTGGTTTTAGTTGAAGAACGAGCATTCTTTGCTCGCTCTTCAAGGTAAACCATGAGCTTCGACTCCAGCTCATCAATATCGATTACGAAGCCCCAAAATGGCTGTGGTATCTCCTTGTATGTTCGGAACAGCCTGGGTTCAATGAGCAACATAGCCACCACAAACCAGAAGGCAACAGCACTCACTTCATAACCTCCCTATCGGATGGCAACTCGGACGCAATATCTGATGTCAGCTTGTTGAGATGGCGCGATGACATCAACGGGAAGGGGGCCGAGTACTCGAGACCAAGTAGCGAACGCATGTCTTGGCGTATCTCGTTCACTTCTTGGGGCTCGGATGAGGACTGGAGGTTAAGCAGGGCTGGGATGCTATTCTGCCCAACATATCTTGTTGGCTCGGTACTATCGGGCTCTGAACCAAGGCGTCAGGATGATCATGCATGATAGGCAGCTGTGGAGCGGGCCGTTACCCACCATATGCTATTGCATCACGGGCATCGTTGCTTTGGCTTCTCCTGAGCTCAGAGACATCGGGGGACCGCGCCCGCTTCCTATTGGGAGTTGAATGGTCCGAGGAGATGGATAAGTTCTTGCCAGTGGAGGTCCTATTTGGTTTATAGGAGCAGAGCTGGGGGTGCTCCCTCTTGACGCAGTTCTCACAAGGGCTTTTGTTATCGCATTTCACCTTGCGCTGGCGGCACGGCCAGCATGCAGTTCCTGCAACCAGGCGTAAGCACTTAATCCTCACTGAACGACGGCGCACGTGGTCTTGGGTCCTCGGAGATAGGCCGCTTGACGGACTGGAGATCAGTGCCAATGGTCGACTCGGGGTTATTCCTGAACTCCTAACTCCAGAATCATGCGGGGATTCGGCGCCGTCGGCATGGGCCGATATAAGGTCCACTCACCGTATCTCACCTTGCGGTGCGAATGAATGATGCGACTTGCCTCCTCGGGAGTGAGATCCTCGAGGTTTGGGCTCTGACCTGTTTCCGACATTAAGAGGTCGGCCGTTTGAAGCTTCCAGAAGCTGCCCGCGGTATGCTTCAAAGAAGGCTGCTGGCGAGCTGGCTGAGATGAAGACTTGGATATGAAACCGAGCCACGTCCGAGATTTGGGATCGTGAGGTGTCAGCAACTCCCGGCCGGACAGGCGGACAGGTGGGGATGCCCAGATGCCCAGGGGACAGAAATGATCCGGGGTAGTGTGCGGGGATCTCTAGCTCTTCAATTGCAATTGGCAAATCGCTGCACCTCTATCGTGTAACAATCCGTGGTTTATGTGGTTTCTGAGAAGTGTATCGCTGAATGTGTTAGATGTCTGCCTCTACCTTAAGCGCTCCGTACGATGGGCTGGTACCTCACTCTAACTCCAAACACCGATGGAAATCCGAATTGTTTGCTGGGCAAAATGGACCCTCCCAAGCTGGCGGATCATGGGTTTACGATCCGCGTTGGACTGGGCGTTTGTGGGGAAAGGCTTGGCGTAGTGGGGTTTGTGTAACCCCTCCTAAAGTTCTGATAAGAAGCGGCCAGCCAGTTTCCAATGTTCTGTCACTGGCAACCTGTCCAAGTTCTGTACGCACAAGAGAATGGGCCAGAAGTAAGAAATTCGAGGCGTACTTGAGGTGGAGCGCTTTGTTTTGCATCGTACAGGAGACCCACTGCCAGGAGAATTCACAACGACGGAGGACAAATATTAGATGAGCCGTATTCCCCATTCCCCCCCAATGTACCAACATCCTTAGACTTACATCTCGTAAATGAACCACCAAAATTGAAGGCATTCGTTCTTCAGCCTTAGCTCATCAAAAACAGAGAGATAATGTTAGTTTTTTTTAATCTTTTAGACGGTACGGTGCATTTTGCTCACCCCGGTAACCATATGCATTGCCCAACAAGATTATGTCAATAACTATTCTCGCTTATTAGAAAGTTCTATCTTACAGTTACCATTTATTCAAACATCGCAGACAATACCGTCTTCGCTCTCCTTAAGTCCCAAGGCAAATTTGTTTGCAGCAATGTCCAACAATTATGCGGCGTTGAACAGCTTTGCAAGTATGGTTCATATCGCAACCTTCCTAACAGACGAAAACAGCGCTGCTAGTTAAGCTTCTTCTCGGCTTTAGGCACACTTGCTCTATACTTAAGACTGATCCCATCCTTTTGACCATATTAAACTAATTCGACCATCCGATCCACGCTCTTTCTCAACCAAAGATTTGACCTGTGACTCAACTGTTCAATAATAATCGACTTTGTCCTTAAACATGAACAAACACAACACCCGATCTTAAACAATGACGCTTGCAGGAAAGACTTCTCCGTCTGGGTCTTAACAGACTACATGAATTCTGTAGCCAATCAATGTCAAGCTTCACTGGATATTTTGGCTTTCCATTAAAACACGAATCACGATGTTGCAAACAACCAGTTCCTGCAAGACTCAAAACCCACGGGGCGAGGTTCTTTCTTTCTCAACCTCAGCCTCCAACAACCCTCCAACCAAATAGAGTTCCATCCCTCGTGTGTGGTTAGCGAGGTTTCCAAGGCATCCAGGAGCAGGCTGCATGAGCCTCCCCTGCTCCAAGAGCAGATCTCAAACGCTCTATTGACACCTGAAGCCAAGAATGGAATATTAAGGGCCCTTTTCGTCAAGAGGGGCTGTTCAGGTGGTACTGCTGTGAGGCCCACTATCCCGCCTTCTGAGGGCTGAAACAATTTCAATTTAGCTCCCGCGCAGCATGGTTGCAACTGGTTCCCACTCCTTCGTTTTGCTGGCAATTGACTGACCCATCAATAGTCATCCCGGGTCCCCTCACTTCCGTTTGCACATCCTTCTTGGCAAGCTCGGAAACGCGATGCGCTGCGATATCGACTTGCCATACTGATTTATCAGGCATCAATACCACCGACTTGCATCGCCTCTCTTTTCTACTGAAGCGTGCTACCAGGGCATCTCCATGGAGGCTAACGGTTCTGGAAACTCCCCCTCGACGCCGAGCAAGGGGAAAGAAGCTTTGATTAGAATCGAGAGGATAATCAAGAAGTTGAACTTCGACTATAACCTCGAAATTCAGCTCCCTGACCTCAGCTTGACCCCGGCGAAGAGGAAGGAGATCAGTGCTAATAATGAGCAGCTTCGTCGCTGGGACCAGATTTATAATGCACTCCGGTACCTCTATTTCCAGAGAGATGGCAGCTTGGAGATGGCATTGGACTCTTTCCTCCTTGAAGCCAAATCGATTAGCAAGAAACGGTTTCATAAACCTCAAGGGGATCAGACAATACTACCATCGCCTAGCATGGATTTTCCCAAAGCATCAACCCAAGAGCAGCAGATCGAGTTAGAAAACCAACTAGTAAAATCACTTAACTATTTCAAGGACTCGAAAGTGCTCTCGAGGCAGAAAGTTTCGCCGAAGACAGATAAAACACCTCGACATCCGTTCCCCGAGCAACAGGACGGATCCAACCTATCTACCAATCTCCCATGGCCACCTCTATCAATTCCTCAAACACCTCAAAAGCAATTATCACAAAACTCTCCCAGCAACTCCCCTCCGTCTGCTGGTTCCAAGCGTTCAGTTGATCTCTACGAGAGCTCCGATGATCGCGATTCCAAGCGGACTAAGGGACTTCTCTTCCCTCTCTCCAAGCCTAAGCAATTTTCCGGTGAGCTTGCCAACCCCTTTGACGATGTACCTGGCCGACAACACCCTGGAGGGGGTCCACCGGCGCCCATTCAAGCACAAGCACGGCCGTGGAATCCTCTTCCTCCTAGCCAATTTACATCGTCGAGAAATTCGACTGGCTCAGGCCTCTTCAGTCAGCGAGACGAGTTTCAGTCAACTCAGAGCTTGTTCCAGGCCAGTCTTCCAAAGAACCAATTTACTTCCACACCTTCGGCGCCGAAGATGACGTCTGCCTTCGCTACTAGTCGACCACTGCCCGTTATAAGCCGGCCAGCTGGCTCGTCGATCCGAGAGTCCGCAGTTTCACCGGCTAAGTCACTCAGCAGTTCTGAAAGTGATTCCCGATCCGAATCGGACACTAACTCTTTCTCTGATATATCCGATTCGGATAATAACCGTGGTGGTGCTACAATCCAGAACCCTCATCCATCTCTAGTTATTAACTTCCGTCAACTAAGACTCAATGCTCCGTCTAACCATAGCCATATCCGAGCTAGGCTTCAAAATATCTGGCGTAAGTCCACCCTGAGCAATTGGGGACTGAGAATTTCCGGCTAAAACAACACAAAGCCAAATTCCCTCAATGGCTCCACGATGCCCCTCTTGCGGTTGTCTGGGAAGTTACTCGAATATGCCTGCATTGCAAGGTTGATCTTGAGGAGCCAAGCCTTCATTATAATCCCAAGTGGGCCACATCAAGTATGACAGAGATCTGGAGGTCGCTAAGCCAACTCGACGTCTTCCGTGGAAAGTCCTTTCCAGAACGGCCCTCAGCTGAAGTGTGGGAAGCTGCCCTTACCACCTTCGAGAAGAACGGGAACAGCGTTGTCATGTCCGCATCCCTGGAGTTCAACCCAGACAAGACCGGTCCACTCTTTTTGATAGATATGAAGCCCCTACGATTCGACGAAGGGTGTCGTCTAACTAGATACTTTGGATCGGACCGGTTTCTCGAAATCCTGTTCCCCTCCCCTACTGCTTCTAACGCACCACCGATCCTCAAGCAACATAATAATGCTGAAGAGGTAATCAAGTGGCTGACTGAGACCCCGCACTCTTTCGTTGGTCGACACTGGCAAGCGTTCTACTCAAAAGATGCAGGGTATCGCAAGCCAGCAAAGGAGTTTCGACTCGGCCAAGAGGCAGACCCAATCTCCAAGGAACGTGTCCACTTCTTCGCGGAGGATGGACACCGGTTCCGCCAGCCACTTCATCCTACATATCTTTCTCCGCCTGACACAGTGAGCTCTCGGTTCCAGATCAAGATCAGCCAAATGCTCGATTGGCTTTTGCAGCTGGAGCACAACGAGGATCAGCCGTATCTCAAGCTCTTCTCCCGTATCCAGCTAGGCTTGAGCAAGACAATTCCTGCCTTGACCTTTGAGCCTCACCAGATCATACATCGAGAGAAGGACATATTGTCCCCCATTGGAAAGGTCATGAATGACGGTATCGGCCGCATGTCACGCAGTGTAGCCCGAAAGATTCGTGACGCCCTTGGCCTAACCGACATACCCTCTGCCATTCAAGGCCGTATGGGCTCTGCAAAGGGCATGTGGCTGATGGATGTGGCTGACACTAGTGATGAGGATTGGATAGAGACATACCCCTCACAACGCAAATGGCACTGCAACTGGAACGACCCAGCTCACCGCACACTCGAGGTCCGCAGCGTGCCGACCGAGCTGAAGCCCGCTGGTCTGAACCTCCAGTTCCTCCCCATATTGGAGGCTCAGGCGAAAGACAAGGCCCAGATGAGATATGCAATTGGAGAGAGGTTGAAGAAAGACCTTGAGACACAGTTCGAGCTGCAGAAGTCTGCTCTTAACCACCCGTTGAAGTTCAGACAGTGGGTTAACGAGGACTGGAGCAGCCGCTCTGAGCGGGTCAGGAATGGACAGGTGCTGTTTTTGGGAGGCCTCCCTGAAAGCAAGCATGAGACCCTCTTCTTCCTTCTTAACAGTGGCTTCGACCCAAAGAAGCAGAAATACTTGCAGAAGCTGGCTTGGGAGCTCCAATACCAGCGGTGTGAGCTGCTTAAGACCAAGCTCAACATCAAGGTCGGCCGCTCGGCGTATGTCTACATGGTTGTAGACTTCTGGGGAATGCTTGAAGAGAACGAAGTGCACCTTGGTTTCTCGTCCAGGTTCTGTGCCAACACCGACTTGGACCAAGAGTCCTTCACACTTCTTGCTGATTGCGATGTTCTGGTCGCCCGCTCGCCAGCACACTTTGTTAGTGATGTGCAGAAGGTTCGGGCTGTGTTCAAGCCGGAACTTCATGCCCTCAAAGACGTAATTGTTTTCCCGTTAAAAGGAAATGTCGCTCTTGCTGACAAGTTATCTGGCGGCGATTATGATGGTGACATGGCTTGGGTCTGCTGGGATCCTGACATTGTCAATAGCTTCACCAATGCTGAAGTTCCTCCTGAACCTGACCTTTCAGCATACTTAAGGAAAGACAAGACTACCTTTTCTGACTTGGTCGACCATGCCCAGGCTGAGCTGGGAGTCCAAAATTGCTATGACCGTGGGCTAGCTCGTGAAAAGGCGGTTTACGATATGATCACAAAGAGCTTCATCTTTGCCATGCAGCCTAGTTTCCTTGGTATTTGCACCAATTACAAAGAGAAGCTATGCTACCGCAAGAACTGCGTCAGTGATGATGACGCTATTATCTTGAGCACTCTGGTTGGCAAATTGGTCGACCAAAGCAAGCAGGGTATCATCTTCACAAAGGAGAACTGGGACCAAATGAGGAAGGATTACTGGTCACACTTAGGTGAACTAACGGACCCCGCATACAAAGGCAACCATTGGGAGGGTAAAGATGACCCTGCTCACATCATCGATTACCTCAAGTTCAAGATTGCGAAGCCTGCCATTGATAGGGAGATGGCAGCTCTGAAAGAGAAACTTGATGAGAGTAAACATGGTAGGCCCGCCCTGTCATCGCTCTCCTCAAGCCAGGACAATGACTCTGCACAATTTTGGGACCCCGACCTCATAGTCTACTATAACGCATTCAACGAACTTGCCCAGACATCTCACTCCATTCACGAACTGCTCGAAGCCCTACAAAAGCGTATTAAGGAGGTCCACGAAGAGTGGGCCAAAGCCATGAGCCCCAAGACAAGCAGCACCAAGAACCTCAGCTATCAGGAGAAGGTGCGCCGCATATATGAAAAGTGGCGTGCCATCGATTTCAAGTCATGCACAACGGTTGGCTCCAACGGGTCCATCTCTGAGTTGGCGATCTTCCTGGAGCAGCCGTTTCTGGCCAACGGGTGCGCCGCAACCAGCTGCTGGGAGCTCTTAAAGGCTAGCACTGCCTTTAAAATGTGCTATCATGGTAAGGCCAACTTTGTTTGGCAGATAGCAGGCCGGCAGCTGGCCTTCATTAAGGCGCAGATGACCTGCGCAAAAGGGACTTCTGGCGATGAAGAGCCAGTTCTGGTCACACCACTGATGTACGCAGGATTGGCACCGGATGGCAAGTTTGTCAAGCAGTACATGGCGCGGATAGAGGGCGAGGGTACTTCGTACCCTGACCTGGAGGATGGAGATGCTGTTGGGGAGTGTCGTGATGATGCCAACATCGCTGGCTGGGGCGGGCCGAGGTCTTGTTTCAGGGGGGATGATGTGGATTGAGGCAATATCATACTGGGTTTCTTTCTTTTTCTCTTGTGCTGTTCTTGCGAGGCGTTTTGGGGCTCGGTGTTCGAGGAAGTTTAGGCTTTATTCTGATATTTTATAGTTTTCCTATTTTCCTTTATAGATCTGATATCTATATTGCTAGGCGGTGAGAGGGAGAATGTTACGAACGACAATTTTTTTTGCGATTTAGGGACAATATCTAATTTTTGTGGCTTTGGAGAGCTGGTCTAGGGTAGTTCTTCGCGGGTTTAATTCATTTGCCAGAACGATTCCTTGCGTCCTCTAAGTAGGCCCCCGTTTCCCCCTCTAGCGCTTTGTACGCGCCCTTGTCCGTAGCGCCAGTCCGTCGGTCTCGCAGTTGGGCCCCCAGCGGGCCTTGTCCTCGGAATCTTCAGCACCCCCGTAATCCGGGCTTATCGGTCACTGTCACAGGTTGCGGAGAGCGGCAGAGCCAGCCGCAGCAACCCTCTGAGAGATTGAGGGCAGGGAGGAGCGTGAGTATCTGGCTACTGCTCGTTAGTCCTTTCCCACTGAGAGCCCATTGGCATAAAGTCAGCCGTATTCTGCCCGTCTGTATGAAGCCCCCGGATGATTTGGTCTGCTCGAACAGGCGGTGTTCCATGGGAAAAGGGAATCAGACAACGCCTTCCCCGTTCCCCGGCCCCCCCCCAAAAAAAACGCCCTCCCAAAGTAACTGTCGTTGTATGCTTGGATATCCTGGATAATGCTCTTCTTTGGGCTTGTAAGCCGGATATTGACACTAGTTTGGGGCCCCTTCCAAAGCTGTCCTTACAAGTTGAAGTTACCCATGACTCCTTACCGTCAACACAAAACGTAGCGTCGTAAGATAGCATAGCTAACTATAAAAAATCCAGGTTATCTTTCGAAGCAACATACTAGCTCATAGCTCTTGCGCATTGCATTCCTACCCCTAGCTAAAGTCCAATCCCCCATTCAAACTCCCCTGTTCACACCTGGATGGCCTTAGAGTCTCACGAGAAGGCTATAGGCTCAGCTCCAGTTGTAATAAACCCACCATCCATTACCACTATGGAAGCGTTCAACATCTTTGGGCTTCTGATGTTGCCAGGTAGAATACAGGAGAGGGGCCAAGCCGGATGGGCTTGCCATGTAGGTCCTCCTTCCGCAGTTCTGTGACAAGAACAGCGAGGCCGTGTGGTGTAGTGGTAGCATACTTGCTTTGGGTTTCCTGATTGCAAGTGGTCCCAGGTTCAAGCCCTGGCTCGGCCCTATACTTTTGCTTTTGAGCACTATTTTGCCTATTTTCGCAAATTGACGAAATCATGCCTAGAATATTCCAAGGGATAGCAGCTGGTGGTTGTGTAAAGGGCGGCTCCCTATCGTCGTATTAGCAAGCTTCTCGACCTCGTTGCAGAGATCATGCCGTGCCGAAGGCTCAGTTTTCACTTCAGGAGGTTGATTGCACCAATCATGGAGTATTTAAAGATCACTCACCACCGTCACCTTTCTCACTTCCATAGAGTCTCACTGGTTTTACCACTTTGAAACCTGAGTTGCCTGTAGAAATCAACTTGCTCTGTGACGCAGCTTGCCGAAGCTCATGCTTCCTCGAACGCCAAGCTCTCTCTACCCTAACCCTTGATGCCGCACCTAACTGGCTCAAAGGGACTACTTGCGATTTTCCTCTCTAGGTTCCCTACAGATTGCTTAATGTGAGAATATTCACTAAACAATTGAACAAATTATATCCCTGACTCTTTATATGAGAGTTAACAGTTGTTGACCATTCTCATGGCTACTTCTGGTGCTGTTATCATCAGTCTTATCAATTCACACACCTTTCCCCACCAAAAACGTTTCCACCAACTCTCTCCGACGCCCCTCTTGACACCCTGGCAGACACCCTGCTGGTTAATCGAACCCAAGACACCACGGGGTCATCTGCACGATATCTTAAGCTTAGTTAGATGCCGATGCCTTGAACAGTTAAGGCAACTCTTCCAGAAGCCTCTCCTACCTTTCAAACCGATCCCTCGACAAGGAGGAAGAGAACAGGCCGCCAACTGGTCATGACAGTAGGTCGTAAGTCCCACGCGTCACAACACGTTGATCCAACGTGACGATATCATTGCTAATCCTTCAATTCAGTTATGGAGAGCCTATAAATGGTTAGTCAGATGGTCGCTTGATGCGATCGCACACCATCCCACAACCATCGAGGACGCCTCTGGCACATCAGATGACACCTTTGCTAAGTTCCCCCACAGTGCTGTTCTGCCTTGCCGGCGAGATCATTGGAACCAGCGCTGAACGACAGTGGGTGCTTGTGCTGCCCAGTGCCCCTGGTAGGTGGTGCCCGCCACTGCCTTACGCCCGCAGCCCGCTGGTCTGCCTGACTCACCTGAACCGCCTGCGCCAATAGCACAGCAGGGCAACCCTCCAACACAGGGCAGACCGTCAGATCACATCACCAGCGCCGGGAGATATCTTTTTGCTGCGGAGCATTTCCCAAATAAGGGGTCTAAAGGGATGCTCCAAGCGGAAATGAAACGACCTCGTGGTTACGAGGCCGATAAGATCGGCCTAACGTGGATAATACAGTCACCGAGGCTATCTTATGAACCAGGATATATACCAGCGTGAGATCCACGACTGGGATGTTAGACATGGATAATGATTTAGCCCAAGATGGGAGAGCTTCGGTCAAAGTCAGAAGTTCTCGCGGCATCTAGCGTCATCGATGACTCCCTGTTGCGTGCTTGCCGTTCCCGCTAACGCTAGCACCAGCGAAGTCCACCAAGCAAGTCGATCAGCGCCAGTCCAGCACTGATGTCTCGGACTATAAAACCATCGACACTGATGGATCGTCCTCTCGCCGAACTGTCATTCAACGAACTTCAGTCCTCCTCTCCTACCCCGGGGGAGGGAACCATCCTTGGCCGGCCGCCCTGTGCCGAGCCAAATTCGATTTCACCGGATACCGAGGTTTTCCCCTTCGGATACAACGGCGAATCCCATATCTTCAATCATGCAAACTACCGTCGCTCTCTGCGCAAAAGAAATACTCGCAAGTGGCGAAATTCTAGCAGAAACTCCAGATCGTCCAGACAGCATCGTATTCAAACCCGGAGATCCCGTGATATCTTCATCCAGGCGGTAAGAGAGGGTCTTGAGCTTGCTCACTCGGATGTTCCTCTCCCTGGAGAGTCCCGGAGCAACTCTTCTTCGGACAGTGGTGGCGAAGATTCATATTGTCCGACCCCTACTTTCACCAACCGGCACACGAGTTTGAGCCCGCCCTCGACCAGACATAGCCGTCCCCCTTCGTTGGATAGACAGAATGCTTTTTGCGATGAACAGACTAGGAAGCGAAGACAGAGTTCAGATGACACAATGAGCTCTCAAAGTGACTCAGTGGTATATGAGCCAGAGTTCATGAGTGGGCTTGATGATAAAGACAAGAGGGACATTGTTGAGCTGTACCGATTTGATCTGCTTTACCGGAATGAGTATGAACGCGGCGAGGGCTTCTCTCTCGACTACATTGCCAAAGAGGACCCGGTATACTCGGTCAAAGTTGTGCAGGCTCGGCCTCGCGGGAAGGATGCTGACACTGGGAAGCCTGAGCCTGCATGCCCATACAGGCTAACTCTGGACCTGGACTCAACTCCTTTCACTAAGGAGCAGGAGTTCAAAGCCTGGCTGGATCCATGGTATCTGACTGGTCCCCTTTCCGACAAAAAACACCGTCGCATCTACAATCGCGAGTGTTGGAGGCAGGAAATGGCCGAGAAAGGGGATGTTTTTGTGACCGAGCCGTTGTCGAGGTTCTCACAAACACCTACGAAGCCTATCACTAAGGTTATATACGAGCTCGCAGATGAAACCATGGAAAAGGTTGTGGAATCTCTAGATTCTTCCGCCACGAATGACTTTTCTTTTTGCGACAACATACACAACACCAACCAACTAGACGACGATTTAGCCACAGAAGATGCAGTTTTAATCGACAAAGAGGACGAAATGAAGGAAGACCCTACCATTGACGACACCTCCAACCATTGGGTTGTGCTTGGCCCTGACGGCTCGTAGCAGGTCCGCCCAAATGGAACCCCCGAATGCCCATGTGTCCTCGACTAGAGTTGCAGTGCGCTGCCGCCCGGACTGGCCCTCATAAGGGACTGGCACAACTACTGCTTGGTTGGTGAGCGTCTGGGGGGCTGACGGGAGGGAGGATTGGAGTTCGGTTGTGTGCTCGTGGCCTGAAAGAGCTACTTGAGCTCGCCTGGCTTCGATTCTGGTTAGGGAGTTGGACCAGGTTGTGTGCTCGTGATGAAGGTTGCTTGAGCTCGCTTGATCTGGCTCCTCATTACCTCCCGTGGGATAGAGGAAATCGTTGTTTAGTCCTCTTCCGTTGTTTATTTTTCCTGTGATTTGCTGAAATTTTTTCCCTTAGCGAATCGTTTGAGCCTAGAATTTGAATGCGGCCCTTTGGTGTTTTGGTCAGTTATGTCATCGATATGATCTATCATTTTGGCTTGGGGCATTTGTACGGGTCATGCATTTGGATATGGGTCATTTCTTGATCTGGATATATCATTAGGTCAGAGATATCTTGGAAGCAATTAGCACAACTCACTGCATCTCATTCCTTTGAGTCTTCAATAGAGCATTGGACGTCTTATACTTCAACCCTCGATGTTGTTTCATGCTTGTTGATTCCTGCGAGTACAATCGGGTATCAGGATGTAATCTGTAGCATCATACGAAGAATTTCGCGTCCTGGATGAAACGGGAAACATCGCTTAGTTGCTTTCTGGACCCTCATTCGCAGTTCAATTGCTGACATACATCGCCCAGCCAACTTTCAATGCGACGATGACAGAACGCGGGTCCGCTTCCTTGCCCGATCACTGGAACCTTTTATCCCGATCAACCCCCTCACCGTGGTACGCAACACAGCTCTAAAACCCCGTTGCATTCTTTAGCTTCCGGTCTCACTTGAATACCCACAAACTTCCTGTTCTGTAGAAGCAGCAACAATGACAAAACTCCTTCTAGCAACAAACACCGAGTTCGGCCAGGCAAACGTCTTTCTTGCCGTCTGCCACGCCCTGCAGCAACTCGACCCAGATATAGAGCTGCACATTACGTCCTTCGCACCCTTAGCGAAGCACATTGAAAACGCATCGAACTTCTCCATCCGCACCGCCAGACAAACGCATGGCCCTGAAATCAACCCGCGACCATGGATCTTTCACCCGCTACATGGTACTACCATGGTTCAAGCGCTGTGGAACATCAATGGCAACAGTATCCCCCCAGGATTGGTGGCGCGGCCGGGGTTTAGCACGTGTAGGAAGATCATGGCTACGGGGATGACGGTGTTGTTGCCGTGGAAGCCGGAAGAGTTCGTTGAGACGTATAAGGAATTGGAAGGGGTTGTGAAAGAGGTTGGGGCGGATTTGGTGGTTGTGGATTGTCTCTTTTCACATGGGTTGACGGTGTGTCAGAAGTTGGGCGTTAAGTATTTGGTGTTGTCGCCGAATACGTTGAAGGAGTTTGCGGCGTTTAAGCAGCCTTGGGCCGCGGTTGTGTGGAAGTATCCGACGTAAGTGCGACCCCCTAATGCTGTTGAGGTATTTCCGATGAACTGGTGTTTATCATGACGATGGTAGTATGTGCTCCGGCATTCCATTCCCCGTACCGTGGTACTTGATATCACTCAACGTTCTCTACTTCACCCTCCAGATGGTCTATGCTGTCCTCGATACCAGAACTCGCGCGCTTAAAGCTCATGTCAAGAAAATACTTGGGGTCGACTTACTGACCATGGCGAACTTAATGACATTCCCGCCGAAAGATCTCAAAATCTTGGTAGCTCACAAACCCGAAACCGACTTTCCCCTTGTTCTGCCGCCGTATCTTACCCCATGCGGTCCAATAGTCCCTCCTGTATCCCCTGTCGCTGAAGTTGACCCCGAACTGAGCAAGTGGATGAAGGGGGGACCGGTTGTGTTTTGTCAGCTTAGGCACGATTAAGTGGATGATGGAAGACGAGGCACTAGAGCTGGCTGGGGCATTGCGGAAGCTTTTAGATGTTGCCGAAGAAAGAGGAGTAACAAGAAGTGGAAGCATTTCGGGGAAGTTGAGAGTGTTGTGGAAACTGAAGCAACACCCTCAAGACCCAAATTCCCAGTTCTCGGTTGGGCTTGGATCAAAAATTCACGCCCTTCTTGGGAAGGAGCTGGATGACGACCGAGTCCGGATCATTGACTGGATCAAGCCCCAGCCAATTGCCGTTCTCCAGACAGGGGCTGTGGTTGTCTCGGTCAACCATGGAGGGGCTAACTCATATAACGATGCCATAATGTGAGTTAACCACTCGGTCGCCTTGTGAAGAGAAACATCATGTGCTAACAAGCTCCCAGATCCGGAGTTCCCCAGGTTACTCTTCCTACCTGGCTTGACTGCTACGACTTTGCCAACCGGGTCGAGTACCTGGGTATCGGTCGTTGGGGTAGCAGGACAGCCGCACCATCATGCGCATCCGATGAACTTGGACCTGTCCTCCTTGACGTGGTTCTAGGGGAGAGGGCTGAGTCGTACAGAAGGAAGGCACAGGAAATCGCGGCGTTGTGTGCAAAGACGCCGGGATCTTTCGTTGCTGCCTGCGCTATCCTGGGGGAAGTCGGGGAACAAAAGGACTCGGTGAGGAGCTTCTCGGGTTATCGTACAATACTGTCGGATATAGATAGGATGAGTTGATATAGGCATACTTGGGTTGATGTCGTTTAGATGTTACTCATTAGACGTGGGGTTTCTTCCAATCGCAACGGTGCCCAAAGTCCAAGTATGGAGTCTTGAGGAAGAACCGCAAGAGTGCCTGTGGCATGATATATTACAGAGCTTTTATTCTGACAATACCATGGAACCTCCATAGCACTGAGCTGGCCGCAGCCGAATACCTAGTCTTGAAGCAACGCAGTTCAGCATGTCACCTGCACGATATGTCTGGTGCCCGAGTCAGAGAAGTTTAAGAGAGCAAGCCGGAACGCGTTTCTCCAGGGACACCCATGTCACTGCGTAGGAAAACTTCATCGAGACCAAGCCGATAAAGGTGGTGATGCAGCTGGAAGCGGGATCTCCCATGCCATGCGCATGCGGTCGGAAGGAATCCTATTTGCTGCGCTAGATGAGGCCCTGGAAGAGGCGTTGGGAGTCAGCAGTCATAGGCGGGGCTACACCAATCGCAGCCCCGCGGTACCTGGGGAAACTCCACGGGCTCCACCAAGCATGCAGCGGGGATGCAACACAACACTGTCTCTCCTCCCATATTTCTTCTGGAACCATTCCATTTCCATTCCATCACATCAAAGGGCGACTCTTTGTGTCTCCGCATCTTCCATCAAAACACTATGCGTAGTTCACCTCCCGATGAAGCCATTGCGAGTGGCTTACTATAGCCTTGACCACGTGCAGATCGATTGCATGACTTACCGACTGCAACAGTGCAATAATCTCTAGGACTGTTATGTGCTATCCCGCAACATGCTTCCAATGTTTTGCTGAGATAGCTGATCTGTGCGTATACACCAGTTTCTGGCCCAGCGCCATGGCGCAGACCGGATCCGGGGTCGAGTTCGGGCTCGAAATGCTGCCAAGGCGTCGAGAGACATGCGCTTCCCGGACATTGAGGAGGGTATCCGAGTTGTATTAACTTCTTCCCGGACATAATCCATCCTACTTGACCAATGTTCAGATCTATCGGCCACGGCTTTGTTACTTTAGGAATGTCAGCAATGTGTGAAATCACGGACTTTCACTCAGCAGCTGTGAACTATCATTTACCTGGGAAGAGTGCGCACCCTGTCCCGCTGTGCCTGCAGTCTAGGATCACCATTATGCCAAGAGGTTGCATCTTGGCCTCGGCGTCAACGGGGGTCAACGGGCCTTTCCCAGAGCAGCAATTCGAGCAATGGCTCTCGTCCAGCACTGTCCTTGCTGATGCGGAACGCCAATAGCCAGCCCAACTATAGTGGACCTCTTTGCAAGCAATGACGGCTCTCACCACGCTGACAAGGGGAGTATGAGGTCGCAGTCTTGGAAGTCATAAGAGCCTCGAGCCCCCAGGTCAGAAGCTGACCTCAACTTCGACCACAAGCCAACCTTCTCTTCCGACTAGGTCCCGACGACAATGGCTCTCTTGAAGTGGCTCACCACTCTGACATTTGCCAGCTCTCTAGCCTTGGGCTCACCAGCGGCCCGTCAGGAGACCACAGACATCGCTGATGAATGGGTCTCTGAACTCATCGCTAACCTCACCGAGGTCGACTCTAGTCTCAAACGCCGGGGCCTCCTTGGGTGCTCCTACAACAACCGTAACTTGGTTGTCGACCTTGGCTACGCCAAATATAGGGCTCATACAATGCCGCTACGGGTATCAACTCCTGGAAAGGGTAAGAGATCATTCACCATTCATGAGAACAGTGCCCAGGTGCTGACCCTAGAAAGCATTCGCTATGCTGCCCCTCCGACGGGGAACAAGAGGTGGCAGCCTCCTTTTCCCCCTGCTTACCAGGGAAGCACACCAATCGATGCGTCACAGTTCGGTGCTGTGTGCCCCCAGTTCATGCCCTCGATTCCAGGAAGCCAGCCTATTCCCGGCGGTGATGAGGACTGCCTCTTTCTAAACGTCTATGCCCCGCCTAATGCACGAAACCTCCCTGTCCTGGTCTACATCCACGAAGGGGGTTACGGCTTTGGTGACGGCACACGTGATCTGAGTGACTTCATCAACGCCAACGAGAAAGGGGTCATTGGCGTTACCATTCAGTACCGTGTACGTAGCAACCACGGAAATAGTGATGGGTAGCATACTAACCTGTTCACTAGCTCGGCGCTTTCGGCTGGCTTTCATCTGCTGAAGTCAAGCAGAAGGGTGTTGTGAACGCCGGCATGCTTGATCAGGCCTTTGCTCTAGCCTGGATCAAGACTCATATCTGTAAATTTGGCGGCGACCCGACCAAGATCACCATTTCGGGCGAGTCGGCCAGCGGCGGTTCGGTCATGTACCACACGATGGCCGTCGGCGGCAACCTGGGCACCCTCCTCTTCAACCAGGGCATTGCTGCTTCTCCCTACCTTCCGTTCCAGTACAAGTACGACGACCCTGAGCCGACTAGCAAGTACTACGCCTTCTCCGCCGCTGCCGGCTGCCCATCGAGCGGCAACGTCTTCAATTGCCTTGTCAGCAAGGACTCGGAGACTCTGAAGCTGGCCAGCTTCAACGTCACCCAGTCATCGACCTATGGCTACTGGGGCTTCTGGCCTGTGACGGACAACGTCTACATCCAGAAGCGTCCTAGCCAGCAGCTGCCTTCCAAGAAAGTCAACGGCAAGAAGCTTCTCGTCGGCCACAACGCCAACGAGGGCGGCTTGTTCGTTCCACCCTCCATCACAACCGAGAGCGACCTGATCTTCTGGCTCCAGCAGCAGTTCCCGAACCTGAGCACCGCTCAGCTCAACACCATCCTGGCAGCCAATCCGAACAGCGCCAACACTGATCCCAGCGGCCCTCACTTCGAGACCAATGGTCTGACGGGCCCTACCGCCGTCGAAGTCGCCCAGGACGCCAACGGCCAGCAGCAGCGCGGCAACAACATCTACGCTGAGCAAGTCTTCGTTTGCCCTGCCTACTGGATGGCTGATTCCTTCGTCAACCCGTCCAAGGGCCAGTCCTCCTGGCTGTACCAGTACAGCGTGCCCTACGCCTACCACTCCTCGGATATTTCCGCCTACTTCGGTCCCCCGACCACCAACCAGCCGGCTGACTTCATCCTGGCCTTCCGTCGTATCTGGGGCAACTTTGTGCGCACCGGCAACCCATCCATCAGCGCCGAGATCGCCAATGGTGCTAGCTCGCCGAATCCGAGCGCGCCGCACCCGGCTACCAACTGGCCTGTCTGGTCGAATAGCAACCCCCAGCTGCTAAACCTGAATACGACGGGCGGCACTCCATATCAGGAGCAGCTGATGTGGGGTCCGTTCGTCACCCAATTCCAGGATGCGTTGAATGATATCAGCCTTGCGCCGGCCGATGTGTGGGAGGGTGGTCGTCGGTCACGGTGCGATCTTTATCTCAGCTTGGGGTCGGCAATTCCACTTTAAGTTCGGCGGGAAGGATATGTCACGATTAATGCTTGTGTTGTGGGCATGTTTACGGCTAGACAAAGATAAGTACCTGGTTATTTTAGATGTAGTTTTCAAATGATAATGAGACATGCACGTACGAAATGGATTTGTCATCTCCGGCGCTTGTGTGCTTAACTCCGTGTCTGGCGACTGGCTGTGTTATGGTTGGCCGGATGACGACATCCCGGCGCCGGATATCGCGACGCCAGCCAAGCGGCTTCCCTGGTGTAGCTCAGCCTTACCCCGCGTCAGGAGGGATACACTGGTAAGGGGCAAGAACCAAGCAGAAAGCGATTGACGAATTGTGATTTGTCAGGAGCATGGGAATGTTGCATGCGAGATCTGGCGCGAGCTCGGACACCTTTGATGGCAATTGCGATCGTGAAAAGGAATCTCGGTCATGCAATCCGGAGAAGGAGGATGTCCATGAGGAAGATTCTGAGTATAAAATCGCGGTCTGCATCCTGATCAAACCCATCCATTCGCCAGCATAACCTACCTTTACCAGCATAACACCAAACGACACTCTGATCTTCGAGCAGACCAAATACCCAGCCTGCACAAACTAAGAAACCCCACAATGGCCACTGTCACTCGCCTCCTAACCGTCTTCCGCTCCGGCCTTGCCACACTAGACCACATCCTCACCGTAGCCGAGGAGCACGCCCGCTCGAAGGGCCTCGACCCCGACGCCGAGTACCCCAACGCGAGGCTCATTGAGGACATGCTGCCCCTCACCTTTCAAGTCCAGAATGCGACCAAGACAGTGCGCGTCACGCTCGGCCGGATCGAGGGAAAGGAATATGAGGCGTGGGAGGACAACGAGAAGACGATTTCTGATCTGAAGGCACGCGTGCAGAAGGCGAGAAAGTTGGTTGAGGGGACGTTGGCAAGGCAGGAGGAGGTTGATAAGCGCGCTGAGGAGGCTGTTGATCTGTAGGTTTTCCCCGCAGGACCGGAACGAGATGATTGGGGACTGACATAAGTGAATAGGGCCCTTGGACCGAATGTTCTCAAGACTACAGCCGTTGAGTCGCTGTTCCAGCACAGCATTCCGAACTTCTTCTTCCACCTCAACATTGCGTATGCCATTCTCAGGCATAAGGGGGTGCCAATTGGGAAGAGAGATTACATCTTGAGCTTTGTTCAGGTGGCATAAGTGGCGAAAAAGTGAATTATATAATTCACAGTTCTTGCTTCGCTCATAGTAAATCAACACTTGCGTATCATGCATGTTTTGCATTCACCCTATGCATTGGGTAGATTCTTCGGCGATTCCCTCAAAGCCTTTAACCCTGGAAATTTTAAAATGCATGCCAATAACAACAAAGCTAAAAAATGTTGAAGCATCTATGGTAGCGTTCATACACCATGTTATAGATAATCACTAAAATGGTGTTGTATAAGTCAAGAGTTGAGTTCAACACTGCTATCTGGAAAGAATGTGTAACGGGTGACTTGGTTTGGTGCAGGCAGGGATCGGCAATGGGTCAAATGGGTTAGATGACGGCCATTGACGATGTGGGGTGCACAACGAAGTCAATTGCTACGTGTGATAATCTTTCTTGGTCCTCAGTGTCCTTGTGTTGGGGAGAGGAAAACCAAGAGAAATCCTTCATCATGTCTAAATAGCTTCATTTATGAAATTCCTCTGCCCTTGTGAGAACCTCGCGGTCTCCTGGGATCTTCGGGGATTTTCCTCATCGTGGCAAGGTTATCTAACTCATTCTTGGCACCCCCTTATATTTCCCAAGCTCTACCAATCAAATATATATCCCCTTCTCAGCCCTTGTGTCACCGGTGTTCTAAATGTTAACTGTCAAGGATTTTTCTTCTCCTTGGACTGCCGTGTCCATGTGACAGAATGGGCCATGTCAATCTGTGCTATCCAGATAGGATGTCCTCAACAACTTATCTTGTTTTAAATGGCATGTTTATCGTAAGCCTTGTCCAGCTTTTGACGGAAGTGAACAAGGCTAGATGGAGTGGGAATCATGCCCAGGTATGTTACCTGCTGGTCAACCCAGTGATGAACACTTAGGGAGCTCTGGTGCACAGTGCTTATGCCTCAGCAGGCAGACAACTGCCTAGAAAAACGAGGATGCGGTCCTGCAAAATGGGCTCCCAAATCCTCCCAAGCCCCATGGTGAACAGTTATCTAACTCTTTTCGGGTTTTATCTTTCGTCGTACTTTCCCAAACTGTTAGCTCTGAGAGCTGCTGTGCAGATTGCGCAGTCCCAATGCCCCCAAGTTATATCTCTGCCAGACGGTGGAAATGGGATGCTCACGCCGTAGAAACTAACTTGAGATCCCGTTGCCCTGTGTTCTCTGTGTTGGGAGCTTGCGTTGAGGGAGGGAGGCCCAGCATTGTGGGGCCGATAGGCAGACAGGCTGGCGGAGAAGGGATTGTAGCGGTTGCTGCCCTTTCTCGGGCTCCAGTGGATAGACTTGACTCTTGAGCGGTAAAGAGCTGCTGTGTATCAGTTCCGAATCTTTAGCTGCTAATTATACCAATTTTTTGATTGAAGGCGGATTTGGTTAAACTACAGTCTTGTAACGATTTGGGCCGGCAGTGACTAGGGCTGGGCTGAAGAGCCAGGTTATCAAGACCTGCGGTTTGCAGGTTTCCCATGTGGTTGCAAGCGTGTGGTGTAAGATCAGAGCGGTAGGCTTATGCATAGCCGGCGGCAAGTCAACCAATATTTCAGGGGCTCGGGCCGTGCTTGCCAAGACTTCATTGAGGGTAGGAGTTATAAACAGGCTTCTTTTTATGTACAGTGGTTAGTTGTTGAAGGAACAAAGCAGATTAAAGATCAGGAGAGTGTTAAAATCAGGTGGTATGGAGTGCTTAAAGTGAAAGTCACTTGTGTTTCACATTCACAAAAGATTCTAGGTTTTCAAAAGTCTTTGACGATAAGTGGGGTTTAAGCCAGGCAGAATGCCACGCTTCATAAGTTGGAACACTTCAATGGCACCCAAGTCCTCAAAAAGCACGGAAATTGCTTGCCCTTCTGAGGATATCACATCTTAGCTTTGTCATCACAAGCCTCAAACTGCTTATTTAAAGTTGAATGGATTCCATGCACTCTCCAACAGCTGGGCAAATTCATCAATTTTGAGGCCTTGTGAGAACTCCAGCTGCACAAGGCTCTCTAACTCCGTGAAGTGCGCAAGATTTCGCCAAGAGCCGAGCAAGAAAATTTATCATCAGTTGGCCAATGCAAGTCCGTGGCAGTAAGTTCAAAAAGCAGTCTTCACTGCTGATTTTCGCGAGTCCATGAAAAACTTTTCCCAAAGAATTCCACGGCCGTTACAGAACCTGCAACTGTGATCTCTCGCTTGAGGCCCCACTGTGATGGAGAAAGAGCCCCTGTTGTGGGTGTTTTGCGCGGGACGGCAAATGTCGTAAAACATCTGGGCAATACCGCTTCGCAACAGGACAATGTCAATCGCAATTCCCGAGATGCAACACACAAATGTGGTGCCATGATTGGCACGATCGGCCACCAATACCGACCGCTAGTGTAATAGCAAACAAGTTGCTTCCCTGCCAACACATTGAGAATATTACTGGCAAAATCACAAAAGCGCCGAAGCCAAAAGCACATAGTATTTCTTCTGGAGCGCAGACCCTTTCGCAAAACTCGCCAAGACCGAGCCAAATCTAGCCAGAACGACGACGGGCACCGGGGGACCCTGGCCATACCGAATAGGCGGCCCGAGACCAACCATTGTCTTGGCATATTGTCACCGCGATAGTTGCGGCTTGGCAAACAAACCAGATGTAGCTCGTTCCGGAAATGGGGACAATATGGCGCCGTTCGCACCCTGGAAATTTGCCCAAATGGGCACGGCGCCGGTCCCGGCAGAATGGTGGGTGGCTGAGATCCCTGCCGGTAGAAGGAAATGAGCTTGTTACTTTTTTGAGCCGCAGGCGGTGATGACACCAATGGGGCTTGTTGCTCAGTTTGCTTCAGGGGGCAGAACCTGTGGAGGTCTCCTATAAAACCTATCAATCGATCTGTTTGCTGCCAGATCTCCTCGTCGCGCCACCTTCCTGTCCGTTTGCCTCTCTCTCCCTCTCTCCAAGGTCACCGAGTTTCTTCTGTCACGGAAGTCTCGTCAGCCCGCCAAGTCAACTTCGGGATCAAAAACACCTTCATAAGTAAAACCAAATCAGCCAAAATGTCTGCCGAGGTGTCTTCCACTGCTCCCAAGCTCGAGCTTGCTCAGCCGGGCAGCGAGCCCGCCCAAACGACTCCCACTACGGAGATCACGACCACTCAGTCTGCGGAGCAGCAGCCCGCGCAACAAGAAGACAAGACCGCGGCCCCTGCTGCCAATGCCTCCGCTGCTTCCGCCGCCGACAAGCCCAAGGACCAGGACGCGTCCGAGGAGTCGGCCGACGGCAAGAAGGACGCTGCTGACGCCGCCGACAGCGAGGAGAAGCCGGCGGGCAAGAAGCCCAACCCGCTCAAGAAGGTCTCGACCCTCATTAAGAACCTGCTCAAGTGCCTGAAGAAGCCCAAGAAGGCGAAGAAGGCTGAGGCCGCTGCCGAGGAGGCTGGCGAGGCTGCTGCCGAGGGCGCTGCCGCTGCCACGACTGACGAGACCCCTGCTGAGACAAAGAAGGAGGAGCAGCCTGCGCCTACTGTCACAACTACCATCACTACTGGTGCCGCTCAGAACTGAAGTGTTGGGTGTGTGTGAGAGGTTGGATGAAATGAGGGGTGTGGGTTGACAGTGTGGTGATGGGGAGGTTAGAGATATTGATTGATCTGGTATGATCGATCGGGGATGTGGAGTTGGAGAAGAAGGGGTTCGGGTTGTGTTGGTTGGCAAATACGGCGGTGGATATACTAGGTTGTAATCTTGTCCATGTTTTGTTTTCGAGATACCACATCACATTTTACCATCCGCTGCCGGTTAATATACCCAAGAATTGGTTTTCTGTTCCGCGTTCACGACTGTTCCGGTTCCTCGTTCTCGTCTTCCTCTTGCTTTGTCTTCCCGGGATTAAGTCTTGCCTCGCGTCCGCTCATCCTCCTTCCATATCCTGTTTTCTCTGCGTGTCCAACTCCTTCCCATGTCTTCGTGTCCGGCAAGCCATACGTGCTAATGCCGCGACCCCAAGTTGTCCATGGGTACGTCCAGCGCACCAATTCCTCGGGGACCTCTTCGCTATCCTCTAAGAACACTCTCCAGTCTCTCGGCTTATCTCGATGAATCAAGTAACCACCCAAATGGCGATGCCACACATCTGGCGGTGGTAACACAGCGTTTTCGTCATCACTCCGTGTCCAGTGCCGCGCCACAGCCAACTGAATCTGTCGCTCGATACCTCGATGACCGGTTACGGTAGTTAAACGATGCGCCCAACCATAGCAATAGACAGAGCGGTTGAGAGGAGAGAGATCAGCAGCGACGCCGCGGGCTATCGCGGGGAGCTGGCCATTAGCAATGAGTGTCTCGATATCGGAAAGGGTCACATCAGGAACTATCTGAACAGGAAACTGAAGATCCGAAGGTACAGGTACGGAGGACCATTTTTGGAACTCTTGAAGGAGCTCGGCATGGGTAGAGGGACCCTTCGAGTCTGAAGCGTCGGCAGGCGGAAGAACGAAGGAGGCACGAACCTCCTCCGAACGTGTCGAGATGGCGCTGATGAGCTTTCGGAAGTAGGCTGCCGCGAACTTAGTGCACACCAGCTTGCGACCACGAAGAGCCGGGTAAAGGACTTTCGCCAAGATTTCCTGACGCGGCACCAGATCGTTGTTATCGGTTTCGTGATCCTCGATTGCCTTTACGATGATCTTTTGCTGAGATGCTGGCTGCAGAGGAACCGGTCCGTGGTGAAGATCCGTTACCAGCGCGACAAGCACGCTTGGATCAAGGTTGACCATATCTGTCAGACGGGCACAGTCCTCTGCCACCAGTGGGTCACGTTCTTGGATGAGAGCCGTGATGGCAACATCGACAGCAGGAGGGGCATCGGTCAAGAAGGAGCTGTTAGCACAGGTGACTTCGACCATGACGTCCTCTCCGCCAATCTTTTGCCGGATAAAACGGATCATCCTGTCGACGACCTCAGACTTGCCCTCTTGTAGGCTGGGAAGGATAAGATGCAAGCGATGGCAGTGATTCCAACGGGCTGCTAGCACAATCTTTTTGACTGTGTTAGCAAACTCGGTATGGATTAACCCATCATCCGCGTCAGCTTCGCCCTCCCCATCGCTGCTATCCTCCGGCTCACTGGCCCAGCCCTCAGCCATGACCTGATACTCCAGCGTCCTCGGGTTAATCGAGATGAACTTGATCCATGTAGCCCCGCTATCAACAACAGCATCAACCAGCACGGTCTTCTCCTGGAAAGGCTGGTCCTTGTACGCCAGCCATCCTGCATCAGGAGCAACAGGCAGACGAGGACTCCGGGGGAACTCCTTATTGATAGCGACCAAACCGCGGCACTTCTTGACAACAGCCCATCTGTCGTCCCAGCAACAACTCCTGATTCCGAAGAACTGGGCAGCCGAGATCGTGGAGCCGTCCGGTGAGCGGTGTTTCTGCACAACCTTGTCAAGTGCGCGCTGCTGGACCTTGAGCAGGGCACTCAAACCCCGCACCGGCCGGCTGGCGGCATCGGCAATCTGCTGGAGATGCTGAAGCTCGCTGATGCATTTTTGCCATTGGTCAATAAGAGTTTCTATGCTCTCGCCTAGTGGTGTTCCATCAGGCAGTTGGTTGGATTCTGGTTGGGGTTTGTTATCGGGATCTGAGCGTTTAATTTCTTTATGGGGTGAAACTGGCGAGCCGGGAGGTGAATATGCGACGTCAACATTTGCTGCACTAGATGGCGCCATGCCTGTATTCTCTAAGTTTTCGGCTTGTTTTTATATCGCACCTCTTAACCTCCAGCATCCAATGGCAATAAGGTTGTTAACGTTTTCCGGTCGTTGGGACAGTGGGAAGTTGCTGCCGGCTGCTACGGGGAGCGAGCGCAGCTGGCAACAGCTGCCACAGAAGCTAGGCATGGGGGTTAAGGTAAAGTGCGTGGGAGCAAGGAGCTGGGCAAACCCCAACTGCTGCTATCCTCCCGATTCTAGTGTTTCAAGCGACTCGGGAGCAATGCATACACGATATACTTAAGAAATTCCATTTGAAACTATGAAGTCTAAAGATGGTCTATATACATATCGATAGGAGTCCCCCGCACATCCAAAGAATGAGGTTAGGATAAACTTGGCCGCCAAGGCTAAGACTGGGAGGTTGTGGGGCGGGTGGCGCCGTCTGGGCAGCCCTCCCAGGCGGAAGAAAGCGACATAACCCTGACATTAAAAAGCTTCCGATCCTTTCTCTGTGAAACTCCAGAAAGCTACTCATCGTCTCCTCAGCTTTAACATCGATTGTCATCACTTCAAGTGCCACCAGATACCAGTGGGATCACCCCTTTTTTCTATCCAGACGAGCCGCGTCTGCTCCCCACACTCTTACCCGGACTCCTGGGGCTGATCTTCGGCCAAGATGTCGCTCAAGATGTCAGCATCCGTCGGGACTGTAGAATTCTGGGTGACACAATCCTCTCAGCGGATTGCGTACTTCGCGAGACGTGTGCCACAGTCCAGCTTCAAACGGGCTGAACCAGAAGATATAGGTGCTCAATATTTGCCCATTAATACCAGCAATTCGATCCCCGTGTCCTGGAACGCGCATCACCAACAGCACCGGCTGTAAGCACTGCATGTAGTATTTCCGAGTTCCGGCCATTTAACCTCAATTGAGGCACACGCCTAAAGCCGCATGAACCCCAGAATAGCGGCAATCAACGGCTGGTAGGAGCTAGTAGGAGCGTCAAAAGTGCCTGGCCTAAGAGGAGCTTCTTGGTGGTGTTGGCGATCGTCACCTTCCTCATCTGCCCTCCTTCCCGCGCTCTCGTTGCATTTTGGAGCCTTGGCTGCCCCACAGCTCCAACAAACAGCCTAACACCTCCAGCGTGGCTTCACCCGCTGCCGCCTTCTTATCGCCTTAGCTCCGCTAAGATCTGGCTGATCTTGGCTACCGGCAAGACCGTTTTTTTCCCAAGTGACATCAGATAATGCCCCCACAGGCGAGCCAAGACGAGGCTACCACACTGCCGTTGAGCTTGATCTCCTACCTGCCGGCTTGTCAGCTAAGCCAAGTGCTGCACTGCCAGGGATCCCGCGACTGGTCAGGAAGAGCACTTGCTATTTGGGTGACCGAGTGCACTTCTCACTCGACAGCCTGGTTGCATCCTTACCCACCGAGCTGTGCGACCTTCCATCCCCAATCACCGTCCGTCCCAACCGTCGGTTTGGTTTCCAGAAGGTTGCCCAATTCCGCAACATGCTGGCAACTGTTGCAAGCCATCCAAGCCCCCAGATTCCATGGGGCCCATGGCCGTGTGCTTCGTGCCTCAATGCCCGCTCAGCGCTATGTCGTACATCCGCCCGAGGGCACCAATCCTCGTGAGGAATGCAACGTCTTGGAGGAATGCGACGGCGTGTATCCGTATCACTGTGTCAGCCAATCTCCACCGATATTCTGGCCTTGACCTTGTCGAATTATCGCCTGCCCCGGGGAACAGCCGGCGTAGCATAGAGAGCTGGAGTCGGTGTTGAAGCAGGCATATCGCTCATCTCTGGGCTGACAGCGTGGTGTTCATGTCCTCCACGTAAGCCACCTTGGGGTTCGCGAGCACACCATGCCCCGCAGCACATGCCTGTGCCTTCCTTCTGTCGAGTTATTCTTCCAGTTTTAGAATCCCGGGCGTATTGGTCGGCCTACCTGTTTATCTGACGCGGCAAACCGAGGCTTGTATATTATTCCCGAGTACTCCCCTGCCCACTTCCTCGACAGCGGTTTGAGTGCTGGATCAGGTTTTTAGTGCTCTCTTTTATATTCGAGCTCGACCACTGAACCGCGACGATCGGCCCGTGGCGATCGACACAGCGGTCACTGAATTTCTCTCCCACCACTGTATCGGAAAAGCTGTCAATTAGCCATCTACAACAACACATCTTTACACAATGGGGATTTTCTTCAAGCGGCAAAGCACCGATGAGAAGGGGTTTGACTCCCCTCCCGTCCAGGATGCTGCGGCACCTGGGTATGCCATTGAGGAGGGCATTGTCGATGAAGCCCAGGATGACCTGCACCGTGAGATGAGGCCAAGGCAATTGAGTGCGTATTCCTTGATGTTGCCGGTGTCCATTGGAGCAAATGCTAACCGCTTGTGACACTATACAGACATGATGGCCATCGCTGGTGCCATCGGAACAGGTAACGAAGCTTTGCTCTTGCAGATCTCACTGTCGTTCCGCGGTGTCAGCATCAGCTAACGTTGTGTTGCCCGTAGGTCTCATCATTGGTACCGGTACTGCACTTAAGTTTGGTCCTGGATCATTGCTTATTGGTTACGTTCTCATGGGTTTCGTTGTCTACGTTGTGATGGTTGCCCTCGGTGAGATGGGCGCCTGGCTTCCACACAAGAAGAGCTTCTCCGGCTATGCTACGCGCTTCGTTGACCCGGCCATGGGTTTCGCCACAGGCTGGAACTACTTCTTTAAGTATGTCATTGTGTTACCGAACAACCTTACAGCGACCGGTATCATCCTCCAATACTGGCTACCAAACATCAACGTCTCGGTATGGATCGTAGTTTTCGGTGTCGTTATCATCGTTCTGAATGTATGTTCCCCCTGATTTCCTCCGCCTACCCCTGAATGACCGCATATCTAACTTCTCCTCAGCTCATCCACGTCTCATTCTTTGGTGAAGCTGAGTTCTGGATGTCATTGTGCAAGGCCTTGGTCATCCTGACCCTGATCCTGCTCTGCTTCATCATCTCCCTTGGTGGTGGCCCAAACCACGTCAGGTCCGGCTTCTCTTACTGGAGGGATCCTGGCGCTTTCGGGCAGTACTTTGTTACCCTGAACGGCGAAACCCACACCATCGAGGGTGCCACTGGCAGGTTTGTCGGTGTCTGGGCCTGCATCGTCCAGGCTACCTTCGCTTATCTGGGTACCGAGCTGGTTGGTGTGGCCTTTGGCGAGACTCCCAACCCTCGCAAGAACGTTCCTCGCGCCGTCAACCAGACCCTGCTCCGCATCGTTTTCTTCTATGTTGCTGGTGTCCTGGTCCTTGGCATGGCTGTTCCGTACAACAGTCCTGAGCTCCTGCAGGCCACTAAACAGCGCACCAGCGGCCGTACGTCATTCTTCCCTTTGACCTAGCTCTTTCACATGCTAACCTCAACTTTACAGTTGCTTCTCCGTTCACCGTTGCTGCCAAACGCTCTGGTATCGACAAACTTGGCGACGCAGTCAACGGCATGCTGCTCATTTTCACCCTCAGCGCCGCCAACTCGGATATCTATCTCGCCTCGCGCAGTGTCTGGGCTCTTGCCAAGGATGGCCAGGCCCCGAGCATCATGAAGCGCACCAACAAGCGCGGTGTGCCCATCCCCGCCGTCATCCTGTCTTCCGTCTTCATCGTCCTGGGCTTCATGAACGCCACCAAGAGCGCAGCAACCGTCTTTGGGTACTTCGTCTCGCTCGTCACCGTGTTCGGTGCCCTCAACTGGATCGCTGTCCTCTTTAGCTACCTCTCCATGATCCGTGCCATGAAGGTGCAGAATATCCCGCGTTCAGTCATGCCTTATCGGAATATCCTGCTGCCGTGGGGCGCGTGGATCGCGCTGTTCATCACCATCTTGGTCATCCTCTTCAGCGGGTACTCGGCATTTATCCCGCACTTCCAGGTGGATAAGTTTATGACCAGTTACATTGGCATTCCGGTGTACATTATCAACATCTTGTGGTGGAAGTGGGCGAAGAAGACAAAGAGGGTAAAGCCGGAGGAGATGGACCTGGTGACGGGCCGGAGGTCATGATAACTCTTCACTTTTTTTTTTCCGTTCCCAGCATGGATGATATTTCACCAATAAAGTTGCTGTTATTTTATGACTAGGTTGGACGTATGTATGAACACATGAAGCATATGAATAGATTCCAAGATCCTGCTCACAATGCTCCTGAAAAGCGGCACAGCTCTCAAGATTATTATTGACTACGAGCCTCCTGAAGTAAACTCCTTACAGGGAGTCAATGTTAAATTTTGCCACTTCCCGACCTCGAATGGCTTGGCTAAAAGTGTGGGTTGAGATTCCGCAACACATCCTAGGATTCTGGTTGTTGTATATTTAAACATTAAATCCGTTAGACAAACTTGATTCAGTGGCATTACTGCCTTGACCTCAAAGCAAGCGAAACATTCATCTGTGGGTTAGAAGCTGAAGAAGCTGGATGCTAATCGCTTGGTTTTCGCTGAGGAACTGGAGACCGACGAAGAAGGGAACCAACAGTGGAAGAAACACTTCAAAGGGGTCCTAGTGATGAGAGTAATTCAGCTTCTCTAAACATATGTTCTTGTTAGGAGAAATGGAATGACCCCCCACCACCTACAACCTACCTGGCATGACCTCTCGAGAGAAACCATCAAAGAAAGGGATTACCGATCACACGTAATGATAGAGGTAGGATGCCTGTCTGATTACTAGTTAGTATGAGTACAAACAATGAGTCAGGAATGCTCTCATTACTGGCTTTCTTAAGTAGCTAGATATCCCCATTTCAGTAGATACCAAACTGTGCTGACTGATTCCTTAAGATGTTTCAACTAATGCAAATGATCCAAAACCCCATTAAATATAGAGACTGTAGGCCGATGTGATCGGTGTACTGTCCACTCTCAAAGAGGATCCCCTAAGTTTACCTGTGGTGATGATAACGAGGGAAAGGAAGAAGGAAGAGCATTTGGGAGGAACGCTTGCGTGAATGTTTAATATGGTAAAGATAAACTGAACAGGAGTTAAAGACGCTATGATCCAGCAAGTTTCGCATGCACTCACGGCACTGAACTCAGCTTATAGTGAAGCTCAAGAGAGGTTATTACACTTCTACAAACTTCAATTGAAAAAGGGGAGGAATCAGAGGCTTCACTTTTGATGATATAACCCTTACCCTAATGTCGGCGAACTCGCCGAGTTTCCGTCCCTTGGCATCATTCCACAACAAAGTCCCCTCTTGACAAAACCATCAAAGTTGCCCACCTGGGATTCCTAAGTCCTGTGTAGGCTCGACATCCAAGATATGACCAAGCAGGAACATAAAGAACTGCATCTCATCAGCTGATAGGTTGGCCCTACTGGAAGAAAAGAACACCATCCCATCAAACCGTATCATTCCATCAGAAATATACACTGTGTACATGCGGGGAACTTGCATCCTCCGCCCCGCTCTGGGACGCACCATCAACATCCCCGCCAAACGGAACTCTGGGGAGAAATCGTGGAAGGAGGGGACAAGATCACATCTCCTGCGTTCATACCACTTTCAAGTTTACTCCTTTCACCTTGGAAACGGCAAAGACGCAAACAAGCAATTTTACTTGCAAACTAGATTTCGACACCCAAGAAGCAAAATGTCGCTGAAGATCCAAGAACCTATCATCACGTCTGTGACCGAGCTCTCACCCACCGACTCCAAATGGGTTACACTCAAAAAGCTCACCTACATCGACCAGACCGGCAAGGAGCGCACATGGGAGGTTGCGATGCGCAAGACCCGCGCCGCTTCGGCAGGCGTGGACGCGGTGGCAATGGGCAACGTGCTGCTACATCCGGCGCGGCCACCTGCCACCCTGCTGGTGATCCAGTACCGACCGCCACTGGACGCATACACGGTTGAGTGGCCGGCGGGGTTGATCGATGAGGGAGAGACGCCGGAGCAGGCGGCAGTTCGCGAGTTCCGCGAAGAGACGGGGTATGAGTGCGAGGTGGTCAGCGTCAGCCCCGTGCAAGCGGCCGATCCGGGGTTGAGCAACGCGAATATGCAGCTTGTAATGGTGGAAGTGAAGCTGGGGGAGAAGGACGAGCTGCCGGAGCAGAGGCTAGAGGATGGTGAGCATATCACGCGCGTGGTGGTGCCGTTGGCGGAATTATATGACCGGTTGGTGGAGTATAGCAAGCAGGACCGGACAATTGTGGCAGCAAAACTGTTCCATTTCGCGGCTGGGATGCACTTTGCAAAGACTCAGGCTGCAAAGTATGGACTATGAGCTGACGGCGGCCGTTGGGCAGCGGAGAGACGTCTTTCTATCATCTCACCGTTTTCGTTTTCGGTCTCAGACTCTAGAACATAAAGCATTGCAATAGACATGGCCTCGGCGACGAGGTAGAACCAAGATATACACAGGATCAGCGCTCATTAACAATTTGGAGCCTAAAAAAGTGGTCTTAACCGGCGCTCCTTTCGCCCAAAAGAAACCGGAATGGGGCTCAAGCAAAGATCGGTGAAGGTTCCGATCGATGCTTGGCGGCCTGACGGCTCGCTGCCAGCTGGCGCCGCCTGGAGGCTGAGGCACCTGCCACGTCCTCCGATTTGATGCCCAAAGAACCACCTACATTGATATCTGGCAGAATCTATGTGATATGTGCTTATCCGTGTACTTGCCTTGTTTCAGGCTTCACGTGTCAAATGTGATGGCACAGTCTAGAGGTGGGGAAGCTGATTGCCAGCGTTGAACTGCAGGTTATCGATTGTTGTTGTGCATGACCAGGGTTGCGGATGGTTGCATGACCCCAGAGCATGAGAGAGGGATGAGGAGCGGCATAATAATGCCTAGGACAACTGACGCTATTGATGCCTGGCCTGGATTCGGCAAAATATGGTCAGGTTTCATGTGCGAGCAGACATGCTTGCAGAATGGATGGGCAAGGGAAGAGCTGATCGCAAAAAAAAAAAAGCCAACAAAATCAATTGGGGGCGTTTCTGTTTTGGGAGCGCAGATCATTGTCAGCCGGGCGCCGCAGCGAAGCCAGCAAGCCCAGCGAACCGCAGCCAGCGGCACTCTTGAGTCTCCAGGGCTCGCAGATGCAGGGTCGCCCCACTTGCTGGCGCACGGTTGCCAGGGAGGCTGCCCAAGACTGGCCGTGACTGGTGCATGCACTTCCCGGGGGGTCACACTGGTTGCCAAGCCAAACAGACTCCGCCCGCACCGCCTGCCTGTGCTGGTTCCATGCTTCCATGACCATCTCCTCTCAACAACCGACAACACCAACACCGGCTCGACGTCGACCACGACGACGACAACTACAGCACGGCCGCGCAGTAAGTAGGTAAGTGTGTTGCGCGCGGTGAGCACACGGCACTGTCTTTCGGCGACACGAGAGCGACTTTTCAACTGCCGCCGGAGTGACTCCCCTCACCGACACCGACTTCTTTGCCTGCAACCGCCGACGCCAGTCGGGCAGCCGCTTGCCTCGACCACTGCGAACTGCAGAGCTTGCTGCGAATTTCATCCCAGAACACACAACACCACATCAACGTCAACATAAACACCATTACCCCACATTCTTTTCGACGCGGACACCAGCTAGCAACTTTCCGCTTTACTCCGCGCCGACTTTTACGAATCGACAATCTTTACTCCCTAACCTGACGACGATCACGACGCACGAATTTTTTCCTTTGTTGTTACTCTTGCGATACCGACTTACGACACTCTTTCTACGACATTTTCTTTTCCTACTAGACATTTGCTATTTTCCATCACATGAGAGACTGTGTATCCAACCACGTCGCCTAATAAACCGCCAAAATGATTGAGCCGCCGACATCCCCTCCAAATTCCTCGACCAAACCCGAGGAAGCCCTTGCGTGGTACAAGGCACAGTATGAGATGCTGGAGCAGGAGCTCTCCGAGTTTCAGGCTTCGAGTAAGGAGCTAGAGGCCGAGCTCGAGAAGGATCTGGAGGCAGCCGACAAGCGGGAGAGGGCATTGAGAGAGAAGATTGAAGGGTTGAGCTTCGAGGTAGAGGAATGGAAGGTTAGTCGCTAAATTCCAACGCCCGTTTGCTATGCATACAAGGCCAGGCTGGCTGACACTGTGCTTGCAGAGGAAATATAAAGAGTCCAAGGCCGAGGCAAGCGCAGCGCAGAGCAATCTCGAAAAGGAGATTACATCTCTGCGCGATGCCAATCGGACGCTCCAGCTCAAGCTGCGCGACATAGAGGTAGCCAACGATGACATGGAGCGCCATGCCCGGCACACAACATCATCCCTGGAGGATCTGGAATCCAAGTACAACATCGCAATCGAACGGGGAGTTATGCTGGAGGAGGAGATCAAGCTGGGTGAGCAGGAGCGGGAAAGGTTACGAGTTGAGGCACAGAGGCTACGGGAAGAACTTTCCGACCTCAAAATCGAAGCGGAGATCTTGCAAGACAAGATCCGCAAGCAAAATTCGCATATGTCGAATCTCTCGACCGACTTGACTATCCCGGGCTCGCCGTCGTATTTGCACTCACCGCGCTCCAATACCAGCTCGCCTATGAACATCACGACACCACCAGATACGAAGTCGCTGTCCACTATCGACACTATCTCAGAACCTCAGGATCCACCATCGCCGCCAATGTCAGATGTTTCTATGCCTTTGCCTAAACTCTCTTCGCTCAAGACTCCGAACCGCCTACCGAGAAGCCGGTTACCCTCTGCCGATTGCAGCATTACCCCCAAGCCGAGACCGGTCAACGCAAGCTCATCGTCCTCCAGGGGAGGTGCTCGCTCCGTCACCACCTCGATCTCTTCTGAAACAAGAACAACCGAAACAAGGCCGCCTGAGCCCAGAAGGCCAAGGCCATCCGGGCCACGCGAGTCGGCCGCGCTTCGAGCCGCACGTGCTGCAAGAGGCGTGTCATCAACGAACTCACTTACTCACATCAGGACTCTCACTGCCCAGATGCAAAAGCTCGAGGCACGTGTCCACTCCGCTCGCTCCAAACTCCCAAACTCCGCGAACACGAAAGACACTCCCTTTGCCAGCGCTTTCACCAATGCCTATGGCCCTGACAACACTTACACGGGCAACCACAACTTCTCGTCCAGCAACCATACTTACTCTAGCAGTACGAGCACACCGCCTCGGCCATCGACTCGGTCTGCCAGTGGCAACGTCTCGGGCACGCTCAGTATCCGAACACGAAAGCGCACTGTTGGATCGAATGCCTCAACCTCCAGCCAGACCAGCGACGAGCAACTCCCGCCCCCGAGTCTCGCGCAGTCTCGCCATCCCCCTTCAGCCTCCCGAAGCAGCATTGCCAGCGCAAGCAAGCACGTCCCGCGTCTCAGTTCATCATCCGGAGTTTCGCGATTTTCTCACGGGCCCCTACCAAACCGCAACCCAACTGCCAATGGCTCAACGATCAACCACCACACCCCTTCCCATAAGTCAACTGACTCAGATCTCTACTCCCGCCCCAGCAGCCGAACCAGCATGTCTAGCAGCACATACGGCCGACCGCCCAGCCGGGCGGCTGAATCCGCGATTCCGATACCTTCTTCCCGACCCATGAGCCGTGCAAGCAGCACTCGCACACCGCTCTCGCGCCCACGCAGCAGTATGGGTGTGCACAACTCAGTCTATAGCCATGGCCACAGCGGCAGCATGAGCTACACCACCACCAACGAGGCCGCCGACGAGTCACTGCTTGAAGACGACGAGTCTGACTACCGACGAACGCCAACTAGGCGTGGCGGCTATGAAACGGGTATCCCACTTCCGGGTAGCGGCATTCCGGTACGGTCTAGAAGACCCAGCGGGGCGTCGTCTGTTTCAGGAATGAGGAGGGTCAGCAACGCGAGGGTATACGAAGATTTGGGAGAGACGTATTGAAATTAACGCAAGGATGGGGAAGGGGTGGTACTAAGTCCGATTTTGGTTGTATGGAGTTTTTGGTTGGTTGGAGGCATTCATCCAGCATTGTCGGCCGACTCAGAGATTGATCGCATCAAGAACGACGAAGATCTTGGGGGAGGACTTTGAGGTTCTCCAGTTCTTTTTGGTTTTGTCTCTCTGAGTCATTATCCTCAGTCGCCTCTCCTCCGTTTGGGTTGTTGCTTGCTGCTTTTCCTTAACACCATCATCTGTCTCGTCTGTTTGATTTTGACACACACCGGTTGGATGGATGGATGGATGGCTGGTTAGGTGGTGGTGGTGCCTGGGCTAATTTTCCCCCTTTTTCCTTCTCTTCTGGCCGCTGCTACTGTTGATGCTGCTGCTCGTGGAATTCGCGATACCACCTCCTATCTTTGTTTTCTCAGCAAGTTTCGCATTCTTCTTTTCGCACTTTTGTTGATATGGGATAGTCACTACATACACACTTTTTATTACCTTTTTGTTATTACATTGGCCCTGGCGCTGCTGAGACCCCCTTCCCTTAACCCCTTCCTATCTTCCCCATTCCGGACGTGTGATCGACCAACATTTGTGTTTGTTAAGGTAGCCGACAATTCCTCCTGCCCGCCTGGTCTGTGTCATTGTCCGATGGACGACAGAGGGAATCGATAGGTGTAACAAATGACTGTATCCTCTGTGTAATGCGTGGTGGATATGAATACCTGTGGTATTATTGGGGCCTGTGTTGATAGCGACGAGGGTTGACAGTGAAGAATGTCGATACTTAGCCCATCCAAGTACGGATACTAGTACATACCATACATATAACTCCTAGTCTCTTAGCTCGGGTTCCATGTTGGGGAAGGTGAGGTGACTTATTTTGCGGCGTGTCGCTTGGTCTTGTCCTGTTGGATGCTCTAGAGAAGTTTATGGATGAAGCCATTTTTACATTCCGGCGAGAATCGGGCGAAAAGAACCGAAGTGATCTGATACTCCAACAAGATGCTGAACTGTTTACTCCCAGGACAATCTGATCGAGAGTTCAAGCGAGAGAGACGAACCCTTTAAGGTGAGTCCTGCTTATATATTAGGCTTGACCGCCCAATGGCCTCACGGCGATCCCCTCACCAGTGTCCGTGCCCAAACAAAAAACATCGATAACCCTCCAAATGGCGATTGGCACATCAGCAACAAGATGGAGTCTATGCCCATCACAGCAAGTTGCATACGCACCCCCTTCTCCCCCCATGTATCTGCGATAAACACACATTAGAATCATGTACAATAGCCTGCGCTAACCGCACCATATGCAAGATGCTTGGGATAACGACTTCCGCGACTCCTTGCAGCCAACCAACTTCATGCATCCCGCCTGTCGCTGGAGGAATCGATTTCATACCGCAGCCAAAATCTTTTCCGCCTTCCTCCCTGGCCGGCACTCTGACATCTGTTCCAAGCACTTCCCACGAGGTCGGAACGGTGAACCATCCTCGTAGGGCTGAAACCGAGCTGGCGAGGGAGCTGTGGTGTTGCAGAGGAAAGAGAAGGACATCGTACGATTCTGATGTCAGGCCCACGGATGTGGGTCTAACGGCTTGGCTTTTTGTTCATTCATTCGCTCACTGGACCATTAAACGCTAAACTGTGTCCGGCCCCAGAAGCTGGACCGTTGGACAGATAAGAAACCAGATCGGTGTTCCATCCGGACGGGAGCGGTTTGGGCAGGGTCTATTTATCTGGGTGTGGAATGGGAGGGGAAATCTTGATCAGATCATTGATATAGATGGCTACGTGTGGGCGGGGATGTTCGGGGTTAAATGGACATCATCTCCTCTGAACCATGCCTTAAGAAGGACTGCTGATCATAACGTTGTTAAGGCAAGGGTAAGAGTATTGAATTGAGATGAGTTACCCCTTCCATGTCATCCTCCGTTTTCCTTCGTACTGGCGAAAGGACACAACAGTGAAGAGTACCTGAGTCCAAGGGATAGCCCCAGGTGTAACTCATCGGCTCAGTCAAAAATAGAGAACTCTGGGGATGATAAATGCGCCACTACAAGATCGGACTTGTCAGACAAAACCAAACTTGACAAGTGTCTGTGTTCATACAATCCCTAAATACATCCAGCCATCAGAGTGCAGCCATATCCCATCCATAGCAATCGCCGACAACACCCTCATCCCTCAGCTTGCCTTGACCGAGATACGGCACGCCAGAACGAAGAAGCGGGTAGACAACAAATGGAAATAACGTCAACATGCCAATACACGTGGGTTTCCACGCTGCTCGAATGCCGTTGCGATAGCCACGGACGCGATATGCAAAAACTCGCCGGCATCTCAAAAGACATGCTCAGCCGTTCACCATCCGATACAAAGATTTCCGCCGCTGAGGCGCATCTTGGCAGCCCTGCCAACTGGGACCAACAAAAGGGCCCTCCGCTAATCCGAAAATGGATTCCCCCAGAACGGACGAATGTTGGGGATATGCGGGTCTAGCTCCAAACTCCGGACTGTGGGCCAGCCGAAATCTTGTCGATCGGGTGGCCGGGGTTGCCGCGGGCCCGTGCGGGAAACTCTCAACAATTGGGGATCTGTAACTTTGGCAAGGAGGAGCCCATCTGCCTCAACAGAGCCTTCCGCCATCTCATATCCCGGACTCCTTCCGGCCGGAAATCCCGAGATAGAAGAAAGTTTGTAGTTGCCCGAATTTTGCGGTAAACCTCGGCGTTGCAATGAATGACCTGAGACTCAAAGGTGCCTTGTCCTTTCTGGACGAGTGTGCGTGTCACTGACTTGGCCGGGGCCCACTGGGCTGAGGTGATCTCTTGGTGGCAGCCGGTGGGGTTTTAGAAGTTAGACGAGCCGAAACACGAACCGTGGGAGAAGTAAAAAAAATGTTGTTGAGACCTGGGGTGCCGCGAAACGCTTGCGCATCCTGTGCCCCACATCTGGGCGGTCTCTGAGAGATCCTCTCGATGCCGTGATGACAAGCTCAGGATGGGTTGGCCATCGCCGAGGGGAACACGTTGTCGTTGCGGAGATCCACGGCGTTGTAGCGGCCAGTGTGGTGTCGGACGCTGGACTGGAGGGCATCGCGCTTTGCTGCGATGGAACCGCAGGCCGAGCCATCAAAAGGACCCAAATGATGTCAGACACCGGACCCTAGATGGCGCTGCCCGAGTGCCGATGTGGGTTCACCGTCGAAGCTTGGGCCAGGTACTTGTACATGGGGGTTTGTAATCCGTGTCTGACGCCTACGTCCCCTTTCCATCCTGTCTGTCAGTAAAGGGACACTGAAGTTTCCTTTCATGTAAATTAGATGTGCAAATGTCCAGGGGCCGGCGTTAGTAAGTTGTTTATTAAAAGTGTTAGTGAATCTGAGTGGACGTGGATTTGCTGTTCTGATATCATGCTCGGGCAGGGAAGGCCGCGGTGGTGGGAGAAACAAGCGAGCCCCGCGGGGCCCGACCAAAAGTGGGATGTGACAGGAGGGTTCAACCGCCAGGAGCCAGAACCTGAACCTGATGACGCCTCACACATTGGGTGTGGCACCGCAAATGCAAACCCTTCGGCTTCTCTAACCCGGCACGAGCTTCCCAACATTCCGTGGATGACAAAGATGGAGGTGAGGAAGGCACATCAGCTACCAAACCGCGTTTTTGCAACAGGATGCAGCACATCTCCAAGCTGCCCGGAAAGTTTTGAAGTGGTGGTGGCGGGGTGAAGTGGATGACAAGAAGAAGGTACCTGGTACAAATAGCGAACCACAAATCGGAACCGCGACATTGGATGCACGCTGTCCCTTTTGCATGCTGCTGGTTCCACCTTCCACCGTCTCATGGGTGCGGGTTCCCACCAGAAACTCTTGGATTGCCATTCATCAAGTCTGCTCCTCCCAATTCTTGCCCAAACTCGTATCTCCTTCTCCTCCCTTCCTTCCCGAGAACTCCTCAACTCCCCCGGCCTTCTCACGGAAACTGCTGGACGCTCGACGAGACGGCTTTCGCTTCTTCTGCTCCGCGATTTTGTGCCTTTGTCGGCCAATCCTTTTTCTAATCCACCGTCGAGTCTCTGTCCTCCGCGCAGAGACCCTTGCAGAGATACCTGTGCCGATATCCATCTTAGATTCTGACTCGTGGGTGACCATCTCTCTCCAAGAGAAAGGAATTCCGCTGCGAATCGAGGTTGGTTCTTGATTTTTCCTGAAAACATTTTTGTTACAACCAAGCAATCAGCTGACTTGGGATCGTCTTGGTAGCAGTGTTTCCAACAGACAGGCCTCGCATCTATTTTACAGGCCCAACCTGGGCTCAAACACTCTCGAGGTGCCACGCGACAACAGTGCCGGCTTGCCCGACCGCCTGACCTTCGCTCCCTCAGAGTCCTACATGAGAAGTAGGAAAACAGCATCTTATTATTTCTCATCCTCAGATCTCTCTTAAGATACAAAATGGCGGAGCCCAATGGGCAGAGTGCCCCCAACGGCACAACCTCGAATGGCAGGCCTTCATACGCCGAGAAGCACAAGTTGCCCGCCCACTTCATTGGTGGGAATCGGTTGGAGAATGCCCCTCCATCAAAAGTGAAAGACTTTGTTGCCGAACATGGCGGCCACACAGTCATCACTAACGTGAGCCCCCGTCTCCCCTTCACCCTTACTAACCCCTTTGTCCATGATCCCTCCCGTTGGTCTCGACTGTATGGCTGATGATATATCGAATTCCAGGTTCTGATCGCGAACAACGGTATTGCAGCCGTCAAGGAGATCCGGTCGGTAAGAAAATGGGCGTACGAGACGTTCGGAGACGAGCGTGCCATCAAGTTCACGGTCATGGCTACGCCAGAAGATCTTCAGGCCAATGCCGACTACATCCGCATGGCAGATCATTATGTCGAAGTGCCTGGTGGCACAAATAACCATAACTATGCCAACGTCGAGTTAATCGTCGATGTTGCCGAGCGCATGGATGTCCATGCCGTCTGGGCCGGCTGGTGAGTGCCTCACACACTTAATAGACTTGAGTGATACTGATACACATTGACTAGGGGTCATGCCTCGGAGAATCCTAAGCTTCCGGAGTCCTTGGCGGCTTCACCCAAGAAGATCGTCTTCATTGGGCCTCCTGGATCTGCCATGCGGTCGCTTGGTGACAAGATCTCGTCCACTATCGTCGCTCAGCACGCAAATGTTCCCACCATCCCATGGTCTGGCTCTGGAGTTAGCGAGGTTCACATCGACGAAAACGGCATTGTGACTGTCCCAGAAGAGGTTTACCTCAAGGGCTGCGTCAATTCCTGGGAAGAAGGCCTGGAGAAGGCTAGAGAGATTGGCTTCCCGGTCATGATCAAGGCGTCGGAGGGTGGCGGCGGCAAAGGTATCCGAAAGTGCATGAATGAAGACCAGTTTGAGGAGCTCTACAAGGCAGCAGCTGCTGAAATCCCGGGTTCTCCGATCTTCATCATGAAGCTGGCGGATAGCGCCCGGCATCTGGAGGTCCAGTTGCTTGCCGACCAGTATGGCAACAACATCTCGCTTTTTGGCAGAGACTGCTCAGTTCAGCGCAGACACCAAAAGATCATCGAAGAAGCTCCCGTTACAATTGCTAGCCCCACCACCTTCAGGGCCATGGAGGAGGCCGCTGTCCGTCTCGGCAAGCTTGTTGGTTACGTCTCTGCGGGAACTGTGGAGTACCTTTACTCGCATGCCGATGACAAGTTTTACTTCCTGGAGTTGAATCCTCGTCTCCAGGTCGAGCATCCCACCACGGAAATGGTCAGCGGAGTCAATTTGCCGGCTGCGCAGCTCCAGATCGCCATGGGTATCCCCCTACACCGCATTCGCGACATCCGCCTTCTCTACGGCGTGGACCCCAAGGCGGCGACCGAGATCGATTTCGAGTTCAAGAACCCCGAGAGCGAGAAGACTCAGCGCAGGCCGGCTCCCAAGGGACATACTACTGCATGCCGCATCACCTCCGAAGATCCTGGCGAGGGTTTCAAACCTTCGAGCGGTATGCTGCAGGAGCTCAATTTCCGCTCCAGCTCCAACGTGTGGGGTTATTTTTCTGTCGGTACTGCCGGTGGCATTCACAGCTTTTCTGATTCTCAGTTTGGTCATATTTTCGCCTACGGAGAGAACCGCGCTGCCTCGCGGAAACATATGATTGTCGCTCTCAAAGAGCTTAGCATTCGTGGCGATTTCCGCACCACTGTCGAGTACCTAATCAAGCTGCTTGAGACGCAGGCATTCGAAGAGAACACAATCACAACTGGCTGGCTTGATGAGCTGATCTCCAAGAAACTCACTGCTGAGCGGCCCGATACCAATCTGGCAATCATCTGTGGCGCCGTTATCAGGGCCCACACGGAGAGCGAGAAGTCTCTTGCCGATTATCGGGCTGGCCTGGAGAAGGGTCAGGTTCCGTCCAAGGATATCCTTAAGACAGTTTCCTCTGTCGATTTCATATATGAGGGTCTTCGCTATAAGTTCACCGTCACCCGCTCGAGCGTCGATACTTACCGCCTCTTTATCAACGGATCGCAGTGCGAGGTCGGCGTGCGTACTCTGAGCGACGGTGGTCTCCTGGTTCTGCTTGGCGGACACAGCCACAATGTCTACTGGAAGGACGAAGCGACCGGTACCCGCATTTCGATTGATGGCAAGACGTGCTTGCTGGAGCAGGAGAATGACCCTACACAACTGCGAACTCCCTCACCAGGAAAGCTCGTTAAGTATACGGTAGAGAGCGGCTCCCATATCCGCGCCGGCCAGACTTTCGCTGAAGTTGAAGTGATGAAAATGTATATGCCCCTCGTTGCCCAGGAGGACGGTATTGTGCAGTTCATCAAGCAGCCAGGTGCGACACTTGAGGCTGGCGATATTTTGGGCATTCTCGCTCTGGATGACCCCAGCCGCGTCAAACAAGCCCAGCCTTTTGTAGGCCAGCTTCCCCAGTACGGCAGTCCAGTCGTCGTGGGTAGCAAACCTGCTCAAAGGTTTGCTGTCCTTTATGGCACCATGTGCGACATCCTTAACGGCTACGACAACCAGGTGGTTATGCAGCAAAAGCTCAAGGAGTTTATTGAGGTCCTCCGCGATCCGAAGTTGCCGTACAGCGAATTTTCCGCTCAGTTCTCTGCACTTCATGCCCGCATGCCGCATAAGCTCGATGCGCAGCTTACGCAGGTTCTGGAGCGCGCTCAAAACAGGGGAGCAGAGTTTCCAGCTCGTCAACTTTTGAAGGTCTTCAACAAGTTTTTGGACGACAATGTCCCCAACAAAACCGATCAGGATTTGCTTAAGTCCACTCTCGAGCCGCTCACCTCAGTGCTCAACCTCTATCTCGACGGTCAGAAGGCCCGGGAGCTGAACCTCATTGCAGACCTGCTGTCGATGTATGCCGATGTCGAGTGCCAGTTCTCGGGCCGTCGCCTGCAGGATGAAGAAGCTATTCTCAAGCTCCGCGACCAGTACAAGGACAACATTCAGAAGGTTGTCAATACTGTCCTCTCTCACAAGAACGTCATGAGCAAGAACTCCCTGGTGCTCGCCCTTTTGGATGAGTACCGGCCTAACAAGCCAAACGTTGGAAATGTTGGAAAGCACCTTCGTCCTGTGCTTCGCCGGCTGACCGAACTTGAGTCTCGCCAATCCGCCAAGGTTTCCCTCAAGGCGCGCGAGGTCCTCATCCTCTGTGCTCTCCCATCGCTGGAGGAGAGGACAGCACAGATGGAACACATCCTCCGCTCATCAGTTGTGCAGTCCCGTTATGGAGAGACCGGCTGGTCTCACCGGCGGCCAGACCGTGAGGTATTGAAGGAGGTTGTCGACTCCAAGTATACCGTATTCGATGTCCTCACCCTCTTTTTCGCTCACGAGGACCCTTATGTGGCCCTTGCTGCCCTCGAGGTCTACGTCCGCCGCGCATATCGTGCATACAACCTTAGGGAAGTTCGCTATCACGACGAAGAAAGGCCGTATTTTATCGATTGGGACTTCGCGCTCCGTAAGAGTGGCGCGAACCAAACCGAGTCCTCCATGCACATGCAGTCGGTCGTGCCATCTTCTCCGGCCACGCCTGTCGAAAACGACTTCAAGCGTATCCACTCCATCAGCGACATGACGTACCTGGCACGTAGAACGCGGGACGAGCCTATCCGCAAAGGCGTGATAGTACCATGCAAGGATCTGCTTGATGCTGAAGAGGCATTGTCTAGAGCTCTTGAGGTGCTGCCGCTGGCACATAAGGAGACTAAGGATAAGGACCGCAAGCAACAGCCAGGCATCGCTGCCGATCTCGCTCAAAGGCGTCGGCCCGGCACACCTCTTCGCTTGGAGGGTATTGGTGAACTTTCTGCCGTTGTCAATGTTGCCGTCCGGGACGCTGAAGGAAAGAACGACGAGGAGATCTTGGCCCTGATCAAGCCCTGGGTGCAGAATTCTAAGGCCGACCTGCTTGCTCGTCGTGTCCGTCGTCTGACGTTCATTTGCGGTCGGAACGACGGTTCTTATCCCAGCTACTACACCTTCCGCGGCCCAGACTATGCCGAAGATGACAGCATCCGTCACATTGAGCCATCACTTGCATTCCAGCTCGAACTCGGTCGCCTCTCTAAGTTCAAGCTCACGCCCGTGTTCACCCAGAACAAGAACATCCATGTGTACGAAGCCGTTGGCAGAGGAGTTGAGACGGATCGGCGCTACTTCACCCGTGCAGTCGTGCGTCCAGGCCGGCTTCGTGACGAGATTTCCACGGCCGAGTACCTGATTTCTGAGGCTGACCGCGTTGTTAACGACATTTTCGATGCACTGGAGATCATTGGTACTAACAAGACCGATCTTAACCACATGTTCATCAACTTCAGCCATACGTTCCAGGTCACCGCAGACGAAGTTGCAGAATCCCTGCAGGGCTTCTTGGATCGCTTTGGTCCTCGTGGTTGGCGGCTGCGTGTGCATCAGGTCGAGATTCGTATTAACTGCATGCGGTCCGACAACAATGACGAGAACGATACGATGCCGTTGCGTGTTATTATCACGAACACCTCCGGCTTTGTCATTCAGATAGAACTGTACGAGGAGAAGCTGTCGGAGAAGGGCGAGTGGGTGTATTACTACGTCAGTGGTAATGCCAAGATCGGGTCGATGCACTTGCTTCCCGTGTCAACGCCCTATCCTACCAAAAATTGGTTGCAACCCAAGAGGTATAAGGCACATATTCTCGGTACACAGTATGTCTATGACTTCCCTGAGCTCTTCCGCCAGGCTATTCAAAACAGCTGGACCGAGGCTGTCAAGAAGATTCCTTCATTGGCCGCGAAGCAGCCTGCGATCGGCGAATGCATTGACTACAATGAACTGGTCCTTGGCGATCAAGACAACTTGGCCGAAGTATCACGCGAACCCGGAATGAACTCGACTGGCATGGTTGGATGGCTCATCAATGCTCGCACGCCTGAATACCCCGATGGCCGCAAGTTCATTGTCGTCGCCAATGACATCACTTTCAAAATTGGCTCGTTTGGCCCCAAGGAGGACACCTTCTTCTTCAAGTGTACTGAGCTTGCAAGAAAGATGGGCATTCCGCGCATCTACCTTTCCGCGAACTCAGGTGCTCGTTTGGGCCTCGCCGAAGAGCTGATGCCTCATTTCAATGTCGCCTGGAATGACCCGGCCAAGCCTGAAGCCGGCTTCAAATACCTTTACCTCTCTGATGAGGCTAAAAGGCGTTTCGAGAACGAGGTTATCACAGAAGAGATCGTGGAGGATGGTGAGAAGCGCCACAAGATCATTACTATCGTTGGTGCCGAAGAGGGCTTGGGCGTTGAGTGCTTGCGCGGCTCTGGTCTTATTGCTGGTGCAACTAGCCGTGCTTACAACGACATCTTCACTTGCACACTGGTTACATGCCGCTCAGTTGGTAAGTGGCTTTTTTCCCCCTCCGTTCAACGCCCTATTTGAGCTGAACTGTACGATTGACTGTTTCGTCAGGCATTGGCGCTTATCTTGTTCGTCTCGGTCAGCGCGCCGTGCAGGTCGAAGGACAGCCCATCATCCTCACCGGTGCTCCGGCGCTCAACAGCCTGCTGGGTCGCGAAGTCTACACGTCTAACCTTCAGCTCGGTGGTACTCAGATCATGTATCGCAACGGTGTGTCCCACTTGACAGCCAAAGATGACTTCGACGGTGTCACCAAGATAGTCCAGTGGCTATCATTCATTCCGGACCAGCGCAACAACCCGCTGCCTATTCTTAGCCCGAGTCCCGATCCCTGGGATCGCGATGTTGTCTATACGCCCCCATACAAGCAAACGTACGATGTTCGGTGGATGATTGCCGGCAAGGAGGATGAAGACGGATTCCAGCCTGGCCTGTTTGACAAAGATTCATTCGTTGAGACCCTCGGTGGCTGGGCACGTACGGTTGTGGTTGGTCGCGCACGTCTTGGTGGCATCCCCATGGGCGTTATTGCTGTCGAGACCAGGACCATTGAGAACATCACCCCTGCTGATCCCGCCAACCCCGACTCCATTGAGCAAGTCACGAACGAGGCAGGTGGTGTGTGGTATCCTAACTCGGCCTTCAAGACAGCGCAAGCCATCAACGACTTCAACTACGGCGAGCAGCTTCCACTCATGATCCTTGCGAACTGGCGTGGCTTCTCTGGAGGACAGCGTGACATGTACAACGAGGTTCTCAAGTACGGTTCTTTCATCGTCGATGCCTTGACCAGATTCGAGAAACCTATCTTCATTTACATTCCGCCCCACGGTGAGCTTCGTGGTGGCTCGTGGGTCGTTGTGGATCCGACAATTAACCCGGCATCCATGGAGATGTACGCGGATGAGGAAGCTCGCGGTGGCGTTCTGGAGCCCGAGGGCATCATTCCCATCAAATACAAGAAGGACAAGCAGCTCGAAACCATGGCTCGCCTCGATCCTGTCTACCGCAGTCTGAAGAAGGAGATGGCCAAGGAAGGCCTGTCCAAGGAGGAGAGTGATAACATCAAGAAAAAGATGCAGCAGCGCGAGGAGCTCCTCCTTCCAATCTACCACCAGATCTGTGTGCAATTTGCTGATCTGCATGACCGAGCCGGGCGCATGAAGGCCAAGGGTGTTATCAGGCAGAGCCTACAGTGGCGTCAGTCTCGTCGTTTCTTCTACTGGCGCGTTCGCAGAAGGCTCATCGAGGACGACATCCTGCGGCGCATCGAGGAAGCTATCAATCCTGCCGGCAAGCGTCGTCATGATCCTGAGAACACCTCGCTTGCGGCTTCTCCGGAGACTCGCAGTCCCCATCTTGTGCAGCTCGAATCATGGGTTGGCATCCCTGGCTTCAAGACCAATGACCGTGAAGTGGTCGAGTGGTACGAGCAGAACCAGGATCGCATCAATGAGAAGCTTGAGAAGCTCAAGAAGGAGTCCATTGCCGACCAGATGCGGGAACTTCTCCGCGCTGCCGAGAGCTCTAACCCAGTTGCTGCCTGGAGCGGTGTTCGTGACCTGTTGCGCATGATGCCCGTGGAAGAGAGGGAGAAGGTCGTTGAGTACCTCAAACAGGTCTAGGTAACTCCAGGGTCCACGCGTCCAGTCAGCCCTAGATAGATTTGTTCCTCATTGAGTTTTCTGAGTTTGAGGGCGGATTATGAGCTTCAACGTGGTGATGTTGGTGTTGTGTGTTTTTAGGACGGTGTTGACAGCTTCGAGATGATGGTTCTCGGCTTGGTCATGCTTACGAACGCGATGGTTTCGTCTTGAAAGCATCATTAGATTAGATCTGGTATCGTTATGGTTGTTTTGGGAGAACCTACATACAGCGAATAGACACGATTGCGTGCTACCCTATCCGATTGTGGCTTATTCTTCCGATGTTGACGTTGGACGTACTTGTCTTCCACGTTGAGGCCGGATTCTGGTCTATTTAATGAGTGTATGCCAGGTGATACGTGTCTGAATCGTCTCTTTCCAACAATACAGGCTTTGGAACACTAATCTACAGAACATGGAGGAGGTAAACAAACCATTATTTGACGTGTAATGCTTCCGTGAGAGCAAACAACTTTGGTTTGGTGACTATGGTCTTCAACGGTTCCAGCAAACTCTGAGGTCTCAACCAGACAAGATATGTGATGGAAACACAAGATTGACAACTGGCGTTTTTGAGCGTCGAGTTGATCTCACGTTGTTATTTTTCTAGTGGGAATGCGTGATGAGGTCTGAGAGTACTTGGTGTGAGAGGTAGCAGAAAGTATATATAACCAGCTCGCTGTTTGCAAAAGATGGTATTGATAACTCAGCTTACGGAACACTTTTGTTCTCTGGAGTACTACTCACACTCTCCAGTCTCTAGCATCGTTCTTCGACTCTGACTTTGTCAATTCACCATGTCGGCGGAGACAAGGAATGTCAAAACTGGTGTCACCATCAAAGAGGTAAACTTGCCCTCCAAAGGACCCTTCCAACGGGGCGTGCCCATTCGGGGATTCACCGTAAAGGCTATCATCGATCGAAGTAGCGAGTACAGGAGCATGGGAGGGAGCATGGTGGCCATGCTGGTAGCAGATGGTGGCAGATCGTTGAAAGATGGCCAGTCTGCTTTGTCGGGACCGAGGAACATTCAACCAGTAACAAATGAATCGGGTGAGATCGTTGGAGAGGACATTACGTTTCATACGATGGAACTGAGGATCGACGACAAGGGTGAGTATCAGCTGAGAGCGAAGATTGAGTTCGTTGATGGAAACGAGAGCGAGGTTATTGCGACTGCGAAAAATGTTGGGCGATTGGTGGTTAACTGATCAAGTGCTCGTCCGATGAGGATTCGGGAGAATGAGACCGATGGCCTCTGAATCCGTTGCAATATAAGCTTGTAATACCTGTTATTCTATCTTGACTACTTGGTACTGTCTAGGGCAAAGAGCTAAAACCTAAGATAGCGTAGTTCTATGAACTCAAACCTTGATCCTTTGTCTTCCTACATCTCAGAGGAAGACATCAACGTCTTTGGTCCAAGAAGACACAGTCGGCAGGCGGGTCGATTCGTGAACGAGCACACAATCAGCCAGCAACAAGACTACGTGTTCACTAGCAACCCGCTGAAGCCGTGACATTGATACAAGCCCATATACACACAAGGTTGTGGCCGTATGGCACCAGCGGCCAAGTCCTTCTGGCCCAAACCAGATCCTGCCATTAGGGAGTCAGAAGAGTTCAACGCCGATTTCATGTCCAGATCTATGTGACGCATTAGATATCCCTCACAATCTGGCTTCTGTTTGAGATTTATGTGCCCAGCATGTGAGTGTCTGGGTGCTTATATGTTGATGGCCTAAGATCAGCAGATATGATCGAAGTAACCCAGACTCAACCCAACCAATCAATGGAACAGAAGCCTCTTGCGGGAGCTGCCAGGCGTGGCGACACTGCTGCTGCTGGGATGCAGCTTCTCGTTGCGTTCGCGCTTGAGCTTCTCGTCAAGGACGCGGGCTGGAGGGATAATGGGTTAACAAAATGGTACAGACGCGAAAGAAATGCTGAAGGGAAACGTACTAAGCACGTCGTAACCGAACTGAGGGAACTCCAAGCAGAGACTGCGGAACTCCTCCTCGGCCTCGATACGCAGGGTGTGGCTGCGCAGGGCCCAGAAGTTGGCGACAGGGCCGCGGATAGCCATGTCGTCGGGCGAAGTGTATTAATAGACGTAGCGGGCGTAGGCAATCTCGCCCTTGGCGGTTGAGTTGACGCAGTGGATCCTGGACGAGGCCAGGTTCTTGAGATTCATCATGCCGAACTTCTCCGCAAGAGTATAGACCTTAGCATGCTTGAGGAGCAGCTCGCCCGTAAGGATGACCTCTCGGGGATTGACGGGTGCCGCTCCAGTTGCCGCTGGCCGGGAATCTTCTTGGGGAAGTACTCGCCCGTGTAGAGGAACTCGAAAAAGCAGCCTATTGCGTTGATATCCTCTCCTGGAAGCTCGATCTGGCGTGGCTGTGCAGAACCTTCGTCAGTCTTTGTGCTTCCGACAGAGCTGGCATTTCGGGAAACATACGCTTCCATCGTCCGTGAACTCGGCGCAAGCCTCAGCAAAGAACGGGCTCTGCACCAGCAGCGCTTGGTGCGCCGTCAGAATAGTCTTATTTTCTCCCGACCAATTAGCAGGGTAACAATCGGGCTGCTCAGGTACTGCGCAAAACTGATACGCGGCGGCATCACAGCGACAGTTTGACTAGCGACTCTGGATCCTCCGCTGTACCGCTGGCCTCAGCTGTGGAACCCTCGGGGTTACCAGCCGCATTCTCAGAGGCTGCGACAGCAGCGCCGCTCTCGGCCATCTCGACGTTGCCCGCGGCGGCGTTGCTGGCCTGAATGGCGGCCGGGGTGTCCACGATCATCTCATCGTTGGAGTTGTCCGCCATTTTTGCTGATTAGTTTGTTGAACGAAAACTGCTTCAATCGGGTCGGAATCGGCGCAATTGACGTGAAGGGACCAAAATTAACAACATGGAACGGATGCGACGAAGGGCGCGACTGAAGATGCGAAAACTCCAGACGATAAGGAAAATCAACTGGTCACAAGCACGCAGCGACGGGGGAGCTTAAAGACGAATTAGTCCGGGAAAAGGTACAGCGATGCGCTGAGCGTAATCAGTTGGGTAGATGAGAAGATCAGAAGACGAGAACTGCATTGGGATGCAACAGTTTTGTGCCGATACGCCAACAAAAGGCGTTTCGCAGGTCTGCGACAGCTCTCCCCATGTTGCCCATTGTTGTGGGAATATCAAAAGGTTTGAGAGAGCGGAACGACGGGCAGGCGGGCAACAAACAAGCTTGGAGCTCCCCAACTGCACAGCGGTTTCCGGGGTGCCCAGGAGGGAGTTTGAACCCCCCTAAGGCTTGGCAGGCGATCCGCCCGTCTTGGAATGTGATATTACGTATTTTCAATGTGAGCATGTGAGATTATTACATAAGGCGGAAAGAAAACTGATGAAGATTCTCTGTCCAGGACGGCAAGTCGGTGATTATCAATTAGACTTTAAGAGATATCATAACAAGTGCTTAGTAATTGAGCAATGCAATGCCTATCGAGCAGTCCGTCAAACTCCGGTATATCTCACACTCCAAATGGCTGATATGTACAACGTTACATGCCCGTAGCTAGCTCTCAGCTGGGACCATTTCCTGGAATCAAAGCTCAAGGAGTCCTCACCCTCTTCCTGCCCCTCTCCTCCATATCCTCATCATCCCGCGTAGACGACATAGACTCACGGGCCTTCTTCTCGGCAAGCCTCTCTCTCCAGCCCTTGCGGCCTCTTGCCCTGGCCTCTTCTTCGGGACCCAGGTACCTGTTAATGGTCCTATGATCTAAAACTCTCTCTTCCTTATCATTTTTGCCCGAGGGCATAGTCTTTGGCCAAACGTACCCGTACAGCTTGGAATGGCGCTCGCAGCGGGGGCAGTTGGCCTTAGTGAAATAGGCATCACGCTGGACGAATGCTTCATTGCAGTTGGTACAATAAATCCAAGCAGTCTCGGGTTCGGAAAGGAGTAATGGCGTCAGGGTGTAGTCGCCTGGGATACGGGGTCTGCGTGGAGGTGATGGGGGTTGTGGTGGTAGTGATTTCTTCTTTTGGCAACGTTTCGGCGGGGACGATTGTTGTGGTTCTTGGTTCTTCTGTTTCGTGGCCGTGGCTTCGGAGTCTCGCACTTTTTGCTCCATCCATTCTTTCGAGCCTGTTGAGGTAGTCTCGGATGACTCTTCCTTTGTAGATGACTCCCACATCGGTGACACAGGCTCCGGGAGCGGCTGGGACTCAATATCACTATTGTAGCTTCCACTGCTGCCGCCTTGGGCCTTATGTTTGTGTGGTGAGAACTCAGGGGTCAAGATGGCGGGGTCGGGGGAAGTTGCGCCTGTTGTGTCGCCGTTATCGTTGGCCAGGGACAGCGGACTGGCGCAGTTGTCGGTCTCCGAGCTGTCCCGAGAGGAGTCGACGTCCATGCTAATGGGTTCAACGCCGGAGTGGCGTGTCTTGAGCTTCTTCGCCGGCGTATTCGGCGGAGAGCTCAAGGGGGCGAGATCTCTGACCCGCTTCCTGGCGCTCGAGGGGCTCAGCAATCGCGACCCGGGCTCGACTGACGCGGTCATCGGCGCACGGCCGGCTAAATTCTTTTGGCTCCGCGTTCTCTTAATGCGGGGGCGGATATCGGGGGTGACCGATGAAGTGCGAGACGCTAGGCCTGTAGCACTATCATCTCTCCTCCGTCGGCGGAGCGAGTACCCCTGGGCGTCCTCCTCGATGCTCCTCTGCACTATAACTGTGCCATCCAGCGGCTTCCAGCCATTGGCGAGGTTCTTTTCGCACGTGGCACAGAGACATTCGCAGTTGTTCTCACCAAAATAATTGTCACCATAGGTGACAGTGATCTCCTCGCCGACCTCGATGTCCCGGCAGGCCACGATCTCAATGCCTGCCGGTCCGCGAGTAACAAGCCGAGCATTGGCGTTGCAGTCGTGGTTTGCGAACCGAGCCGGCCCCATGAAGAGGCTGGTTGACTTACTGCGGCTGCTTACAATGAGACTAAAGTCCTTCTTTCGGAGCGCCATTTCTCTCTCTTCCTCGGGGGTCACGGTGACTTGGGTGCCGGAGAGGTACTTGATAGTTTCGTTCTTCTTGATGAAACGGCGCGCCGTCACGCACGCCTCGAAGGTGACGATGGTGTAGCGATTCGTCGCATTTACCTCGAATGGACAGTCAGGCAGGTAGATTGACATGTACCGTCTCAGATGGTCTCTGAAGTCCTTCTTTTCCTCGGGGGTCTTCAGCGCGCTGTATACCTTCTTCAAACCTGGTGTTTCGAGCAGCTTCTGCTCAGCAAGGTCGAGGTTTGGATCGACGATGACATGATCTCGGAGGATTTTGGTAATTTCTTCCTCCCGGATGCCCCGTGACGGATGATAGGACGTGCGGTTTTTAGGCACTGTCGTCCAATAATACGTCTGTAAACCATTTTAATCAGCTTTGCCATTAGCGATATTCCAGAGATAGAAAACCTACATGATCGACAAGTGCATCGGTCAAGATGTCATCGTATGCCGCCAATTGAGCCAGCGTGAGCTGGTGCTTCTTCTTGCTTGAAGTTGACGCACGAGGTGCCATTGTAACAAGGATGCTGGACCGAGAGTTATAATTGAGCGGTGTAATGAGAAGGCTTGGTGAAACCCGAAGGCTAGGAGATGACAGTTTGTATAACCGCAGAAAGATTTGAAGGCCGACAGCACTTCGCCGGTCGTCAAAGTAGGCGACGGTTAGAGAAAATGAGCGAAGTTAAAGGTCTGGTACTGCAGAATCCAAGGGAAAATGAATGAATGAGTGGATGAAGTTCATACGAATAGACTTTCAGCTGACGAAGCCAATTTCCACGTTGGAAAAAGGATGAGCGTAGTGCGCTTCTAAAGTCGGATTAGAATATTGGATGAACAAGCGTGCGTTGCACGGCTGGTCGCGAATAGCCGATTGCGCGCACGACAGTAGCAAGAGAAATTGGCGTGGCCTATTCAATCACAGAACTGGTGCTGCGCAATTGTGAGATCAATTGGCGAGAAGGAAAGAAGTGGAGTGACAAAAGGCTGAGTTGAGTCGCAACACCCTTCAATCACAACTCCTAAAATCGAATCGATACCGTCACTCAGGCAACGGTGGCCGACAAGGTTCTCGGGCCCGTACAGTGCGATCGCAAGCTTTCAGGAGTTTGTCAGAGGGCTCAAAGTCGACTGGTTAAGTGTCTGAAAGGGACTGAGGAAGACGATTTTTCAATTCGCATGTCGATAACGACCTTATGAAAACCGCAGTCGTTCAATGGACAGTGCTGGAAGGTGCATTCCAGAGGCATGAAACTTCGGGTCGACTCCGTCTTTTACATGTGCTTGTTGCCGTGGAAATTGAAGAGGGGGCTGGCGCCCGGGCATGAAGGACCCCATGCGACTACACGATTTGCGCTCGGGTCTTGATTGGTCAGGCGGTTTTGGAGCAGAGGTTCGTGCAGCGCTTATCATGATTGGCCCATCAGACTCTGCTTATGTAATCCAGCCTTCCCGACCCGTCAGCCTTGCCTCGAGCAATTTTGCGGGCCGGCGTTGTGGCCGTGGAGCGAAGCCTGGCCGTTGCAGGAGACGGGGCCCCTGGGAGTCTTCCACCAGCTCTTTTTGGCGCGAGATCAACAGTGAGGTAGACGGCGTGTCAAATACAGAGTCAAGATGATCCAACTAAAGGTCTGTTTTCACTTTTTACCTAATATAGGTTTGGCGTGGGTGCCGTTGTTGACCGTATGTGCAGACGATGCTTAACTGTATCGACAACTCGGGCGCCGCCCTTGTCGAATGCGCCATGATTGTCGGCCAGAAGAGACATGCCTCGATCGGTACGCACGCCTGCTAGCGACAACCGAGCTCCCCTTTCGCCCTCTTCCGAGCTAACTATTCCTCTCTTTCCACATGCAGGCGACCGGATCGTCGTTGTTGTGCAGAAGCAGCGTGGTGCTGGTGCCGAGGGCATGGCCGGTACTTCGGGTGCCAAGGTCAAGCGTGGTGATATCCGGCACGCCGTCGTTGTCCGGACCAGGCAACCCGTCCAGAGAAGAGATGGCAGCGTCATTCGGTTCGACGACAATGCCTGCGTGCTGATCAACAAGTCTGGTGATCCCATCGGCACCCGCATCAACGGCGTCGTGGGTCAGGAGCTGAAGAAGAAAAAGTGGAGCAAGATTCTCAGCATGGCACCCATGCAAGCGTAATCGAGGTCAGGAATGGGCGGCCGAGTCTGGTCGGCAAGTGAGAGGTTCGATTTGAAGGAAGTCATTGTCTGCGCGTGTGAGCGGTGGAATCTGATACCATGAGCATGTTGAAAGACGGCTCGCCATTGGAACGGCGTAATTAGGCGTCATGTATACTACATGTACATATACAATGCGCTATGAATCTCGGAAAACATCACAAGTAGAATCCATATGGAATCCCTTGATGATTACTGAACGAAGCAAATGTATTGGTCCTGACGGGAAACATCTGCGAAACCGCAAACCCTGTTTTACCTATCCGGTCCAAGTATCTATCCTCGTCCTATCGCCGAGATCGCTGAACTCCATTATGTGCAGAAAAGAAAAGCCTCGAAACCCAACACCCAGATGCAAGCATACTAACCGAAGCAGAACTAATTGAAGATATTACCACACTCGCAGCACACGTAGAAGAGTTTCTGGTGCTGTTAGCGCTGATGGAGCTTCGTGAGGTGAAATCTACTTACCATTCCGGTTTCAGCACTGCGCTGCTGTGACTGGAAGAAAACGGCTTCTTGGTGGCCGCAGGCAGGGCACGTCTTGCTCGACCTCGGCAGCTACACCAGACAAGAAACGTGTCAGCAAGGTTGCCGTGGTATCTTCCCAACAAGAGAAATATGCCACCCCCATGATCATATTCCCATTAAACCCATTGGAAGAATCCGGAACGCCATTCACAGTGCCGCCTTGACACATGCCAATGCTGGTAATCCGTGACCCATGATGCCGGTACTCCCAGGGAAAAAAAAGGAAGAACGAAATCGAAAGTCGGTATCAAGATATGCCGGGCAGTCATGAACATAGTCGTATCGTCGTAAAAGAGGGTATCATGTAAACTATCCGGCTTAAGCTGGACCCATCAGACCAGGGCAATCTCCACAGAAATCTCAGAAGGCGCCCAAAGGCTGGTCCACTGCCGTCTTCTCTTCCGGATTCTCGATCTCGACCACCTCTTCCTCAACCTCTTCCCCTCCTTCTATATCCTCCAAATCTCCGAAGAAGCCCTGGCTGCGCGCGACATAGTTGACAAGTGTGTCGATGCTGTGCGACCAAGGCTGAATCTCTACCTCATCTTGTTGGTAGACAGGGGACAGCACAGCGTCGCCATCATTAGAGGTTGTGAACAGCGGAGGAATGGCCATATCGTTGTCGTCTTCATCAACAGGAAGGACAGCCAAGCGAAGGCCGCAACGCTCACACATAATCATGCGGCCGCATGAATAGCAGCAACCGACAGAGCCACCCTCAGAGGGCTTGGAGGATGCGGGAGAGGAAATTGAAGCAGGAGCAAGCGTAGTAGAAAGAGTAGAAGACGAGGGGCTACCCACCGTAGGATCACTGCTGACGTCTTGAGTGACGCCGGCGGTCTCGCCGACGGCGTTGTTGAGGACGTTGCGGTAGATGCACATCGATGTCGCCTCCTCGCTATAGTTACAAGTCCGGCAGGTGAACATCAACTTGCGCTCGTCTTCGTTCTCCTTGGGATACAGCATGTTGCTGCACTCAGAACAGAAGCGGAAAGTGATCTGCTCAAGCGGCTTCTTGCCATGAGCGCCGTTGGTATTGGCAGCCGGTGACGACATTTAGCCTTCTTGTTTCTCGCCTTGTAGTCGAGTCGGAAAGGCGGTCGATGAAAATTAAAAATCAGGAAGTCGACTAAGCAGCCGATGGGCTCGTTGCTTTAAGGTCGGTAGAAGTACCGGGGGATGCGGGGATGATGAGTCGGTTTCTCGTTGGGATGACCTGTTCAAATCCTGTCAAGAAGGGATGGCAGGAAAAGGTCGGCTTGGTTGAGGCTTGTGTGTGGCTTGTGAGGTAGCAAACCCGCGGTCAGTACGGCGAACTGATATTTTTGCGAAGTTATGGGAATGGTAGTGAAATATGCGGCGACGCTCTGTTCAGGGAAACCTTGATGGATGATGTGTGGTGGTTTCACTCGGGGAGTAATCGTACTGCGGAAGAGAACTTGTAGGTTCTGGAGGGAAATTTTGTGACTGGTTATCTGGAGAAAATCTGATCTCTGCTGCCTCTTAAAGGGAAAACAGCAAAGGAATCGGGGCGCTAGCGAGAATGTGGGCAGTTGCCTTGTTCCATGTGAAGCATGCGGTCCCGGAACCGTGACCCTGATCGCAACAGTGGGCTGGCAGCCCTGTTTCGATCTCATCGCTGAGGTGATGTGGCTCGCGGCGCGCAAGGCGGGTCCCACGTGGATCGCTGCTGGGTGCATTTCCTGGTCCGTGCCCCTTGGCGCAGCCTGCGCACTTGGCGTGTTGCCATTTGTGGCCTTGTCAACCGCCGCGGTGGGCTGTGATCGGCGTCGTTGCCGTTCCCGTAGTCCAGGCTTATTTGCTGAGAGTTCTTGGGTCTCAGGCCGACCAACCTCAAGAGGACCCAAACGGGATGTTGACAGCACAATGAGCTGCTAACCAAAGCCCAAAGAAACTTGTCGCATCATTAGCCATTTTTAGTGATTTACACGGTATTGGTCTGGATCTTTACTTGACACAAATAGAACTGGTTGATACGGAATTTGCTGGATTTCCCTGCAGATCGTTGGCTGTCTCGGACCTAGAATGTACGCTACGTAATTTACCTAATGCAACCACAGCAAGCCTGCCGAGAGGCTCTGTAAGCGTGTCGATGCAAGAAGTTTACGTAGTCAAGAGTTTATAGCATGAATAGGTTCATGTAATCACTGGTCAGGTTCTAGGAGTCAACCAGAGCTCGTTTGTTCCTGCATGAGTATATTGACTGCTTTCTCCTGGCTCACCAACGAACAAATCCGACGGTTTGGTGCTGACATCTAGTTGTCGGCGCGGAACCTGACGCTGGCCAGGGGTCTTCCACCGGCGCTTCCCTGGAAACCGGCGTGCAGGCCCCAGGGACCCGCCCCCACCACAGTGCATCTCCCCCACCAACTGGCAGACATCACCCCGCCTTTGACATCCAATGGCTTGCTGGAGTCGTTGCACCCCTTCAGCTGCACGCACTCCGCATCACCCCAAGGTCTTAAACCATCGGTCTCTTCCCCGGTGCAACCCCATCTGACCTCATTCCTGCTCGATCGGAGGACTTGGCACTGGACGTCAGCAAGCTCTTTTTGAAACTGCACTGCCTGCCCTCCATCCGGACCCTGGACGCCTGGAGCAGCCGGTTCACGGATTACGGATTACCAATTTCCGTGTCGAACCCCGCAGCTCGTCCAGCGCCCAGTGACCGACGTGAGCTTCTTCGACTTCAATCGAGTTAGTGCGCTACACGGTCTCGACTTAAAACATTGAGCACACCACACTCGCCATGGCGGAAGTGAATGTGAGCGTTCTCCCACGCAGATGTCTTCTTAATTCCCACTTTTGACTTTGTCTGCGCCATCATGCTAACGATTATCGCCCCGACAGCCCCAGACAGGCCTCCCTCCTAACTGGGAGGTCCGCATGAGCCAGAGCAAGGGCCTGCCCTACTACTTCAACACAGCCGACAAGAACTCGCGCTGGGAGCCGCCCCCGGGCACCGACACCGAGAAGCTGAAGACCTACATGGCAACTTACCACAGTGTCGCCAGGCCCCCAGCACCCCAGGCCCCTGCTTACAATGCGAATGACCGTGCTGGCAAGATTCGCTGCGCGCACCTGCTAGTGAAGCACGAAGAGAGCCGCCGTCCGGCTTCGTGGCGCGAGGCTAAGATCACACGCACGAAGGCGCAAGCGCTCGAGATCATCAAGGCCTATCAGGAGCGCATCAAGAAGGGAGAGATCTCTCTCGGCCAGCTGGCATTGACTGAGTCGGATTGCAGTAGCGCGCGGAAGTACGGTGATCTGGGTTTCTTTGGGCGCGGTGAGATGCAGCCCGAGTTCGAAGAGGCTGCGTTTGCTCTGAAAGTCGGCGAGATCTCGGATGTGGTCGAGACGGCGAGTGGGTATCACTTGATCGAGAGGTGAGCTATTCCCACTTTGATCCGGCTATCTCAGTAGTTTGCATGCTGACACTAAGGAAACTAGGCTCGAGTAGAGTGAATTGAGAGAAGGTGTACGAAAATACGACACAAAGTTCTATTTCGCGCGAATCTTTCAAGCGTTTTGGCAGGCCACAGTTACGGAAACGATACGAAGACGATGATCATGATGAAAACTGCTTCGCCGTGCAGGCATCCATGAGCTATTGCGTTTGACCGCTAGCATGGCTTAGCATGATCCAGGCAATGCCCTTTCCAGTCCTACAAACACTATCATTACCAAGTAAACATTGCGGTATAGGAGTGAGCTTATATGACAAGAGACTCAGACCGATTGAGTCCCACAGCACAGTTGAAGCCGTGTTCGGGGCATTCAACTGGACAAAGCATAACCCCAGTATTGCGGCTCAGAACCAGAAGCTTGCTGCCGACCTTGTTTTTGCACTTTGTGATCTATTTCTGATGTTATGATCCCAAACAAATAATGCCAAATCCTTCTCTGCTTGCTCCTCATGACAGGTATCTCCGTCCAAAATGACTATCCAGATGCATCGTCAAGCTGCCTTACCCTAAAAAAAAAAAAAAAAAAAAAAACAATTCCGTAGGCACGGCTCGATATGATACTGTCCTGATGACTGAATGTACAATTCCATAGGCTGTCCATTTGTACTCAACCCCCCTGAACTGCCCTCACAATCCTTTGCGCAAGCGGAGGTATGCTCGCAAACACAACCATCATAATCCCAAATGCCATCATGGATAACGCCGCATGCGGCGCTGCATCACTCTTCGCCTCGTACAAGTATGCTGTCCCCATGGCTGCCGCGTTAACTCCGACCGTGACGCCCGCAGCAACAGTCATGGGGTCATTTACCCGCCTCCTCGAGGCCGCAGCCTCATCCTCAACATCTTGCTCCCCTTCTTGTGACCGAGCAGGCTGCGCCTCATTCCCCCCACGCTGATTTTCCCTCCCCACAGCTGACTGATTACCCTGGCTCTTTCCAATCCTCGCACTCATCCATCTCCTCACCCACCTCTCAACCCACGCCCCCATCCCAAACCCCAGCCCCATCTGATACCCAATCCCACTCACTACCACCATCGCCGCGCTCAGCCCCTGATCTCCGCCTAACATACCCATCACCGGATCCCCCAGGGCGATCGTGACACTCCGTGCCGCGAACGCGATTGCCCTTGCCGCCGGGCGCATGTGCAGCGCTTGGGACGCGAAGAGGGGCCCCAGCGTCACATTGCTTATCGCGAGGAGGGACGAGACCGTGAACACAGAGAGCCCCGCGCGGGAAATAAGATGGGACCGGTGCTCGTAAAGCTTGAGGCCCCAGGCCACGAGGCCGGAGTTGAGGAGAGTTGTGGCCAGATCGCCTGCCGCGAGGAGGGTTTTGGGGCTTGCTGGGGATTCGGAGGGGGAATGATTGGGTTGATGGTTGAGGATTGTGATAAGGGTGTTGTTAGTTTGGAAGGTGTCGAGCATTGTGGGGAGCGGACGGTGGCTCAGGGAACTGTCGAGGAGGAGGTAGGCTATCATGGAGAGAGAAGTCCAGAGGACGGGGTTGAGCAGACCGGAGAGGAGGGTCCGAAGCCAGCATGGAAGGATTGAAGATGGGGATTTGATAGCTGATTGGATTGCTAGTGTTGTCAGCCAGATAGAAAACAGCAAGGGTGTAGCGAGGGCAACGTCGTTCTTGGTGGCCAGTCGCAAAGGCAGGCCAACAACCACGGTTAGCAGAGAGAAAAGAACGAGTAGTGGGTTGTTAAGTGCCCAAAGCAGTAAGAATTGTAATATCCTTGTTCGAAAACGAACTACTTCCTGGGTCGACTTCTCAAGAGGCGTCACACCTCCTGGGGTTGAAAAACCAAGGGCTATAGAGCTATCCATGGCTGAATTCTCGCTGATAGATCGAGCCGGTGTTCGAATGCTCGCGGACTGTGAGCTTATCCCTTTCTCGGGATCAGGAGAGCCGTCGGCTCCGAACATGGGGTCATGGCGTATCATCAAGTATTGGAGAGGGAGCGTGATGATATATGCCAAGAGAGTGTTGAGAAAATTCATAATTACTTCAACATGTCAGCGACTCCTCAGCTAAACAAATCACAGATCCAACTCACCGAAGCAAATGATAACCATTCCAATTGTGCCACCGTCAGAGATTGGGCCCCGGCATATCATGACAACAGGGACAATGAAGCCGATTGACATGTGGCGGTTTAAGAGATCGGTCTACACGAGATCAGTTTCCTCCTACATACAACTAAGAACACTACAGGACTCACTGGCCGTTTTAACCATCTCCAATACCAATTCTCGACACCCGGAATGATGGCACCAATCACCGAGAAAATCACGAAGACGACCGCCATGGCCAAAATCGAAGCAGGGAAATCGATGTTTTCTGCATCTAAACCCAGCTGGATGCCTGCTATCAGAAGCTGGGCCACCAGAGATATGGCAATAAATGAGACTCCATCGCAGAGTCTCCTGAGGAGATCTAAAGACAACGGTATGGTTGTTTGAGGATGTCGAGAATGTGTAGTGAGAGATTCGAGGTCAGTAGGAAAGCAGTAGCGTACGGCTGCTGATGAAGCCATACCCAACACTGACCCAGAACCTCAGGGGCTCAAGGGTAAATTAACCCAACCAGGGGAGATGGATTGACAAATAAGGACAAACGGAAGGTGTAGTTCTTTCAGAAACCAACTAACTACCCGTGCCTTAAAGAGTGAAACAAGGTCATCGCACGAAGTCTTCTCAGACCAAGTATGGTTGAATGAGGATACACTTAAAAGGGAACAACACTGGAATCTAAGCGGTGTCTGGAATACACACCGCAGGTTCCGGTGCGTTTGTTATGACTGGGTTTCCCATGTTCTTTGGGAGGGTTCACGCAGCCAGAAAGACGGGCCGCCAAAGGGCAGATGCCGTCAGGGACTGACAGAGGGTCCAGTCCACGAACAGAGTAGGGTGTACGGCGGTCAGTTAGGACGTCCTCAGCAGCCATCTGGCACATCGTGAGGTTGTAGATGCCTGTTGCTCGGTCATGCTCAGCGGCAGCTGAAGGCTTATCCCGGGAATTCCAAGCACATCCTACACGGATGATGGCACGGCAGCAGGCTGTGCACAGCAAGAAGGGCTCACAACAGGCCTGGAGGTGATGTAATGGAGCGACACGTCAACGTGTCGGTGTAGAGTGCCCGTCTTGTGGTGGGGAAGTGGCCCAGGGAAAATTTACACGGACAGCTTGCAGGGATAATGTCAAACAGAGAAGGCACAAAGAGCAAGAACAGAAACACAGCAGAACACCAAGGGGTAGACGCAAGCTTGCTTCCTCCTGGAACTCCCCAAACAACGGAACGGAAGACGGGAGGAAGTCTGCCGCCGTAGTGCATTCCAAATCCCCGAAGCACCACAGTCCGAACTGCTGGTCCGAGGTGTTAGGTGGTACCCAGCGCCCCGAGGTTTAAGTGTGGTGAAACAGTCAGAAGAAGCTTAACCAAGGTCACGTTTGCTCAGGTTCCCTTGACCGTCCATCGGAGCCGGAAATGTCTCATCCTTGGTTGACCTCTTCGGCAGGACAACCGAACGGGCGCTCAACCCGAGCATGTCCAGCCGAGGTGTTTGAGGAAGATGCCGGCTGATGAGCGTTTGCCATCCGGACCACATTTGACAAGACCAAACCGACGTCCATATCTTGATCAACCTTGAAAGTCCTGCAAGATTTGCCAAGAAAGCGGCAGTTCAAGCCCCCTTGCATCCAGGGGTTCTCCAGCAGAACGGTTGTCTGACAGGGAGCCTGATTAAGGATCTCGGGAGCAGGCCAATTTCATACGGAGCTCTTAGTCTGCTGTGGCGGAATGTACAAACGAAGGGGATATGGAAGGCTAAGACGTAAGTGTAAGCAGGCTGGACAGCCAGGAAGACGTATGGTTTCGGCCTGTGGTGACGGATATGCACGTAACCGCAGTGCACCAACGGTTGACTGCGGTTTGAGCCGCGCTATGGGGGGCATTGTGGCAGCTGGTGAACACACTCATGGGCCGGACGCCGTCACAGTTGGACCGGTAGGAGCTCGCAAAAAGTCATCAGGGGAACAACTTCAGGTTGCGAGGCATGTTGAACATACTACCTTCCGAACATGCTGTGCTTGTGCTGCACCGGAACCTAATTTCGACGATTGTTTTCAAGTCAGGATTGGTGAGTTTCTGGGCCCTATCGTTTCAAGACTGAACCTGGGTGGAAGGGGCATCCTCTACCGAAAGATCGCGCCGGACACACTCCATCTGGAACTAGTAATACACCATGTCTGCTGCCACCAGACAACTATCGACAATGTTGTGGCACAGGAATTCCTATGACTCCCTTGGGAGGGACAGAATAAGTTGCCTTCGGGAGGAGGACTCATAGCCAACAGAACAAAAGGCCTCGGCAAATCATCAAGGGGGTCAACCAAGGCCCGCAGTGGCTATCCAGCCTCCTTCATAGCGTCAGAATCTGTTAGAAATGCTCCTGAGCAGCGAATAAAGTTGTCGACCGTAAGGCAAAAACTGCGGCGCCGATAGTTTAGCCTGGTAGTTATTGAGCCGAGCCGAATCCGGAACACTTTTCTCGTCTGGCTTGCCGCTAAAAACCAATAGCAAGATCGGCATGGGTTGACCTTAAGCCAGGGGTCGCCTTCAGTTGCCTTATCCACCTTGAAAGTCGTGCTACGAGACCAACGGGGAATAGGGGATGGACATAAGCTCTGAAACAGAAAGACTCGAATCTGCATCTGCGCGAACAGCGCACCAGGTGGGCGGAATCACCGGCAATAGGGTCTCGAACGTCGTGCCGTGCTGTTAGCTTGCACAGGCCAACTATCACAGGATTACAGGTGCTCGTGACAGACTCAAGCCGCTTACCGAAACACCATGACACTTGCATTGTGATAAATCAGTGAAGCCCTGCGCCTTGGCCAGCCTTGGGCTGCTTGATTTCTGTGCAATGCCGGTTGTTGCCTGGAGATACGGTAGTATCAAGTTTTGCTACCAATTGGGTTTGAACAAAGTTGGCTGCCAACATATGATCTGTCCCTTACATCCAAGTACACGTCATTGATGGCGATGTGTTAGAGCCATGAACATAAAAAGCTGCGGACCAGAGCTGGAGGATTCACTGGACGTTTGCCAGTCAGCAAGAAGCAACTGCCTTTCAGAGTTGGCATCTCGGGAAGCGGCAGAGAAGTCGAAAGTTCGAGGCAGAAAGTGCCAGTCTTGCCTACGGACGTAAGGACGTAAGGCGAGAAAGGAAAAATGCGACGAGCTCTCACGAGCGTATGTTGTGTCAGGAAAAGAGCCGCTCATCCCGTGTCGTTTGAGCGCCAAGATGATGGACCCATGAAGGCTTGGCGTTATGCACGGGCCGACCAAGACGCCACGCCGTTTGGATGTCAGGGGATCCGAACCTCAAACCACCCCGCAGTGATGGACCTTAGACCCTGGATCTGAACCGGGATCCAAACACGAAGACGAGCCGGAGCGGCCTCCGACCATCAGTAAGTCGTGAGCTGAGACTCTCTCTCTAAAACATCCGAACAACATAACGCTGCGCACTACATGTGAGCCTGTGGGAGCACAAAGTTGCTTCTTTAACACCGATTTCCCGAAATGGACGCCGACACGCTTGTCAAAGTACTCCGGAAATATAATGTGTCGTTCGACGCAGCAGTGGTGAAAGCCGCCTTGTCGGACCCCAACTCACTCGAGGCCAGTGAGCTGGCACATTGGGCTGCCATCCATCTCTCGCCGGACACATTGCTCACGCCGGATGAGCTTAACCAGTAAGCCAAACTCGTACCACAAAGGCAGCCCATAGATGCCCGGCTTGGCCCCGTTCTAAATATGGGAACTTTCTGCCCAGATATGCTGCCCTCGAAGAGTCTGGGCTTGCTGAGAAGCTTGCCCAGGCACCGGGTTTGGCGGAAACCCGTGTTTTGAGTGAACAAGAGATCAAAGACGCTATCGCGGCGCTTAATCGATCCACTGAGTCCATTACTCGTTACAATGATATCCTAAAGCAACAGCGTGCTGCCCTTGACCGTATTGTCAGTGCTGCAAAGGAGGGTGTGGATGCGCAGGCCACATTGGCCAAGGACCAGACCGAGAAGTGGAAGTCTCAACGTCAGGAGCTAATTTTAGAAGTGAGTAACCTGCGAGGTAGTTTTGTCCGAGCAAAAAGCTTACTGTCTTTAGATTCAGCAATTATCACAGTCTCTAAGCACCCGCATTGGGGAACTTGACCAGCAAGCCAGCGAGGCTGGGACTCATATTCAGGAGCTTGTGGACACTCAATTCCAAGCAGACGACAAACTCCTTGCCAGTTTACAGAAGCTAGGACTGGAGCTTGAAATCCCCGATACCAAAGAGCATGGGGATGTTGTCGCGTTGCGTGAGACATGCGCGAGGTGCGTGCGCCCCTGTCGTAACATTGTTGGATGAGACATTGACCACTGCTCAGACTGATTAAGTTCACGGTGGAGACGGTTAAGACAAAGTTGGACCGTATTTATCTCGAGACCCTTGAGGAATTGGAAGCAAATAATACGCCTATCACCACTCAGGTCACAAAGAATGAGGTTAATTCGTTACAAGGGGAACTTGAGTCTCTTTATTCGGAGATCCTCCCCGTGGCCCAGATGTCTGTCGAGCAGCAATTCTTGGAGCCAGCGCTGAAGGACTTGGCTGCTAGGAACCGCCAAAGTCTCGCCAATGCTTCTCAGGCAACAGATTATGTAAGTTTCAGTACTTGATCCATTGGGCCACGTCTAACATTACCAGATTCATGATTGTCTGGATTATCTTATTGATCGCGCAAACGATCTAAAAGCCAGGCTGGAAGCCTATCGATCTTATCAGCATGCAACAAGCGCAGTCCTCGATATGGCAAGAACTGAATTGTCTGCTGAAATTAACCCAGCGACGCCCAAGTCAAGTCGCGCAACTCAACAAAGCGGCAGCCCTGTCCGTCAACAGCCGAAGGCAAAGCCAAGGTACTCAGTCGGCACTCCAGAGGCACCATTGGACGAAACTATGCGTACACTTGCAATCAGTCTTCCTCAAGAGGGAGACGCGCTCGATGAAAAGACGGGGATCAATGAACTTGCTTCGATATTGGCCAACCGTCGGCAAAAGGCAGAGGATGTGGCTCAGAATGTCCAGGAGACGTTTGAGGACGCTGCGATGAGACACCTTGCCGATGGAAAGCTTGCCATTCAGCTCGTCCGTGATTCTGTCCTCGCCGAGAGTCCATATGGGGAGGTGCAACTGGTCGACCCCGAGATCGAGGGATCTATTGGTGTTCTCACTCAAGCATTGGCAGCAGTCGAGAAGAGGCTCAAGACTGTCAATGCTGCCTTGCCGACTTTGCGGGGCAAGAATGCTAAACGGGAGGAACTGGTTAGTCGTTGGGGGTCATGACTCGGGACTGTAGAGGCCCAAACTCCTTAGCAGATTTGATTGAGCATGCTATTCTCCGATCTATGGAGCTCAACATTGCCATGTGATCGATGGGTCAGAGTTCTCCCTATGACATCATGACGGAAGACCCTTTAAAGAAAGGCAAATGCACACCTCTTTGACTTCAACGATCCCCATCAGTTCTGTCAGGTTCCGGCCACAAAATTTCACAAGGCGACTGAAATGGAGAACGTCAAAGACACACTCAAAAAGGGGTTGGAGAAGGTAACCAAGCAGGACAAAGAGCGTACGTTTCTCAGAATTTTACTTTACTCACCTGGAAGCCCCTAACGCTCTGTAATAGCGCTCCAAGAGTCGGGTAAGGACGAACTGCAAACAATGTGGCCGACCCGGGAGCACCATCCCGACCTGACCGGCGGCGTTGACACCCACATGGGCAAGGCAGCCCATTCAGGGGACGTAGCTGGCACGCCTGGAAAGGAATGGATGCGACAGCCAACGAATAAACCGACAATGGGGCAGCCGCGTACCTAGACTCGGTGATTTGGAGGTATCAGTGATAATTAAATGTTGGATATCAAACTAAGCGCTATTACAGGGGGACAAACTATAGCACTGTCGGCCAGAAATAGCATTGATCTACAAGATGACACGAAGATTTGTATTGTTCAAGGTATATCGAATTACAACCACCATATCGAATAGAAACCGATGTCATCCGTCCCAATCTCGGATCTCGATGTCCGAGTTGCTGCAATCCCCCGTCAGCAACCACACTCTATCTTCCGTCGGCAAGTCAAGCTTGGATCTGCCGGGGTTGTGGTCAGGTCTGCGGGTCGGCGTCGGCATCGCATGTGATTGGTTGGTTCGGCCGACTTTGGCTGAGCGCGCTCTACTCCCCTGGTTTGTGTCGGTGATCGGAGCGGGATGAGCCGCATGGCGCCTTGGCGTTCGCGGAGCGACGTCAATCCGTCTGGTTTGGGTTAGGGATGTTGAATCGATGGATAGTGCTGCGGGGTCGAGGCGAGGGAGGGAAGGCAACAAAGCCTGTTTTTGTTTCTGTGAGATTTTTTTTAGTCACCGGGAAGGCACCGATCGTCCAGCATCGAGGCTTTTGGTTGAGCTGCCCCGGTCGATACTATCAACGACGGCGGCACTCTCCCAACTTAATCCCCTCTTCTCCTCGCCCTCCACCTTCACCCACCCCCGCGTCCTTCGCATAGGCTCCCCTCGTTGAGGGTCAGCTCGCGGGGCCAAGGCAAGCTGGCATCGGGTTGGACGTAGACGGTGGGCGGGCAGTTCTTGACGGCCTCGTCAATGGCCCGCCGCGTGCATTCGAAGTGGCTGACGATGGCTTTGCAGGAGATGCCTGGGCTGAAGCCTTGGCGACCATCTGCCGCTTGGCCGGATTAATACAGATGTGCATTTTGACGGTGTTTTGATGTTGTAAGCGTGGTAAGTCTGGGTAGGGGTGTCTGTCGGGAAAGTTGTTCAAATGAAAAAGGATTGCTGTTGGAAAGAAATGACCTGTTTAAACATCTGTGTTCTCCCTGCTGATCTAGATGCGTAATAGGAAAATGAGTTGCTGCTATTATTTGTACCGACTCGATGATAACGCGTTTGTTGCTCCTGTCTGCACAGACTAACAGACTGCGTTGCTAAGGGCTCTCCATTATGACCAAATGCACGCATCTGGGGCTGCAGCAACCCTAACGCTTGAACCAGCATTCTATCCCATCTTCTGACGTATCGCTGACCCGAGAGAAAAGACGAGAGTACTTGCTCAAGTCGAATACCCGGGCAGTTAATTACAATGTACATGTAGGATGAGTTTATTAGCAACACTCAGTCGTCGAACATCTTGCAGCCGAGGGGCACAAGGGTAGCGAAAGGGTTTCACTTCGGAGCACTATGGTTCGCCCACGGTGCTCGTTGGGCTGTTCAACTCCTGCACAGCACTCTGCTAAGGAAAAGATCCAAACGTATCCACAGCATGCATTGCCCTATATACAGAAACGAAAATAGAAACAAAAGCAGTCATGCCATTTATTTTGTGCCCTGCGCCGTTCCTATGCTCGCCCAACTTTGTATTTTATGCTCCTTGTCTGCAACGCCGCATCCACATTATCCAACCATCCGATGATCTATGGATCCATGTGTTTGTCCATTATCCATCCATCCGTTATCCAGCTTCCATCGATTCGTCGAATCTCGATCGGAAAAGATCGTCTGTCCAATCTGGTTTAAGATGCTTTGGAGTTCTCTAAGTTCTTTTAAGCAGCTTTGGCCTTCATGCTGTCGAACTCCTTTTCGCGGTTTCTACGGATGGAAAGCATCATCATATCAGCTCTCCTGTTCCAATGACCAAAGGCGTGGGAAGCGAACAAGGGACATCACCCAGGGACCACACTCTAAACACCATACAAAACCGCATTGCTGCCTCTCAAGCCATCCCGACAATGAGTCTAGGTAGGGCGTATGTAGGTACAGTTCCAACGCCGTCTATGCATGTGTTCCGACCGAGTCCACGTGGGTAAGGGGGCGGGTAAGTATGTAGGTAGGGGAATGACTGTTATACAACAAAGCGCAAAAACCAAAAAGACAGGGTATATCAGCAACGGCTCGTGTTCACTCTTCATACCTTCCCGCGGAAAACATGGCTGGACCGCTCCTCTCAAGCCTCTCCCTCAAGAACTCGTAGACAGTGAAAGTGACGGCTTGGCCAGGGGCGACACGCATGATACGGGGGGTGATGCCCTTGTAGAAGGCGTGGACACCCTCTTGCCTGTGTGATTGTCAGATATGAGTCTCAAGACCATTGAGAAACTCAGGAATACTAACCTGAACATGTCTCCCGCGATCCGGGAGATGCGTTGCAGGGCAGTGGTGCCCGGCTCAGCGGGCATCTTCTGCAGACGGGTCTTGATGGTGTCGATCGGGGCGTTGCTGAGCGGGCCCATGGCACCGGAGACGAGACCGATGAAGGTGGTCTGGTAACTGGGCAGGTTGCCGCCCTCGTACTGGGGCTGCCACTGGTACAGCCACTGCTTGAAGTAGGTGTAGGCCGTGAAGTTGACGGCCTGGTTGCTGCCCTGGCGCAGGGCGGTCAGGGAGACACCGCGGTACAGGGCGCCGATGCCCTCCTCGCGAACGACGGTGTAGAGGGCATGGGCGGCGTTGCGGTACTTAGGAACGTCGAGCGGGTCCGCCATGCTGTGGTTCTGCGCCTGTAGACGGATCTTGACGACCTCCATAGGGGTGACGACGAGGACGGCCTCAGTCACACCAGCAGACAGACCGGCGAAGAAAAGACCCTGGCCGGAGATAACGCCGGTCTCCTTGTTGCGGAGCAGTTGCTTGTACCACTCGAATGAGGTGAAACGGATGGCCATCTTGGGGATGATGCCAGTAACGACAGCACCCAGACCCTTGTAAAGGGCGAGAGGACCCTCCTTCTTCACAATGTCGACACCAGTGCGAATGAAGCCGCGCCTGGCCTCACCCGGTTGCCTGCCGCGCTTGGACAGCTGCATGCGCACCTTGATGGTGTCTATGGAGGGGCAGACTGTCAGATTTTGGCTCTTCACAAGCAAGTAAGGTCAGAAGAAGACATACCAAGAGGATGGCAAACCAGAGCCTCCATCATACCAGCACCACCACCAGCTGCAGACAACATCCATGTTAGTACATCTCTTACTCAAAGCTGAAACTGGCGCATTTCGTGTGAGAGAAATATCAAGAACTCACCAATCAGGTTGGTCGCGGCCGTAGGAGGCGCGCGCTTGCCGTCTTTTGAGGCCATTCTGACTGTTGGAACGGTCTTTTGTTGTCTTCTTTCCGTTTTCCCCCAGAGATCAAAGATTCCCACTGATGATGCTCAGCTCGCTAATTAAATGGCAAGCCGAAAGTTCCAATACGCCAAGTCCCGCTTCTCCGAATCCCGAGGCTAACAACGGTGTCCTAGACGTCGACAGCAGTTGTAACCTCCAAATACAACAATGCTTATATTTCCCGGTTTGTCCGGCTGAGTTTAACACGCAAGGCTGAGCTTTGCGAGATTTCGATCAAAAGAGCCGCAATTGGGCCAGCGCGAGTCACGTCAACAATATTTAGGGCTGCAAAAAAAAGCCGGGTAAAGAACTGCGTCTCCACTGTCACGAACAGAGGACGAGGGCCGGGGAGTCGGGGATGGATGACGGAGGGATTGGGTATCGCTTGTGACAGAAAACAGAGTCTACCTCCGGAAGGTGAAGGGAAATAAGGACAAAAAAGACAAGGAGCAAGAAAAAAAGAGGAAGATTCGGAACGGGGTGGGAGGGAGACGGCCGCCCCAAATATGACTCCGCGACTTTCTCTTCGCGGGAGATCAGATCTCAAAAGCGGCAGCCGAGCCGAGGGGCACGGGGCCGAGCAGATCAGAGAGCGTCCAGGGAAAAGGACGAGGGTATGGGACATGGGAGACATGGGATCGAGGTAGAGGTACAAGCATATCATCTCCATATGGCACTCACCAGGCCCATTCCAGGGGGGATAGGGGCACGTGTGAAGAGACAAAGCGACAGAGCGGCGCCTGGACGCCGTATCCTACCGTTCAGAGTGGCATACCGTTCAACACAGAGCCGGCCCCCAGAGTGCCGGGACTGAACCAGGATCAAACAATGAGTGGACAGATCCACTACAATGTGGATGTGTGGGTTTTGAGTCAGGAAGGCTAGGCCGGCGACCTTTTGCCCGGAGTCACGGGAACCACTTCTCGGGGTGATGAAGGGGCGAGGAGAGGAGTTCGTTTCAGTTGAGTTTATTGCGCCATTCTGACAGGAGAAAACTGTGAAAAAACTGCGCGCGCAGTGTGTTGCAGACGCTTAGTGTGCTGCTCTGCGCTGCGCTGTGTCCCTGACCTGGTGAGTGCCTGCCTACGGGTTGCGACGGATAGCTGTGACGGAGAAAAAGTCCAAGTCGCAATGCCGGACACATGGGCGCGCCTCAACGGCAACCAAAGAGGTGCCCGCAGCCCACACACTTCATCCAAGGTACCGGTACATTACATGTGGATATCAAACCCCACAGTCTTTCTTCATCGGCCGGCGCAGCGGATGAATTGAAACTTCAAGGATGGACCTTTCTCATTTTTTTTTCTGTTTCTCCTCGAACGGAATCATTGTGCACATCAACAGTTTAAGTTCTCTTATTCCAGGTTGCTTGATCAATTGTGGTTGTCTTGTTTTTTTTTTTTTCATCCCGCTAAAATCGAGGTTGCATGTGAAACTCCTCGAATATTCTACTTCATATCACTGACACCTCGCCACCGCCGCACCGAACCTCTTGTTCTAAGCTAGACAACCACAAACTCCCCCATCATCATCATCAAATCGATCCATCCCAATCTCTCCATTTCTTCTGTGACACTCTTAGCTCACGTGCGCAAGCGCCGATGCAGCTTCTCACGCACACTTAAAAATACCCGTTGAAAAATGCCACTGAACATAGCATGGCTTATGATCAGCCAGTGACGTAGGGAATGCGCGTCACCCCGCAATGCCAATACCAGGACAAGATCAATTGATTGATAACCGACCTGAAGCCGAGCTTGTGATCGCGACGGCCATACGGTAACGACCGGTAATCTTACATCGCATGATGTAACAGTATTGCGGGGAAGCGCCCTCTGGGCGAATGAGGGGCATTTGTATTCGGGGGTAGACCCACCCAACGAAGAGCAGACCCCACACTTGAGCCTGCCCACACTGCTCGTCGACCCCAGAAGCTCGGACGCTTCCGGAAAGAAATGTTGCAGCCGCAAGCAGCGATTCGTTTGTTTTCGCCGCCGCCCGCGACCAAATGCCGAGGTCATTTCCCCCTTTTGGAGTCCCAGTGTAGGCTCTCCCAGAGAAGCTCCCCGTCTGCCGAACTGTTCCTGGCTTGGCGGGAAACATTACGGATCTTACAGCGTCATTACGCCCTCCTGCTCGCGGTTAAGGAGCAATGTTACAATGGGCGGACGGCCGGAATCGGGGATTGAATGACCGAGGGGTTGAGTTTCAATCACTCTCGGATTCAAGATCTGCGAGACCCCAAAATGAGCATCACGACTTTTGCTTGGAGTGTCGTACTTTAACGAATATTCGTACCATCAGCGTGGGAAGTAGAGTTGACAAAATAACTTGTTTATAATATGTGCTCCTGAAGGGTATTAAACGTCTGACAATAAACACCAGCAAAAGTAATATACGTATACCGAGTCATGCAGTCCGTCGTTCTCTCTATGGTAAGCTTTTCTCGTGTCTTTTTTTTCTTTCCGAAGAGACACTCCGAAGGAGATAAGAAGACGAGAAGGACAAAAGAGACAACCACATTCCTTGATAAGCAACACCAAGGACCTTCATTCCCAAACTCCTTATAACCTTCCACTACGCTAACGCAAACAACACGCGAGAAAATACCCATGGAATGTCCCGAAGGAAAATGTTAAACCGGCCATAGATACCTAAGCTCAACCCATCCAGATCCATTCATCAATGAACTCCAATTCCCCGGGTAAGGATCATCATACCCAAAAGGGGAAAACGCTGTTCGCCATCATGAGAAGACACACGCCCTTAACTCCGCTCACTCCCGGGCCCCGGCCTCCGAGTCCTCCAATGTCCGTGATTTGGTTTTTTTTGGGGGGGGGCTTGTGATCCGAAAATGCCGCCCCGTCATACTGATATCTCCGTCCCATGTCCGTTCCAGTTCAAGATATATCATGCCCGCTTGCATAAGGCTGAATGAGCGAGGGTGCCAGCACCCGCACCATTCATTCAATCGCTACCGTCCGTCGGGGCAAGATTTCACCGACCATTAACTGCCGTCGTCGCCGTTCCGTGCGTCGTAGCTGTCGTGCTTCCGGAATTGCTGTTGTTATTGTGGTTGCCAACGTCTTTGAACGAGTACACCCGGATTTCACCGTCCTCACTACCGCTGGCCATGCGGCTGTCGCTCAGGCCCACACACGTAACCGGGCCTCTATGCCCCACAAATGTGGCGTCGCACTTCCCTGCGCGGGGCTCCCAGCACTTGACCATGCCGTCGTTGGCGCCGCTGATGACGCGGATCGTGTCGCCTGCCAGCGACCAAATGCCTTCCAGGTGACCAAACATAGTCTTCAGGCAGCGACCGGTTGCACTGTCCCACAGCCTGATTGTGCTATCCAAACCACCAGACAGGAAGTAGCGCGGGGGCAGCGGGCGCTCCTTATCCGCAGCAAAGGTTGGACCATAAAGAGCACGGACATCTTCATCACGGGAGGGAGAGTCACAGCGGCGGTGCTCTGGATGCACGACTGAAACGGTCGCGTTGCCATTTCCATCAGCGCCTGAAGCGATCGAGAGCGTGTCGCTGTTGTCGCCCGAATGGGTGTTACCAGTGAGCAGTTCGTCGTCCGGCTCATACTCCGGGGGGAGCAGTAGAACTTGTTGGACGTGGCCGACGTGACCCTGGTATGTCCGGATAACCTGTCTGGTGTCCAAATCCCAGAGCTTGATAGTGGTGTCATCGGACCCAGAGAAAACGGTACGACTAGCGATGTCCAGGCGGACGCAATTAACCCAATCCTCATGATCCTTCAAGCAGAAGGCCTCCTTGGAGTCAAAGTTGAAGATTTTGATAGTACGGTCAATGGATCCGCTGGCCAGCAGGTGACCCTCAAAGTGCACGCTGACCACACCATCAGTGTGTCCTTGCAGTGTCGAGATGCATTCGCCGGTATGCCAATTCCAAATCTTGATAGTATCTGCCCAGAGTTAGCAACGAGACTAGTCAGTCACCAGAGAGACAGCTAGAACTCACTATCAAGACTTCCACTGATGAGCTTGGTCTCATCAAACTGGAGGGTACGAATGCCACGGGTATGGCCGCGCAGCGTGCGAATTTCTTCGCCCGTCTCGATGTTCCAAATCTTAATGGTGGTGTCGTACGACCCTGTGGCGAGTATGTTGTCGTCGAGCTGCAGGCACGTTACGCCGTTGGTGTGACCCTTAAGGATCTTGACATTGCACCGGCCATACTTCCAGTTGTAGCCAACCTCCCAACGATCCCGGTACACATCCTTCCAGCTTCGAGTCTTCGGCTCCAATTGTTGGGGCTTGTCGAGACAACGTCGCTTGCCATCGGGACCCTCGTCTGCCGAGTCATTCGGACGTTTCGAACTCTGGCCATTCGAGGCAATCGAGTCCAACTCTGTGACTCGGCCGTTGGCATTATCCTTCGCCAACTGACGTTGTCTTGTGTAATTGCGCAGCCTCTTCCTTTCCAGGAGTGGCAGGCCCCACCCACACTTAGTGCATTTTCTGTTCACGTGCTGTTCGCACATCTTGACCCAAACGGCGTCACTGTCGGCCAACTCGCGCCACCTACGGCTAACTTGAGCTGCCTTGGTGAGACTGACAGTATCAAGGTAGCACAGAATCTTTTGAGCGAGCTCGACGGGGAGAGCAGATATGAAGTCGATCTTGAGTGCTTCGTTGACTTCACGAGAGACGAGGGAGAGTTGAGGGAAGCAGAGTTGGGACAAAACACCCTGAAGCATAAGCTCACGGTGGCGAGCAGGCGCCGCTGAGAACAAGGACCACACATGAGTGATAGCTTGTTGATCCTACAAAGGGTGCATGTCAATATCATATCTGGTAGGTGTTGAACATGCAGAGGATGATGCTCAGGTAGAACACTTACAGCTGGCGGCAGCTTGTCCAGTTCCTGCTGTATCTTAATCATCTTGGCTTCGTCGGCAGCCCGGCGACACTTTGAATCGGGGCGGTGCCGGTAACAGTACTTGGTGTTGGGGTCTCTCTCCTTCGCCGTCTGCTCATTGTTGGGCTTGCCGATGGGTGCATAATATGTTGGAATGTGCTCCTTTAAAAAAGGAGTAACCGTCTTGCCGATCAGGACGGACGACATGTGGGTCATGCTATCCTTAGGACGTTGTCGCTCTTCCTCCTCGGGTCGCAGTCGATCGCAGCTCTTGGCTGTGTCAAGAGCGGGCGCGGCCGCGGTGGTTTCGGGCCTCTCGTCTCTGCTGTCGTCGGAAGCGGAGAGCGCCTTATCTTCTTGCTGGGGAGTTGTACGGGGTGTCAAGAAAGCCGAGTCGGCGTCATGGGTTGGAAGATCGATGCCATGCTGGGATGGGAGCGGCGAATGCCCATTGATGATTGAGGGAGAAGAGGAGAGTTCCATGGGAAAAGGAGGGCCAACAGGGCGGAAACGCAAGCAAAAAGGCTTCTTGCGTTGTGGCAGGTTAAATGGCGTGTGTAAGCATTGGCTACTTCGCTTGCCAGCACCCTCCGGCTGTGTCGATGGCGTGCTTGCCAGGCCAGACGTTCTTACGGGGGAAGACAAGCGGCCGTCGGAGCGGTCAGGAGTCAAGCAGCTGGACAGAGAGGGCTCGGAAACGGCACAGCGGCACGCAATGCACGCCTACTGCTTCCCAATTGGCAAGTCGGCGCCAAACTGAGCAACGGGGTTGCAAATTGCCAACCTTTGCGCAAACGCCCAGCGGCGAGATGATACGTTATGACGGATGACGACAACGGTTCTCGGGTTTGACACTTAATATCAACTTTTTTTTAGCAGGGACCTCGGTTTTCTTGCGATGAACTGGCACCAAGTGGTTGTTAAATATTAAGCCCTTCGCAAGATTCGATGGCGTTTGCGACAGAGTTGAAGTGTGCTTGGCAGAGTAGGGTTTTCATGAACGTGGTTGACCGCAATGCAAGCCAGGTTGCCGGCAGTGTCGCAATGGGGCGCCTCAACTCTCAAGGTTCAGCTGGTGCAAGATGCGAGCATGATGGCGAAATCGGCTTCGGTGGAGCTGCTTTGTTGCTTTGCACCAAAAATTGCGTTATCGCCGACCACTTGGTCCGTGCGTCCCACTTCCCGGAGGACTGGGTGTGGGTTGGCCATGGCCTGCTAAGCTCTGGCCCAAGAACAACACGCAAGGTTAAGACATATGAGCTCTGATGTTGTGGAGGAAAAGTGGAAAGACGTTTGGATTGTGGGCAACATCTTAAGATAGGCACCAATGAAACCCACCGTTATTGGCACAGCACCGAGGTCCTGACCTCTATCACCGAGCTTCCTTTCTCGTTGTAAGTTGTCAATCTCAACCGTGGGGGTTGTCACTAACATCAAGGACCCACCTGTCGCTGGTGTGGACCCTGCATCGCCTATCTTTCCGGGGACAAAACTCACGTGAGCTCCATGGACCTCGAAGGGCCAAGCACGCAAGACACGATTTTATCCTTCTCTGCGAGGGGTATTGTCGCTTCCAACCTGCTGTGCAACCTCACACCATCGTGCAAAGCAGCGTCAGCTGCCAATCTCCGGCTGAAGAGCCTATGACGAACATGCCGCTGTCATAAAATATGGCACACCTGGAACTCGGAAGCCGCTTTATGCGAAGTTCAATTCACTCATAAGCCACATCCCCTCTCTCCCCTGGACCTCCTTTATTGAGGCATCATCGAGCAAATGGATGAAGTAGTTCAAATTAAGCACTTTGTGGTTCCACTCCCCTGTTAATGCTAAAAGCTTCTCTGCTTGTGTGATCACACTGGTTTGCATTGCATCACCTGGTTGAGCAGAACCTGATAACTCATGAGCACTGTTGGGCTGTCTAAACCAATTAGTCTATCGCCTGGAATACCCTACCAGCAGTTTACTTTCCATCAATATTTCTAGTCATAAACCAAGGGCATAGACATTCATAAGTCTTTTCATGATGCTGGCACTGGGTTCCGGCAGAGTTCAAACTGTGCAGAGGAAGCTGTGACCACAAGTGAGCATGTCTCTCGAGGTCGAAACAGTGTTAGAGTGGCAGAAGAACCTGATATCACAGATCTCTCCATGGGATCTCGCGAGTCGAATTCTCTGTGGGACATAGCATGCAAGAGTTGCAAACAGACGTTGAAGTTGGACCCACCGCTGATGCCCAATTTATCCTCATTCGTCTGAGGTGATGCTCGAGGCCGTTCTCAACCATTTAGCCTGTAGATTTTTGCCCAGCGAGGTAAGCGTGAAGCTATGTCGTCATAATTGGCTAGATCTTGGCCTTGACACTTGTTGGAAGCCGGTTGATTTGATTGAGAATAAATAGATTTGCTCTGTGTCTCTGCAAGCACAAAACGACATGAAGATTCCCACAGATTCGGTGTGTTGGGGGGAGAGGGGGGGAGAAGGAGGAAGGGTCCCACAGGTACTATGAACTGGCGTACACTCGATAGATGGAAGCTTCGAGGCTATTGCCATTGCCTAGGAAAGATATTGTGCTGAGCATCGGCCTTGATGGGTGCATGATATGTCCGTTTTCAGAGGCTGATGCCCAGAAGCATGGTGGTGACCCATCGACGTTCATCCACTTGCAGCTAGTTGTTTGCTTGTTCTAGCTACTGGCCATGTTTGTACTGTGGCCGAACTTCCTTGTCCTGCCAAGGTGGTGTTTCTTGTTGTCATGACCAACTCTACGTCTCCAAATGGTGAGCAGAATGGAAGGTGGAAACACCTGCTAACATCGACGTTTCAACCTAAGCACAAACAAGCAGAGAACAAACCAAGGACGTACGTTCTAGCCAAAAGCTATTTCTACTGCCTTAACTGTGTATTAAATGTGACTTTCTCCCTAGCACAATTGACTTGAACACTTTGTGCAACTCTTCCTTGAGTCATGATTCATGGTTGAATCTTTGTAGTTCTTTGCAAACAATGACAAATTATATATGGAGTCAATTCACAGTATATGTCACCTCTTATAAGCTTACTAGTTTCTTTCCATTTCAAATAGTCCTTTGGAGGTGGTACCCTGCAATAGATTATATGATGAATTTCGCAAAGATGAGAAAATATCTTCCAGCAGTCCACCCCCAGAATATTCATCCTGCAACTGGAAATCATCCTGATTACTTTTGTCCTCCTTCTGTTCCCACTAAGTATCCCAACACAGAAACGTTATGCTTAACCTTTCCCTTCCTTCCTCCAACTTCTGCCCTGCATCATTTGAGGATGACTATCACTTGGTAATACAGCAAGATTGCCCGTCAAATCGAGGAGCCCATGCTTACTGCGGGTCCCTTATTACAATGCTTCAGTGCTCAGATCAGACGAACTTGAATCGTCCATCCTTCCTCATACCCCAACATATCATTGAGCATGATGTTGCTCATATCAACAAAGACATGCCTTATGACACCTCGCGACTGAGCTGCCAATTATTCGTCCCTCCCAGTAATTTCCGTCTCTGAGCTCTGTGGGTGATGTTAACCCGGTTGCAGCCATAGCCCAAAAGATCAGAAACAATCAGATGCCGGCTGCCACAACCGCCGACAGCAAGAAGCAGCCAGCGGCTGGCATCACTGACCGCCGTTCATCTGATTACGTTCTGGAGATCCTTTGCAAGAAGGGAAATGAGATGTCATTCGAGGAGATGCTTGATCTAGTTCTGGACACGTTCCCCATTTTCAACCTCCCAGTATCTAACTGCAGCTACGAAAAGAGACAGCTTTACCGTCCCGTGCGCCAAACAGGATGGGCCACCGAAGCGGGTGCAGGAATGAATGAAGGCTGGTATACATAAGATGTCGATGCGGTTCATTTTGCTAAGAGTAATCAAGAACCAACTTAAGACCCGAATGAGAGATATGTAATGCTATGGACTAAAGCACACTTGCTCTCCAGGCAGTGGCTAAGTGCATATTGTAAATTATCTAATAATGAATTTCGTCTTGAAAGTCACCAAATATCCACAGAGCATCCTTTGTCATAGGCAATTCATATCTGAGAGAACACATGGGGTGTGAGGTAAGCACATAACTTTGTTGCTCGCCGACTTTTGTGAGAAGCAGGGGATGATGGCGCACCGGTTATCTTGTAAGATGTGGCTGCCTTTGGGAACACCATAAACCTTGTTTGCTGTGTATTCGAGTTCAATGATGCTCCCCGTTACTCTTTTTTTCCCCTGATATTTTCTGTTTACCTTTCATCCGTCTTTCTGTTGTGTCGAATTCCCATATCCGCCCAGAGATAACCCACAACAGGGAAGACCAATAAGAGTTCCAAAGATACGCAGGCACTCTCAACAGCCAGGAACTTAAATGGATGGGAAACGGGTCGACTGCGCATTCGGCATGAACTAGATGCTCATAGTTTTGCTTCAAAATTAAGAAATATGGTATATCAGGCAATAGAAGGAATACATACACAAGTCAACTGGCCATCCGTACCGCTCAGCCAACAATCAAGCCCTGATTCCAGCCAGGCGTCATTTGACAAAGCTGTGAAGGCAAAAGGTGAGAGAAATGTAACTATCAACGATGTGTCGTGCCTGAGGCAACGGTCGAGCCCCGCAGTCCTGCAGACTACTGTACCACCACACCTTTCATCCGGCAGACTGTGGTTGATAGGGCTGTTTAGCAAGCCAGCTATTAAACAAGAGACGAAGAAAACATGACTAATCGTGTCCGTAATGCCTTATGCTCCCTTTGCTCCCATGGTATCCTAGAGCCAGAACCCACCGAGTCCAGTTTTTGGAATGATGAGACGGGAATGAAAATGAGAGCGTTTATGTTTCTAAGGGAAAGATAAAAGACAGACACAGGCTTTTTGAGCCTTTACGGCGGGGGCTCCCTCCTTTCACCCGGCTGCGCAGTGCCATTGCCATTGTTGAGAGGGGCATAGCCCTTTTCGGCGTAACCCGCCTTGCCTTCACCATCCTCGTCGTCGAAGACCTTGTTCTCCAGCCACTGGGTGGCCCTCGCGCAGGCACTATCAACCCACTTCATCCAAGCCCAGGCAGCAATGTAGGTGAGAGTCGTGAAGACAATGATAGCCACCATCTTGTGTGTCCGAGACTTAGGATGCAGCCACTTGGGCTCCCGGGGCGACCCGTCCGCGTTCTTACCGGCAGGCTCCCACGGCTCGCCGCTGATGCCGTACACGATCCAGATGCCAATGGTACGAAGAATAGTACCGTGGACCAGGTAGACGGCGAAGGAGTGATGGCCGAGCCAGATCAGAAGGCGATGAGAAAGGAACTTCTGCAGAGCGGGAGAGACGGAAAGAGCGAGGGCGATGCACATGATGAAGAAGCTGGAAGTACGACGGCCAGGTTGGGTGCCCTTAGGAACCAAGAGACTGCCCCTGCTGCCATCGCCATTGGGATCGACGATCAGGCGATGCAGCCACATAGACCAACCAGCCCAATCCTCGTGCTCATGGGGGTAGGAGCCGACAAAACCGCCGATGAGAAGAAGCAGCGGAGCGACAACCCAGGTAAACAGGCGCTGGTGCTGAGAGATGAAGTTCTGAGTTGGGCGGTGCTGGGCGAGTTCAGCCAGGAGAGTACCGTGAGCAAGCATCGCACCGAAGGTTTCTGTTGACACGGTAAGTCCATGTTCTACGAAGTTCTTAGGAGGCCAGATCTCGACATACCAGTCAGAGCGTTCCTGTTCGACAGCCAGTAGAGGATGAGGAGGATGTGAACCGCAACTCTGTACCGGAAACGCATACCAATGGTAGCAGCGAGGACGATGTAGACCTGAAAAGCGCCAACCAAGAGGGGACGCATGGCCCACTGATGTCTGTCATAGACGTTCTCCGTGTTCGTCCATGTGGTAAGGGATGAACGGAAGAGTCTCTTCACATTATCACCGAACGGAATGTCGTCGGGGGCATCGAAACGGACCCAGAAGCTGTCGCAACGGTTGGCGGACTTGTAGCCGCCAAAAACGGAGAATATAAAGCTGATAAAGGTAGCAATCAAGGCAGGAAGAACTAGGCGGGGCGGTCGACGGAAAGCACTTCGGGCTACCGACTTAAGGGCAGCCGACTGATTTCCTTGTTGATATGCTAGCTTTAACGGCTTGTAGGCGCAGACAAAGCCTGTAAGGAAGGCAAATATGGGCACACCGATACGGCCTTGATAAGGAATGCGCAGGTATGGGAGCTGCAACAACCTCGGCGCGGCGCCCTTAGAGTCCGCGGGCCAGAAAAGGGGGAAGTCGAGCGCTCTCGCAATGTGGGTGACGATAACGAGGGCGGAGGTAACGCCGCGAAGACCCTGGAACAGAACGTTAGTTGAACTTGTGCCGGTATAACTGAGGAGTCGTGAGGCCCTGTAATGGCGCCACACACCTCAACCCACTTAATGTTTCGCTGGCTCGGCCGCGCAGCCATGGTGTCTAATCTTCCTGACTTACAATTGACCGCAAAATCGTGGAAAGGACAAATAAAAGAAATCAATCAGGAAGCAAAAACGCCCGCTGAAATCGATCGCTCAGGCTTTCGAAGTCGCAGGCGGCAACCAAACGAATGGAATTTTTCCCGTATCGACGCCGAGACAATCCCGTAGTCAGATCCGAGACAACAGAGGACCCGGCCTGGACCGGAGCATCGAGTGGTGTCAAAAGTCGATTTTTTAGGTTGAAAATGAAGGTGGAGGTCGTTGGCGTTAATGTTAAGGTGGAATGACGCCAGAGAGCCAGGAGGGAGCGCAAGTCGACAGGAAAGCCAAAAGAATCTGGTGGCTCGTCGGGTCAGGGCTTAGGCGGTTGTTGAGTGTGTGACCGACAGAGGGAGGGAGAGGAGGCCGTCCGGTCGACGGGTTTAGGACTTCGCCAGCACGCAGAAACCTCGGTGATGAGCGTTCTGTCCTCGCGTCGTGCAGTACGGCGTACAAGGTACGGGAACGAGCGGCGGAGTGAGAATTGTCGGTTTCGAGTAGGAAAGCTGTGTGACCAACAATCGGCAAGGTGGCTTTGAATGAAGCTGGAAGGTGAAGGCACGCGCGGCACCTTAAAAGGATGCAGAGATGGTAGTAGCCAGGGGGAAACACTTCCGCTGGGGGTTGGCTTGAATTGGTGGGTGTGGCAGGCACGACCAGGGGTTCTTGGATTCTTGGGAAAGAGGGCAAGTCACGAGTGGCCCGATCGGCTCCATCGGATTTCAGCCAGCGTCTGGGCTGCCACCGGGCGCTGTGGGTTGTGGTGGGCTTGTGGCGGACAGCAGCTCTTCCAGGTTCTGGGAAAAAATACTTTTTCACTTTTAGGGCCTTTGCAGCTGACCAAAACCCTGCTTCATGCGACACGGGGTCCACACGCTAAGGACACGACACGCTGGACTGGGGAAGCCGCGCTCAGGGGGGAGTGGAGACACAATTGCCATCGGGTTGAATTGTCGAATCTCGTCGGCAATCTTGGTTGTCTTGCTGCACTCTGGCTGCCCGTCAACCCGGGTCGCTGCTCAAAACAGGTTTGCGCTGCACTTCGCAAAGCGGTGGTTCGTGCATGCTCAGTCCAACTCTGGGCGTCCTCACGACCCTCTTCACCCTCTCGGCTCTCGCAGAGCAGACGTTGTGTCGCGCTGAGACCGAACACACTTCACTCTGTGGGGTTGCAGCTTTTTGACGTACCACATTCGCTGTTGTTGTTGGCCTCCGGCTGTCATGTCGCTGGCAGACTGGCAGGACAATCTGCCTGGGCGGGACCCAAGGTTGACAAGGAAACTAAATATGGTAATGGAGGCTTGAAGCCACCATTATCATGATCACCTTCCATGATTCTGTTGTTCCCACCGGTGTGGTTAGTACTAACAAACACTAGTGTCATTGTCAGGAGCCTCCATGCAGAAAACATCCCAGAAGGACGGTATTGCGCTTCTCATCAGGGACACTGGCTTTCATCTTCAAAAGACTCTATCTCAACTCCATTAGTGAAAATGTTCCAGGTGTTGCTCGAAGTGCCTTTGCGATCTAGTAACATGACCGCCTTTTTTGTGCCCTCACTCTAAGGTTTTTACCGGGAGGTACTTGCACCCACGTTCCCCACATCGCTGCTACAGGTGAGGGAGACACAACTACCAGGAGACAATCTTAACACAGCTTCAACATGAATATGTCATCAATCACAAATTGGCAAAAATATATCTGAGTTATGAAAGCATATTCCGGAGGCGAGCGATCAGATTCATCAAATTTTCGACCCAAGAACAGTTTTGAGGGTGCGAAAATTGCTTGCGCAAGAGTGTGGAAAAAAGGCGGTCGTCACACTGGGCTCGGCCTTTGATTGGCCACTACCAATCTTCTATTGATTCGAGAAACCAGAATGCGACTCTCTGTATCTTTGTGCTGCCGCATGCCGAAGCAGTTCATTAAATCGACCTGGAACCCCAGTCAGAGAAATTTGGTGCAGGCCCCGTTTTCAATGTAACGGAGACGCGCAAGCTCCGGGATCGATCGTAATTGCAGATTGGCGAGATTCCTCCCGTCAGTGCCAATCTCAGCTGTTTTGTCAAGCTGCGCTGCACTTTTGCACTGAACTTGCTGCCATCCAAAATCTCAGTCCAGCTTCCCCCACGATTGCTTTCATGAGAATGTCACACCACAGCTGAGGATGCGGCGTGAGGGGTAAGATACTTTGGATTCTTCAATGCACAACAACTGCTGTTATCAACCTCGGCGTGATAACAGAATGGCTAACGGAGGGAGCTGCACGACGTAGCGGACCTTTCCCCACCAGGAAGCGGTGGCTTCGGAGTTGGCCCTCGCGCCAGCATCTGGTTTGTCAGCCCCTCGAACGCTCTCACTTGCTCTTCTGCATTGTTAGTGTAGATGCTCCATTGTTTTTCCCACAGATTATGCGTTGGTAAGAGAAACTCACACACCAAACTCTTCTCATGTATCATTTACCCCTTTCTGGTAGGTTCAAGATTTCAGGAAACAGTTTAATGTAGCGCTTGCTAGCGTTTATTGTTGCATCAGCATAAAAGACCGGGAATTACCAACGGTAACAATGTGTCAGCATCGCAGCCAAATCGGAGCCAAGTAAACCGTAGCAAGGCTAAACCCCCGAAGAGGGGACGGCCGAGGCCGCGACCGCCAGAGCAGACCGCCTTTCTCCAGATCCTCGTCTTGGCTCCTTTTTTCGGGGAGGTCTGCTTCCCCGCAGGAACCGAACTCGGATGTGAGCACAAACACAACACATCCCGGCTACCCCGGCATGGCGTTGGGCCGGCAGCCGGCGACCCAGCTCTCTCGGCAGATGTATGGGGCTGATGTGCCGGGGACTACCGTTTTGTCGACTGATCAGAAGCGCGCGTCTTACTTCGCTATGTTTCAGGAGATAGGGATTTTCTATTCCGAGGTCGTGGATCTTAAGAGCCACCTATGGAGCGGCCACACGTCAACTCTGGGCAGTGTAAAAGCATGCAGGAGGGTACTAAGGCCCCCCAGCTTCCAGCTCCGCAATACCGTTCCTTGATTGCTCGCTGTTCGTTCTTCGGCCTATGCGCAGGACGTGTTCAGCCGTGTCATGAGACAACCTTAAGATCGGCTTCCGGTCTTTTTTGGTGCTTAGAAGAGGGTTTAAGCGTGAAACAAAACTGAAAGTGACCCCGGTTACTCTTTTAAGCATAAAGAGCGATGACAAGGCTCTGTGACATAAGGCAGACCTTCCAGGCGACACCGATAGCCAGTCCAGCG